ATGTCTGTGTTCTGTTTCACGAGCACGCGACGTGTCAGCAGAAACAGGAAAAGCACCCGGTGTTCGGTACTAAGTCTTACAACTTTAGGGGACTTGCCCTCTTCCAGAGTCGCCTCCGACTCGCACCATCCATCGAAAAAACAATCACTTTTGCCTGTGCTGTCTGTTCGTAAGATTGTTCCTGAAAACCTGCATTAACTCCACACTGGACTTGAATCAAGGAGCTGGTGTTGACGCGGGCGGGGGGGTGGGGGGGTCGGGTGAACGGGACAGCGGTGGCATCTCAGATGTGGATTTTACGGCGCAACACCAGCACTGAGAGCCCCGCCCTCTCCCACACCCTCTTATCTACCTGAAGAGTGTTGGAAATCAGATCCTCTCACCTTTTTTTTTAAAGATACTGTTTTTCTAGTGTGGACTCAAAAAAGCAACTGGAGCTCAAAGAAAATCTGCTTCTCAATCATGGATCAGACAAGGGTCTGGGGACATAACCCCAGAGAGAGCTGAATAAGCAAATCTCTCTTTAAAGGAAAAAAAAAAAAGCAAATCTCTTGGGTTGATTATGCACATGCTGGCTGATATACACTCTACAAACAAGAGTAGATAGTGTGTGTATACGGCCACGTCTCTGTTTTTCCACTCCGCCTAAGCCCTCCCTGACTATCCTGGCTCCGTACCCTGTGTATCCAACAATATATTTCCCAGAAGATGAGATCATAAACATATCAGAGTAATACAAAATAATGAAAACAAATACTTGAATCAAAAGAAGCGCCAATATTGTAATGTGAACACTTTTTTTTTTTTAGTGGTGTTTTTTTTTCTTTATCTTTTTTTTTGTCTCATTCATACACTTTCAGAGATTTTTGATAGCATCGGTTCAGAATTAATCAAATTTGAAATGTTGAAAACAAAGATCGATATAAAGGCAAATTTTACATCTGTCGTATTGGAGTGTTTGCACAAGGCTGCTTGTACTGTATGAGTGAATGTTCACCGCCAGAGGTGAGAACGTGTGTGAGAGCGGGGCTACTCCGCCTCGTGTTTCTGTTCAATTCAGTATCTTTTTTTGTTTTGTTTATTTCTTTTCTTTTTTTTTTCTTTTGCTTGTCAAAACTATATTCTAATGTTGTAACTAGCCTCTAGCGTTGCACTGAGTGTCAGCCTCACCCCTCATCCAGCTATATGAACAACATGATACAAGTACTGAGGGGAGATAGGGGACAGTTCACGTGTAAATGTTTACTCAAGGACTAAAATAAGTGTGTTTTTAAAATGTAATGTTTATCTACCTTAGTGGCTTTCATTGTGGAATAATCCAAGAAAGTATGGATCATAATTGAGTATTGCACCATTTTTCAGACTGTAAACCTTAAAAAGAATAGAGAAAAAAAGAAAAAAAATCAAATATGTATAAAAAATGCAGCAAAAAAAAAAAAAAAAAAAGTATTTTGCAGACCTGTGGCCATAGATTGGGTAGAGGGACTTCAGCTCTCCCAAATCTGAGCAAACGGGGAGTGAAGGAGGAGACATCAGACCGAGCCTTGACTTCTAGGGCTCACCTCAGAGGTGCCTACCTTTTGTTTGTTTTTTTGTTTTTTTTCTCTGGTATAGCTTATGTTCTCTTTTAGTTCACTCATGTCGTCATCAGTTGTTTTTCTGTAAGGCCACTGACAGTTTACAGTTTTGTTTTTTCTGGAGTTCAAAAAAATCAGCAAAACAAAGGAGAAGTTAAACCATGGGAAAGATGGAAAAAGAAAAAAAGGACAAATGCTTCCATTTAAAAAAAAAAAATAAGAAAAAAAAGAGCAACACTTCACAGAATGAAGACTTATTGTGCTACTTTCAGAACTCTGGGATTGAACAGTGTTGTCTTGTTCTGTTTAACCTTCTCTGTTCTGTGTTAATGTTGATTTCATGGACTATCTCAAGCCTGATTGTTTCATGTCGATTATATATATTTTTTCCTTTATAGAAAAAGAAAAGAGAAAAAAAAGACATAAATGCTCTTGCACACACACGAAAAAGTGGATCTCGTCTCAGGAAGGCCAGGGTTCCAGAGTACCAACTCCACGCCATTTTAATGTACATTTTTATGATGAGATAACAGGAAAAAGAAAAAAAAAAGGATGACTTAAAAGAAACAATTTTAAGCACTGAAAGTTATGGATTTCAGAAGAAAATACCTTTTTGTTTCTAAATCCGTAGCAGTTACATAATAACCAAATAATGGACTTTAAATGAAAATGGAGTGCTTTATATATAAATCTATATATTAAAATTGCTTTACATTTAAAAACAAAAGTGGTCAATGAGTTTGTTTAAAGAGGAAAAAAGACAGTGAATAACATGCAAATGCTGTATGTTTGAATCTTTATTGTGTTTTCTTAATGAGGTCCCGTCCTGACTGAATCAGGAACATTGTGCATTACTCTTTCTTTCTCTCCTTCTCCCGCTGCGGGTATTGTTGATAAATTAATCAGACTTTTCTGGAGCATTTTTCACATTTTGGAGGATGTTTGTAAAACATGAGCTGGTTGTAAAGGATCATGAAACTATGCACAAGTGTTGGGCGGGGCAGAAGATGGGGGGATTTTATGGCCGACTTCTTCTAAGTGGCTGATCTATTGCTGGGGTTTTTGGGATCCAGTGTGTTTTTAATTGTTTTAGTTCCTTTTTTCTTTTCTTTTGGTAAAGGGGACAGGGTGGCGAGGTGGAGAGCGTTTCATGTCGAGCCCTCCGACTCCAGCTTCTCTGGACCCTTGTTTCAGATTGACCTAGCGCTACATCGCCATGCTGTGTATTCCTAAAACCAATGAGCGTCTCACTCTTTAGCACTGTGGGATTCTAGCCTGTCACCCTCAAGGGTTTTTTTTCTTTTTCTTTTTTTTTTTATTCGTCAGTTCTTATGGTTTTATGAAGAGGGGTGGGTGGGAGGGGGGGGGCTGCTTTTTTCTGCCTTTTTCAGTTTTTGAGATATTAAGTAAAAAATGTCTGTATTGAGAGTTATTGAGAAGTCAGTGGCTTGTAATGTTTTATTTTCTCTCTCTGTATATCTCTTTCTCCTCATAGAATGTGATTGTTAAATGACATGCACCGAAACAAATGTTTTCATGAACTATGGAGCTTCTTTCAAATATTAATAAAATAGCATTTTTCTCGGCTGTTAAAACGTCTCCTTTTGTTGTTTGTTTGTTTGTTTGTTTGTGGCTGTGGGGTCGCGGTGTGGGGAAAGTCCAGGACGGCTACTCTGGTGTGGTCATGGCAGCGGAGCTGATGCCGGTTGTGGTCCCACTTTTGTGGGCCAGCTGTCGGGGGCAGGCATAGTAGTTGTCCTGAGGCTGTCGGATGTTTGGGTTGGCGTAGACGGGGAAATCGACTTCCTCCAGGTGTGAAGAGGCCCTGCAGCTATTTTGGGGGCTTTCAGGGGTCCTCTGCTTCCTGTCCATTTCCTCATAGATGGGTGGATGAGGATGAGGATGTGGTGTGTGACGACGCCTCACCTACAAGCATAATGGCTGCATCACCGGTAAGGCTGGGAATGTTAGTTCAGTGAGACATGAATCAGTATTTCAGTTTTTATCAGTGTTTGACGTACTTATGACATTTGCTCATCTTGAATTTGATCACAGCAACAACTTTTGACTGTAAATTGAAATGTTTACTGTTTCTTTTAAGTTCCATTGTTTTGTGATTTGGGGTGGTATCTCATCTTTTTTTTTTAATGTTTTATTACCCTTCACACAAACAAAAAACATTAAACTAAAGCCAGTTTCTGGAGTAAAACAAGGGGCGGAAACTACTTCACTTGAAGTTATCAGTGTACAAGTTATGAGCAAACACTTGTTTATTCTAATATCTAAAAGTGAGTGCAAGAAATTATCTAGAAAAAAGGTTTGCTGCCCAACTTAGAATCCCACGCTGCCAAAGTAATGGGAGGATTAATTTCTCCTTAAGACAGTCCTCTATTTTGCAGCCCTGTCTTTCAGTGAAAATGACCAGGCGCAACAACAGCCTACTTCTATAATTATTCAACCTCGTTAAAATGATGTGTCCAGTGTTGTGATTCTGAGTCACAGAAATACGATTGCATCGGAGGTTAGATTGGTCTTAAAAAACAAAACACCTTAGAAATTACGTGCTAAACATGGCCTGTATACATTCGCTTTAACAGGGATATACTCACACATTTGTCAATGACCATCCAGGTGAGTGTGACCAGGAGAAGTACTGCTGCTGAGAAGATGGTCAAGAGCAGAGGGACATAACCACCAGAGCACTGGTGCGACCTCCCTGCACCAAAAACACATGGGTACACATCCAGTCTGAGGAGAGGCTCAGCTAACCGCATGAGCTCCACACTGAAGTGCTGCTGACCTGTTCCCTCCACCCACAGGTAAACCCTCCGTCCGCTGAGGAGGGTCTGACCCGAGCTGTTCTCCTGGCCGTAGCTCAGCTCCCACATGTAGAGTCCAGCGTCGCTCAGCTGTAAGTGGGAGATGCTCACGTTGATCTCGGGGGCGGTCAGTTCTCCACGGAGCTGCAGGCGGGCCCGGCTCCCCGAGTCCATCCTGGCCTCCTCCCCCTCAGCCAGGGACAGCAATGTGGTCTGGCCTTGTGCCCCGCGGTGGTACAGATGGAGGCCGGTCAGATGGTTTTGGTCATGCCGAGGGACCACGGAGAGAGCCAAAGACTGGCCCTCTTTGAGATGCTCAAAGACCACCTCTGCACAGGCTGAGGGACGAAACGCACTCATCATTCTGCTCCTGGTAGCGTTACAGATGTCATCCACTACTGTGATTAATCATTTTGTCACGCAGTTGCCCACAACTTTCTCATTAAAACAAAGTTTGGAGTCCTGGAAGTGTTCAAAATTAACTTGGTATCCTTCCTGGGTTTGCCCATATGATGTTACAAACAAATATGGTTGATTTATAAAAAGAGGAACCTTAGAGTTTCCAAGAACAGATGTGTTTGCACAGTCACATTTTTTTATGTTTGCTTGTATCCATGGTGATAGTAAGGAAAACAGTACAGCACAAGTAAAGAGTGAGCTGTTTCAAAATTCTTTCAAACAGCTCACTCTTTACTTGTTCCCCAAACTTCTTTCAAACAGAGGTTGTATATGAACATTGACTCCAATAATTGATTTGATTGAAGAAAAGGTTACGCTGATGCTTCAAAATATAATTTTTTTTTAGTCAGTTTAGACCCTAAATATGTGCAGGAACATGTGCATTTGTCAATATGTTGTTTTCATTACTCAACAAATGGAATAAACTAAACTGCCATTCTGAGCCTTGAGCTTAGTGGACATGACAGCTGGACGCACAGCAACACAACCTCAGTTTGACTTGTGCTGTGATTTTCTTTTCTTTTTTTTTTTTTACTCCTGAAAGTATAGTATCATACAAGTCAACATGAAACATTTTCTGAAGTGCTCCTGAGAGAAAAGGAACAAATATTCTTACCTTCAAAAAACTGGATGAAAAGGAGAACGCAGGCCAGTTGTGTCTTCATCGTCATTTCAGTTCCACAAAGTGCACACACGAGCTGCAGCATAAAGTCATAAAGCAGCTCCCCCACCCTTCCCTCACTGTGAAACTTTGTTGACACCCTCCCTGTATTTACTTTTTTCTTTCAGCTAAAGCAGGAAGAGAACCTCAAAGAGCAAACCCGTGGGTGGCCCTGAAAACCCCGAGCCTCTACCGGTACACAATGTGAGAATAAAACGAGGTGGAAATGGCTTGCTATGTGTAGAGATGGCCCCAGACTCTGCCATGGTAAAGCTGAAGGACTACAGCATCATTTGACCTCTTTTTCAACAGTCTAAATAGAATGAAATAAGGTCCAGCTCCAAAACATTTACTCTGAGTTTGCTGGTTGTTTAGTGGATCCAGAGAACAGCTCTTTGTCAGTCTGTGATTCCATTCTATTCACAGCTGTGGTTTTGTATGATCACATGAAAAAAAAAACCTGAACCAGCAGATGATTTGGTTATTATTCGCCCAAAATACAGACAGTGAGGCAGGTTACAATACCGTGAGGGTTTCCAGGAATAATATGTAAAGTGAAGGCTCACAAGTCGTGTGCCGAACACGAGTGTGGGCTTCATTATCTGAATTTAAAAGCCAGCAACTGCCTCAGTTTAGCTGTCCTTTAGACGCTCGTCTCTCTTTGAGTCGACCTCTTCAGATGAGCGGGTGCGCACGCGCAGTCCGGGCCTCATTAACAGCTGATTGGACTCAGGTGTGTCCCGCCGCCCCGCTGGGGTAGAAGAACAGGCCCTGCTGGGTGTGGGTCACTGTCTTGTGGGTCACAGTCTGAGCCAGTTCGCAGCCGCAGCCATGGACACACCGTGGACTTCCCTGTTTCTCGGATTGTTCCTGTCGGAACTTCTCTGCCTTCGCTCCAGCGTCGCCCTCCCTCAGACGCTGACGTCTCCCAAAGGTCACCGGCAGAGCCAGAGCTTGCCCCCCGCTGTGACCCAGCAGCAGCAGGCGCCGGAGCAGGTGAACACGGTCCGGGTGCTCTGCCACCCGGACGCCCTGGAGGTGGTCATCAGGGCCGACTTGTTTGACGTCGGAGCCCCCGTGGACAGCCGCGAGCTGCGCCTCGGAGTGGAGCGCAGTGAGGCCTGCACAGCCACGGCTTCCTCCCACGACGAGTACAGAATCTTTGTGGGAATCGAAGACTGTGGCACCAAACACTGGGTAACCTGCATCTGTCCGTTTGTGGGTCAATTTTTTTTCTTTCTATCCATTACTACAAGGAATGCTCTTATTTCTCACAGATGAGCGAGGACTCCCTGGTTTACACAAACCTCCTCATATACAATCCAATTGACTCTCCTGAGGGGATCGTTCGGATGGATGAGGCAGTAATTCCAGTTGAATGTCACTACACAAGGTCCACTTTATATAGAAGTCCTTTCAAGATTATCTTAGTTTGATATTTTTTATTTATTTTATTTGTTAAACTTTTTTTCCCCCATGTTTTTAGGAAGTACAGTTTGTCCAGTTCTTCCCTCATCCCAACTTGGATTCCCTTCACATCCAAACTAGCCACAGTGGAAACCCTGGAGTTCAAACTGAGGCTCATGACTGGTGAGTGTAGTCTCCCCCAAATGTTCTTTCTTAAACTTCTATTCACTGCTTTTTGTCTGTTTCCAGATGATTGGATGTATGAAAAGGGATCCAACATGTTTTACCTTGGTGACCCCATTAACATTGAGGCCTCTGTGCGAATTGGACATCACATGGGGCTCCGGGTGTTTTTGAGCAGTTGTGTGGCCACGCTAGAACCAGACATGCACTCTGACCCAAAATACATCTTTGTTGAAAATGGGTAAGCAAAAGACTCAATTGTACTTTCCCTTCCAACTGGAAATACCCTCCATGCCTACAGGTTTTAGACCCATTAGCTGTGTCTGATCAGTTTGTTCACTAGGCTTGAAGTATCATGAATAATGATGGCTGCCTGGAGTGCCTGTTGTAAAATGAGCCTCTCCTCCCTCTTTAGGTGCTTGGTTGACTCTGAGCTTCCTGACTCCAAGGCTCACTTCTTGCCCAGAACCCAGGATGACAAGCTACAACTAGTCATTGAAGCCTTCAAGTTCCACAACCATGATGCAGGACAGGTGACCATATCTTGGAATATAAAACTTTTCTTTTACGTGCAGCTTTGTCACTTTGCATATTCCTCTCCTCTGGACCCTTCAGCTCTACATCACGTGTCACTTGAATGCAGCACCAGTCGCTGATGCTGAGGCGCCCAACAAGGCCTGCACTATGATAAATGGAAGGCAAGTAGTAGCCAGCTCACATCTTGGAGACATGAGAACTTGGAGCATGACTTGTCCTGATTCTCTAGATGGCGTTCAGCTGATGGCAATGACTACCTCTGTGGCTACTGTAAGAGCCAACGTGAAGCCGTGTCGAAGTCTGGTCCCAGCAGTTTTGGCCCTCGAGGATTTGGAAAGCCAGTTGAAGCCACGTGGCGAAGTGGACTGCCCAAGACAGGTGATTCTGTCCACCCACCCCCTCTTCTGGTGGGCTCATGACATGTTTTTCTAAACTATCTTGTGGGCCATCTTCTGGATAGTGTGGGATCATAAGGCAACAGTGGGTCCACTGACTGTCCTGCAATCATGGAAAACTGCCCCCCTGCCTGCTGAGGAGCTTCCTGCAGTCCTCCATAAAATCCATAGACCAGCACTATATGGCAGCCACTGGAGAGGTGGCACAGACAAAACTGGTGGGTTAATCCAAACCAGAATTGCTTCGTCACACATGACTGTACTTGACACACAATCTCCATCTCCATTTAAAGATATGATGAAAGGGCTCCTCCCTGGCCCCTCATCAGAACTGGATGAGGATGAAGAGGATGAGAATGAAACTGGAGAAAAAGGTTGTGTATGTGTGTGTGTATATATAGATGTGTGTATTTTTTTTTTTGGGGTAAATTTCAGAATCTTGACATGTCTTGTCTCAACTGCAGGATTTAACGATGCGCTGAAAGAATTGCTGCCCAAGTTCAAAGTGAAGGAGATTGCTATGGACAACAGTACTGCTGCAGTGGAGATGCCAACTAATGCAACTGTTACATCTGTCCTTTTGGAAACTTCTGACCCAAAGAAATAAAAACTTTAACATTAAGATGACTTGTGTATAATCATGACTTTGTTCCAAAGCCTTTATAATTTGGCTAATGTACAACTTAAGATCAATGAAACTGAACACTTGTACAGAAATTTAACTACAGGAAAAGGTGATTATCTTCTAAACACCAAGCCAAACTGGAATGGCTTGGCTTGCTTCCCAAATTTCCAAAGGCATTACATGCCTGATATATAAAAGTGGTATATTGCTATTGGGAATCACTGACAATAATGTTCAAGTGAAACAGAGTAGGCTATCCTTTACTCAAAATTTACTAAGCTATATATCAAATCTACTACCACAACAGAAGGATAAATGTACTAATGTGTGGGTTTAACTATAGTTGAATACAGTAAATACTGATAAGTTGTAAACCTGCAATGAGTCGCAAGTTTTAAATTCAGCCTGTGGAATTAAACCAAAGCTTTAAATGCAGCAGTAGAGCTTAATTAACACCAGCTGTTTAATGAGCTGCAAATGACTAATTGCTTTCAGCTGTCCTCTGCAGGTGATGTGATTGTTCTAACTGGGATTGTATTTAAGTAACAGCCATCCAGAGCTTCACATCCTTGTTCAAACAGGAGGTTCAACCATGCTGGTTTCAGGTCTTTTGTTCTCACTGGCTCTGCTGATGACTTTTGGTCTTGAGGTCACAGATGCCATTCGCACTCTAAAAGAAGGCCCCATGATCGACAGTGAGGGAAGGGAATATAAATCAGCTCCTTTAGCGAAAGACGGTAGATCTGAATCCGGTGACCGTCCTGTTGTCCGTGTAGAGTGCACCGACGTGTCCATGATCGTCTTCATACAGGCTGACCTCTACAGAACCGGCCACCACGTTTCCCCAGGAGAGCTCTTTTTAGGCGATGCCCGCCATTCCAACAGCAGGAGGTGCCAGGCTGTTGACACCGGAGACCATGAATACGTCATAGAAGCGGGTTTGCAGGACTGTGGCACCAAACTAAGTGTAAGGCCAGGACGCTGGCGTCAGGAAAACAGAAGAATCTAATGTCAAAGAAAAACTCAATCTCCGCTTTGTGTGTTTGCCTCCAGATATCAGAAGACGACGTGATTTACTCGAACAAATTGGTGTTTTTACCTGCTTTTCGTCACTTTGGTATCACAAGGTTGACAGAAGCTGTGATTCCTGTGTCCTGCCATTATAAAAGGTGAAGTCTCGGTTTAGAGTGAGTTATGGTTTCACAGTTGATGGCCAACTTATTTTTTCTTTCTTTTCTTTGGCAGGAAACATATTGTGAGCAGCAGCGCTCACCAGAAGCCCCTCATCTTCTCCAAATTGGCCAAATTTTCAACAGGGACTTCTTTGTTCTCTCTGAGGCTGCTAACTGGTACGTTTGGACTTCGGCTTTTTCTTCTGCTTGACGAATGTACAGTGGCTGACGCTTTTACTCTTTAATTTGTAGACGACTGGTCAAACGAGACGCCCTCAAGCACCTTTTATCTTGGAGACGTCCTGCACCTCGAGGCCTCGTACAATGGTCCCGATTCAAGGAGGATCTTCATCGACAGCTGTGTTGGCACACTCACACCAGATATAGCATCAGTGCCTCGATACTATTTAATTGAAAACTATGGGTAAATCCAGCTCAGTAACCATATAAAAAAAATCTATATATATATAAGATAATCTTCACAATCATTTGCAATTTACGGCTAAACCATTTTTGTCAGGTGCTTCACTGATGCCAAAGAGAAGGGATCAAAGGCAGTGTTCCGACCCAGATTAAGGGCTGATGTGCTTCAGCTCCAGCTGGATGCCTTTCTGTTTCATAACGACTTGAGGCGCAACGTAAGGCATTTCATTTTCTCCTGTTGATTAGGCTTTGTTTTTGCAATTAGATGCCAGATTTTCTTTTTTTTTTTTACTCTTTAGATATTCATAACTTGCCACTTGAAAGCTGCACCTAAAGCATGGAGGAGTAGCCCCACTAACAAGGCCTGCAATTACATGCAATCAAGGTGCTCATTTAAATGTTCATATTCATTAGTGTATTTTGTAATTGGCTGTTATAAAAACTCTCAAGTGGAGTCATTGATTCTGACTTAAACTGAGATGTGTGACCAGGTGGAGGAACGTGGATGGGAATGATGAAACGTGTCAGTGTTGTGATGCTGTCTGCCATGAAAGATCACCCACAGGTAAGTTGGATCAAAAGCTGAGACTCAAAGATGAGCGTAGTTATTGGGGTTGTACTCCTTAAAATGTATGTGCAGAGGTGCAGGTGATGCCTTTTTGTTACTATGAATAAAATAAACCCTACTCTTTCAGATGATGTGCTCTGTGACACGGTGACTCTTGGGCCTTTGATGATTCTCCCCAGCAAGTAGGCAAAAGAACACAGTCAAGAAACTCTGTTACTTTCTACTGTTACTGTAGAGGTTATGCAAGCCCTTAACAATAAAATGTTGAAATGCTGCAATTTGTTCACTTTTCTTGCCCAGCTGATGTAGCAGTGATAAACACGTGAAACCCTTGCTTCTAATTTAAATTTAAAACTTAAATGACAGATGTGTTTTGTTTTTCTGAGGGGGTTTGTGTGAAGCGGCCATAAGGAGCAGTGAGCGCCTCACCTGCAGCAGACGGTGCAGGAACTCTGAAGGACCACAGTTTAGAGCTAAATCCTGGCACAAAATGCAATCGCCACACGTGAAGGTTCAGTCAGTCTTTTTTTTTTATTTAGAAAAAATGAACAAAACAGTTTCCTTTATTTTTCCTTCCAGATTAAGTGCAACTTCTCCTAAAACTCTGCAGTTTTTCCGTCTGAAACGACTCAAACCTGAAAATGTTGTAATAGTTCAAAGGAGGGTACTTTACACTGATCCACGATCTGATAATTCTTTTTTGAATATTTCATGCATACATGTGCATTGAAGTAACAGCTGTCAGACTGGTTGGACTGCAAAGTTTTGAACAGTTTACAAAATGGTTTCTTTCTAATGGATAGTCTCCATTTCCAGACATCTTACACATTGTCAGTCTCCTGTGGGTATAATGGAATTAGAAATGGAGATTTGAGTTGTAGAGGAGTGAAAAGTGCATTTTTAAGAAGCTGTTGAAACGCCTGTTTTTAAAAAAAAAAAGTCTGTACTCACCGTTTCTGTATTGACTCCTACCTCTGGCTCTTTTGAAGATTATTCAAACCAAAAGTTTTGACATGCTCAACAAGTAGCCACAAAATGTCCAGCACACTGGCATAATCTTCTATTCAGGATGCAGAGATCATAATAAATGATTGGCTGCCTTCATTGTACAGTGTTATCTAACTGATCTTTTTGAAGCTCTTTCAGTAAATGGAGAAACATCAACTCCCAGATATTACGATCTCGTGTGAGAACACCAAACAAAGCTGATGGAAATTGAATCATGGTGGCAGTACTTACAGATTTAACTAACCTGGAACGGGCTGCCAGTCTCCATGTGAGTAGTTAATAAGAGCGATGACGGCTGATGACAAAAACAGGATTAAGCAGTGAAACCATTTTTTAAGAACAAAAGAAGTACTTTTGTCATTCAAATTTCCCATCACACGGTAAACGGATGAACTGACTGTGGTCAGACTGCTAATGGTTTCATGATGTAGTAGAAGTCTGAACAGGATTGTGGTGCTCTCGTCTGTAAAAACATGGATGATGTGACAGAGCATCTCTACGGGAAAGATTCCCAATTAAATGCGTTAACATGATTCCTAAATGCAACAGAAAAAAAACAAGGGCCTTCACCAAACTTGCTGCAAGTTTGGGGACATTGAAATCCAACAGCTTAGAAGCTGTGAGGGCCCCTGGCAATGAATGAGAAGACAGAAAACGGTGAGACTTGCCTCGGGCTGAACAGGCCTACACTGAGACAGGGCCTCAGCCAGTCCCCAGTGGCATTGCTACAGGGAGAAGAGAAATCTGGGTTTTAGCACTGCAGCCACCGTCCACTCGGACACTATGCAGCTGTACAGGGCACACTGTGTGAGCTGTCTGTCAGCCTGTGCCATGTACAGAGCATCAACAGAGAGCTTTATCATTTACTGCTCGTAGTAAGAGGAAGAACTAACTGGCAAAACATTTCTGCTCTAGGCTAAAGAAAACAAAACAACTTTTAACAACTTTTCAAACATTTACAAACCTGCTGGATCCCACAAAAAAAGAGTCTTACATTTTTCCCAGAGTTTATTAGAATACAGTTACATAACAGCACACGTACCATTTCATGTATTACCTCCTTTGCTTTAGGGTTAAGGGAGTACTTCTTAATTACCACAGAACAGAAAGAAAGCAGTAGCTGGAAGCCCTCACCAAACCACGTTTGGGGACATCAGTCCAACAGCACAGAGTGCTGTGAAGGCCTCACCACTAAGCATAGAACAGAGAAGCTCTCACATAAAACTTGCCTTGATAAAGGGGGGGTACTGCCCATGTAACGCCAGCGCCTTCACAACACTACGAACCATATTTACTACACTTCTATACACCTGAATGAAACATGAGAAGGAAAAGAAGCCACAGAACAGAGATGGATTGCATCAGAACCAGGTAACACAGCTCATCGTCTTTGTCAGATAGTGTAAATACTTCCCGTGCGCTCTGTGGCTCTTCTGTTTGCTGCCTGGCCCTCTCAGCTCAGCAGTGGGACAGTCAGTGTACTGGGCTACTAGAATACCAACGCTGTTTTTCTACTAGCAGCTGAGGGCGTTAAAAAATGGATAAGTGTCCAAACCTATAGAAGAGAGGACAGACTTCAGTAGCGGCCTCCGGGAGACATGACGGGGGGTCTCATACCGATGGGTGGCTGAGGTGGGGCTCCCTGATACCCCGGAGGGACCACAGGAGGGGCCTGTCCAAATGGGGGCACCCGGCCTGGTATGTAGCCTGGCACCCCCCGTGGTGGACCACCGTACTGACCTGCAACATGACGGAGGGGTTTACTGAAAAAACGTCACATTTTACTAACAGGGAGACGCATTCTTCTTCATCTTCAAGTAAGGCTGTGTTCAAGCCTTTCAAAGATTTTCTTGAAGAATGATCGCTTTCTTTTTTTGGTCCAATCCTTGAACATTTTGAAAGCTCAGCGTATTTCTCAGTTTGCTGAGCCGCTTCACTCTGATCTCTGAATCATTCAAATATAAAAAAGTTCCTAATTCACAAGTGTTGTCTATTCACATACAACTGACTTACCAAACAGCTCATTTTTGGAATTCTATTATCGCTAAATAAGCTAAATAAGGTTGTATTTCAGTTTTAAAAAATGAAAGTGAAGCGACGTTTCCACTAACAGGCTGACAGAAGACATTTCTCCAAAAGAAAAAGAAACATGTCAAACTTCTTGAGTTGCTTTAAATGCTGTCTATTCTTAAACGATGTTGTGAACATGCAGACGGAGTATACCGGGTAGGGGGCTTCCTAGGCTGAGCTGCTGCGGGGCCATTAGTCCAACAGGACCCGCTGAGGGGACAGAGGCCGTGGTCTGACCCTGCAGAGCAACGCTGACCTGGTACCTGGGCAGCTGGGCCCTCAGCTCTTCCTGTGGCAGAAAAAAACAAAACAGCGAGAGGAGAAACCATTTGACACTTCTGTTGCACAGCTAAAGCAGGCAAATAAAGAATATCTGCTTCAAATCCTCTGATGGTGTACCTACTTTGCTGTCTCTTCCAGCGGACTACTTACCAGTGACAGGTCTTCGTCGGGGTGGATCAACTTACTGGTTGCACTGGCGGCGGTGAGGGTGGCGGGCTTAGTGCTCACGGTGGAGGGAGGTTTGCAGACCGTGCTGCTGCCCGCCGTGGGGCTGCTGACCGCGGCCGCGGCCTGGGTGTAAGCCGGGAATGTGGGCTTTGAGGGGTCAGAGCTGGGGGACAGAGGGGTGTGGGGCGGCCCCGACACTGCCCGGTGACCCTGGGGGGAGGAGAGGAGAGAGTTAAAGAGGGAGCCGTTTAAATCTGGCTGTACGTAGTCAGAACTTTGACATTACACCAAAGTTGATGCCTGATCCCTCAACATTTTCATTTGCACACAGGATGAAGATGGATCTGCTACACCAGCTACAGGTCTGATGCTCTGGGTTTGAGGTTTGAATGTCTTTAAGGCTATAGAAATTGACTGGCTCTGTTTGTACAGCTTGAGGAGCTCAATACAAGCCGACGCATTTATATCACCGACTGATGGGAAAGTGAACTTATTGTCCTGTCAAAAGCAGATATGGGGTGTCAGATGGGCTTTACCTGTCCAGTGCTGGGGAAAAGAGGTTTTGTGATGTCGGTGTGGGCTGCCGGGGCCGTGGCAGCAGGTCTGGTCAGGATGCTGGTTGCAGGGGAGGCCTGAGGCATGTGTGTGATGCCAGGACGGTGGCCCACTGGAGGGGGAATGCCTGAAGCCAGAATTTGTCATGCAAGTTCACTCTGAGGCCACTACATGGAGATGAGGGTGTCTTTATGGTGCGGGTTTGAGGAGGGGGGGTTACCTGGTGGTACACCCGGCATCATCGGAGGCATCATCCCACCCATTGGTATCATCCTTAGTATGAGAGGAGAGGAATAAACAGAATGTGTAGTGAAATCGGGACGGATAAAATGTCCTAATAGATAAAAGCAAACCCTTACCCCGGCGGCATTCCTGGCATTCCAGGGGGCAGGCCTGGCATCATGGGCGGAACACCTTGCATCATGGGGGGGATTCCTGACACAAAGAGATTTACAGTTCACATTTAACTCTAAGAACCAGCCACTGAGCCAATGTCTGTGTAACATGGCAGCTATGCGAACATATCAGTGTTTGATGCAAATAAAACACTAACCTACTATCATGTAGCTTGAAAAATAGAAAGGAATCAAAAGCAGGATCTAAGTAATACAGGTGTTTTTCACCTCAACAGGATAACATGCTTTAAACCTTTCTTTATAAATCGGTTTTGGGTAACACTCTTGGTCTTCCGGAAATCTGAGGCAACTGAATAATACCCTTTCTCTGCCTTTCTCAGTGGGAGATATAAACACACAGCCTGACGCTGTTGTGAAGAGCTGTGAATTGCTTCGGAAACGCAGAGTCATCAGGATTGCAAAGCTGGCGTTCCCCCACCTGAGTATCCGCTTGGTGGTAAGCCCGGAGCGCCCGCACCGACGGGCAAACCGGGCTGCGCCATAGGGGGGATGTAACCTGTCGGGGGCTGGCCAGCAGCTGGCTGATGAGAGTAGGAGGGACCGGGCTCCTCATCCTCATCGTCTTCATCAGAGTCATCCTGGTTCAGCTTTTTCTTTTGCGTCTCTGAACATAAGAAGGGGCAAAATCAGTCTCATCTGAGAAGAACTCAAATAGATATGCGTAAAGCTCTTTACCTTGGTTCTTTTGCTCCAGCACTCGCCTTCTCTCCTCCATGTCTTTCTCTGGAATGCCCTCCATGCCGTAGATTTCCAGCTCGATATCTGTTCTTCCCGGTATCGCATTTGGAACGCCATCAATGGTCTCCTTGTGCACCTGGAAACGATTCGCTCATGTGAGTGCTGGCAGAAAGGTTCCTGGCCGTCGGTGGCCGGGAGCCACGCAGCGTGCACCCACCTGCATGCAGTGGATGGCCAGCCCGGGCCCGGTGTACAGCTTCTTATGACAGATGTGACACTTGAAATGCTTGGCCTTCTGGTGCTGGATGAGAATCTTTTCATCGTCGAAATCCCTGTTACAATACCTGAGATGACGGCTCAGGAAACTTTCCGACCAACTTGATAACTCATTGCGTGTCACAGCTGAGCCTGACCGGCAAAGCTGTATGCAGATCCTCTTTAAAGATGCCTGAGGATTTGCCTCGCTTACCTTATATATCCCTTGACTTTTTGTCCCTCTGTGCTTACTCGGCTTCGCCTAAAAGAAAGAGATGATATGCAAATCGATTCCGTTACGCTATGAGCCTCAATAGGAGCTATGGTTTGGACCCACTCTCAGTGAACGACCGTTTACGAGTAATAACGATGTCTGCCGAAGACACATGTCCCGATACGAGTAAAACAACACCACAGATTTAACGTTACAAAAAAAAGGATACCAGCACCAAGGCTTCATTTGCTTTTTCTTCTTCCTCCCCATGGTTTCTGCACTGTCAGTTCGCCGCCTGCTACTTTGCGTAAATAAAAACAGCTCACAGGAAGATGGCGTCAGGGCTCCAGCATCCCACAGGAAGACGCTGCGGCCCCAGCGCGCCCTCTGGCGGCCAAACCGCTCATCTGCACGTCTGCTCATGTAACCGGATCAGAACGCGCTGACCTTACGTGGAAAACACGTTTAAGACTAAAACTACTGTATGTTTAAAGTTGTGACAACATTTACAAAAACACCGAAAAGAGGCACCAACCTAATACAAATTAATTAGTAAAATGTGACAAACGTGAAGCTAAAAGCATTCAATAATCTCTCGAAATGACCACACTATAACACAAAACAACCACTTTTTTTAAATGGCCACAGAGGAATACACAAATGTGTAACTGAGTAGCATTGAAAAGATATAATAGACCAGAAATGTCAAATTCCAGGAAATTTCAACATACAAAACAGTGCAAACTACCACAACCACAATTAAGATTGAAGAAAAAATAAATAAATAAGTTCTAGAAAAAGCCCTGGTTCGGAGTTTGTGTGTTTGTGCCTGGCTTTGTGTCTTGCAACAGCACAGTCAGCTGATACTGTTGTCCACCACCCCATGCAAGCAAATTATCTGGATCAGATTCATTTAGTCTATGCTGGACATATTTTATAGGACAATTAGTTAAATATTTTTGCAAACACTATGGAGATAAATTGAACTAAAGCAAATTAATATAATTAGTTAGATTCGACTATATGACACTAGATATAGACTTTATTGCGCAATCTGTGTATATATCCAATGCATTTTCTTAAAAATAAATAAATAATCCAGGCAGAAATATGTATATATTTGTATTGGTGAAGCTGCATAAAAGATAAAAACACTCCAAATCTTGATTATTGTGGAATTTTAAATGAATCCATTTTGATTTCATACGAGTTTATTTATTTATTTCTTTAAGTCTTTATAACACTGATGAAACAGACAAACGGTAGTTGCGGTCATATAATCGGCCCTGGAACCTATAAAAAAGTACATCTCGGGCCGGACGTATTTACAAAACGTGCTAATGACGCATGCGCAGTCGGTGCATAAACGAGCATAGAGATACCTCTCCGATTTGCAGACTGTGCGGCTTTTTAAATCGATATTGCACTGACAATCCAAAGTCTTGGGTATTTGCAAACTAGCAAAACTAAAGCAGGTAAATAAAAAACGTCCTTATATCAGCCATTTTGGTTGATGCTAGCATCGTCTGTTTTGGACCATGTTTACCTCCCAAACCTCGTCGTTCCAAGAGTCAATTGACGTGGAAGAGAAAGATGACTTCGACAGCGAAGAAATTGCTGGATACAGCCAGAAAACTCAGCTGAATTGTTACTACACCATCTATCTTTATCAAGGCACAAGGTAAAGGTGAAAAGCGTTTGTCCCGGTTTCCAATGTGGATTTGTAACGCAGCTTTCCGCCTCTTTCCTCCAACAGTGTGACGTTTCGCATACTAGAGTACTGTTGTTATCATTTTGTATAACAGCTCTATTAATTGTATTTTTGCTGCAAGTTCTTCCTGCCTTTTTTTCAAAACAGGGCTTGTTATTGGTGTATAATTGTGCCGTCTACTATTTTCTCGGTTTGTTGTCCTGATGTTTTCCTTCCCCGGGGACATTCACGCAGGTGAACCATGACAGTTTGACCAGGTGATGAGTAAACTGTTGGTTGTCTTAGATCTGAGGCTTCTGCGGAAAATGTGGCGTGGAGCCAAAGACGGGCAGACTCCACAGCAAGTCAGGATGATTTTAGGTAACGCAGGACCCGCCTACCGTCTGCTCGCTGTCAGTGCTGGTTTCTCTTCGGCTTTCACTGTTGTCCGTTGGTGTATCCACTGGCTGCCATCAGAAATCCAATCAACATGGAATCCATGCCGCCTTCACTCATGATTTTGTTCTGATTGGTCATGTTGGTCGTGCTGTTGAGTTACATTGCCTTGAGCTGCCTCTGCATAGCAGTGGTGCCCCCACTTCCATGTGAAGTGGAACTGGTGAGATGGGGATGGAAATCCCTGAGTGTCTGGGGAACATTGTGATGGGAAAGTGTCTCTAAATATCCTGTAAGTGAAGCTCAGGCAAAGGTACAGCATTCTGAGTCAGTCGTGTGTCGTGTTGGATGTGTGGCACATGCTCATCAGCTTTCTCCATCACCTCTCCAGCCACTCGAGTGGCCTCCAAACTGCACAGGGTCTGCTGTGTTTGCTGCTGTCAGACTAACGCATCACTCTGTCTACAGCCTCACACTGATTGACAGCAGCCTGCCGTCGGAGGCAGAACCAGAGCTGCGGACCTATATTTCAAGAAGGCTGAGCAAAGGGGCCCTTCTTGGAGGCATGGGCAACATTGCCACTGTGGAACTCAGGTGTTTATTCATTTATATATGTATTTATTTCAGAGCCCACGATGAATCTCTCTGGACAGATTCAGCACATTTCTGTCACATGTGACATTTAATCACAGTCACAAACATTTGTTTATCTGATGTTTTATTTTCCCAGTATTCCAGAGCAGGCGGTTGGCTGTTACTGCTGTCTCCTGGAGCAGGAGAGGTCTCCCGAGCAGCCGGACGCTGATGGAAATGGATACGTCATCTGCTTCATGGGGGGGTCTGAAAAAGGACTGAACTTATATCCATCTGCATTGTTGGGCCAACCAGATTTAAAGAAATAATGGGCAACTTTTTTCAGTTTTAGTATTCTATATTGCTCCTGTTGTAACTAGATGTTTTGTTGCAATTTTGTATCGCCCTTGCATTATTTTGTCTGTGTCCATGAAAACAACAGTACTTGAAATTCTTTGACCCAAAACACATTTAGAATAGAGCTCGATAAGTACGTCCAGGGCCTGCATAGTAGTCTGCAAACCCCACAGGTACGAAGATGCGTGTAATAAAACCGTTGAGTCTATGATTATCTCCTAAGTTTTTAAACGTCTCTTTACCGGTGTGTACGTTTGTGTGTGTAGCTGCAGAACCTGGAGACAGAGGTGCGTCCCTACCTGAGCCGGTGGTACGAGGAGTCTGTAATGCACATTCATCGAGTGGTGCAGCTGGTCCAGAACAACATCAGCTTCCTGCTGCATGCAGTGAGTGTTTTATGGTTAAGTTCTTAGTTAGAAGAGAAAAACTTCAATACTTCTGTATAAAGTGTCATGAGTATGTTGTTAAATATGTCGAACAGCATATCAAATGCTGACACTGAGATATTGTTGTATTTGTTGTTTGTTTCAGTCATTCTGTGAATTTTATGGAATATTAAATCAAGCAATCCTGTTCGGGTCTCGCTTCTTGGGGCCAAATTTAGTTGTTTCTGTTTGAGTATGTTTGAGAACTTGAGTCTTTTCCAGAACGCTGCATTTCATCCACTAAACTGTGTACACACAGGCTCTGAGTCACACACACGTGGAGGTCATCAATTCAGATGAGAGGACAAAGGCTGATGTTTCCAGGTGAGTCGGGAGACGAGCCGCCTATTAACAATAATAACTAGTGTACTAACACGTCTTTGTCCTTGTAGGGAATGTTTTTAATAGTGGTCTGTTGTAAACTGAACCAGGTTCATCAAAGCGGCGAGTTTGCAGGGCCTGTCCCAACAGGAGCAGACAGCAGCATCTCTGTGCAAAGCCATGTCGGAGGACACGCTGTCTGATCTGACCATAGACTGCTCCACCAGCCCCCCCACACTCAGCAACACCGGTGAGTCGCCTTTTAGGAGACGCACTCACATCCCGTTATTACCACAGCTCAACGGAGGTGTTGTGTGCCCCCAGTCAGCAACCGTTTCTGCGACGGCTGGATTCAGGCTTTCCTGAACGCCGCCGAGCGATGCAACCCCTTCCTGCTCCGGCAGATCCTGGAGAACTTCAAACTGAAGGTGGGGGAATATGCAGTGACTTCAAAGCCGTTTTAGCTTCTGGATCCTGTCTTGTCATTCCTAATGTAATCTTCACATGTGAATCTAAATTTGTAATACCTCTATGTTGTATCAGTGGTTATTTTGCTCACTTCTCGGAAATTAATTTCCTCTTTCTTACCAATTGATTGCTTACTTAAATTCTGATCCCCTTTTCCTTTTTCTGCTCGTTGCTTCCTCTCCGTTCAACCACCTCGAACCCCACAGGCCATCCATGACATGAACAGCCTGAAGCGCTTTGTGCGGCAGGCAGAGATGAGCCACTACGCCCTCTTTCGCTGCTGCCAGTTCCTGCAGGGCTGCGGAAACGGGGACGTGTTGCTGCAGAACGCCAGGGCCGAGCACAGCGACCTGCCCGAGGCCTGCAGCATCATCACCGTCCTGGAGGAGTTCCTCAGCGAGCAGGCCCCGGCCGAGAGCCAGGCCTGACTCCATCACTGCAACACAGCCTCTTTGGTGAGGAAGTCCATCTAGACCAACACTAAAACCTATCCAAGGCTTGAAATTGCTAAGTTAAAAAAAGCTAACTAAATAATACATGTAACAAATGCTAATTCTGAACCATAAATTAAATACTACATTGAGCTAATGTTGCTCAAATATGGAATACATAATGAACTGTATGTAACACCTTGGAATCACTTGATGGTTCAGAAATATTATCACATAGACTTTATCTTTTCTTCTGTGTGTTTATGTTCTTAAAAGCCAAATAGTCGTTCTGTTATTGCTGACAATGCTCACAGCAAAGAACTGATCCAAATCAGAGCTTCTGTTTATTTTAATAGGAATGTCATATTTGACCTATTTCATGTTTAAATGGTCCCCTCTGCTTGTCCTGCACATTATTTAAGTTTTCTTATGTGAAGAATGCACAGATCCCTTTCCTGTGTAACTCTGGATGCTTGTTTTTGCTCCCTCTTCAGCTCTGTATCTGCACTGTGTGACCATATTGTGGGTTGTTTGATTGATGTCTGATTATTCCTACGGCTATTCTACTACTGTGAATACTGCAACGTATATATTCTTTAACTTTTCAAATATATTTTTTAACATGAATTAATTCCAGCTCTGGACTGAATATGATCAGAACATGAACTACACGATGCTCTCACTACATTTACCCGCCGCGTTGTTTATCACCTACTAAATTAAAATGCTAGGATTTTTTTTTTTTTTAAATGAAGTTGATATAAGCTCAGAGTAGACATTAATTTATTAATTTATTACCTTTTCCCCAAAGCAATAGTTCTCTTTTTCATTCCATAAAACCCCTAAATGGTTTAAAAATGAGCTCAAATCATTCCATTGAAATTTAATCCAAAGTATATAACAGAGCAATATCAGTGTTTATGGTGTATACTTTAAGGCTGTGACATGTAAATGAATTGTTTTGCTGTTGTCATCCAAAGCAGGACTGGCGCACGTGTCTGAAACGTGCCTCTGCAGTTATAAGCGGTCGTGTGGTGCTCTTGTCTTGTATAGAAGCAACCAAAATAAATACAAAAGTTGAGCCGTATCTGTGGTTGTGCTTGTTTTTTCGTCTGCAAAAGTTTTAACAATGGTTACAAACAATATTTACAAGTTTTTTTCTTTAGCTTTTTCTGCCTCCTCGTGCACACAGATGTAGATGTGTGGTTTCTGTGCAATGCCCTGCCAATGGAAGACGTGTGTGTGATTTAGGGATCGGATGGAGGGTGAGTTACTGAGCAGATGGCCTTCTCATTCTACGCTTCAGAACCTTGCATAGATTTCCTCCTCCGGCTGTGCGTCTGAAACTGGACACAAAAAGCAACAGCCGTGAACACGCAGGTGAGAACATTCAGATTAAGAATGGACTGAGACATTTTAGTGTACCTTTGGTTTGATCAGACATCGCTCTCATGAGACAGCTTGGTACGTCATAGATGCTGTCTGTGGGCTCTGAATAATAGACCACACACACATAAACATTTATTAACTTGATCTAATAAGCATCAAAAGCCAACCCGCAGAAAAAGACCTTCTCTCACCCTGATGTTCGATGGAAGTCTTGTATGACTGAGGGAAGTCATAAATATCTTCAGTTATTTCTGTTGGAGGGTCGTGAAAAACGCCTGAGGAAACGACACAAGACAAGCCATGTCAGACATCTACAGGTTGGGTTATTGTACCTTGATGTGCAAAAGTTTTGAGGCACCGCTTTTGTCTTTTCTCAAAGAGCTAAATTACCATGGTATTGTTTTTAAAGGTATTGAGCAGTCATTTTCTAAGTTTAGCTCTTTTTCACTCTGGTCTTTTGACTCTGAAAATTGTCAAAGAAATATCTACATTCTTGTTTGTATGTCCAATTGATAGTCATCAATGCAGCATTACAAATGCACCTAGCTGTAGGGATATGAGGCGGGACAGAATTGAGAGGCAGCCTAAGGCTTTTACACGCTGCTGTAAGTGAGAGGTCATTTAATGATGTTTTGAAATCGTACTTTTTCTGCAAGGTAAAACATCATAGTCTCCATTTCGATTCTCTTCTTCAACACCCATCCTGCTGGAAAACTGAGGATCGCAGACGCTCAGATCTGAAAACGAGGAGAGTTAGCACCGTGTGGCTGACAGAGCAACCCAATTTGAGACCTATGGATGGTTACCATAGAGATTCTGGTTGTTAGAAGGTAGATGTAAGTTCTGGAAAGTGGCCTCCTCACAGGCCCAGTCTTCAGGTGGGCAGATTGGAGAGTCGATGCCAGTGGACAAGGTGTAAATGTGGTTTGAAGGAGGAGATGGAGGCTGGGCAGGGAGCTCCTCTGCCGGTCTGGAACTGTGTGAGTGGGTGGGTGTGCTGCCGTTGACCATGTCTCGCTCCTCACACACCTCTTGACTGCAGAGCACAAAGTGGCAATGAAGTGCAAAAAGTTACCCTAAAAACACAACGTGCCATGAACCCAGCCTGACTTACAGGGCGCCTCTGGAGTCCAGCACCCCAGAGGTTGAGAGGTGCATGGCTTGCCAAAGGTTAAAAACCCACTCTTTCCTGAGAGCTGCCGTCTCTGCTGCCTGTAAAAACACACACACAGGCACTGGTCTCAGCCAGTCTTCATTTAGGTGAAGCTGACACACTACATGGGTAGTGGGTAGGCTGGGGGAGTAGGGAGATTAGTCAGTCAAACCACAGCGCTGTCTCACCAACATTTTCCTCTTTCCGTTTGTCATGGTGATTTCAAACATGAAGTGCCTCCTGTCAGATTTGTGGACCTCTCGAACCGACTGCACCTGGCCCAAGATATGGAGGGTTAGATGCTGGGAAGTGAAGCAGCAGCGGAGCAGGACGTGATCAGTGAACTAAACTGTACTTCAGCACTGCAAAAGGTCATGCGTTCAGGTTTTATATTCAGTCAGTGTGTGTATGGAAATGTGCAAGAGGTGAGTTCACCATCCATCATAATGGCTAGACTATGGTCGTCCTAAAAGTGACATCCTGGCACAAAACACACAAAAACCTTTACTTTTACACGGTTCAAAACTTCAACAAAACAAAACAAAACGGCCTCTTCCCCAAAGTGTCAAACTGTATGTTGAAAAACACAAGATTTAGATGGAAAACAAAAAGGTTTGTGCGTTTTTACTTGGCTCTCTATTAGTTGTGCTTCGTTATGTTGCTGAAATAAAGCGGCAATTAGTTTGTCTGCTTGAGGTTTAGGGGCCTATGTTAAAAAACTGAAATTCTCAGAGCTGCACTGCAACGAACCCACATGTATAAATGATTCTCAGCCACAAAAAAGAACTCAGACTGACATGCACACTGACACATCACAGTTGTGAAAGATGTGAAACTGATATTCCCTAAAATAGTTGTGAGCAAGCAGAAAAAATAAAGCTGCTTACTCTCAATTGAAAGTAGATTAAAAGCACCTCACAATTACTTTTACATTGTAAACACACAAATGCTCACTTTGCACGACAATAAACATCAAAACCCACAAATTATGGAAATTGGTGAACTGCTTTCCAGTAGAACAAACCCCAAAGAAATCAACATTGCACGCACAAATTATGAGCCCATATTTTTAATTTTTGAAAGATACTGCCATATAATTAACAATCCAGCAACATCAGGGTTATAGTCCCCACCCCAACCAGCTCCATTAAGCAGCCAATTTAAAGGAAGAGAAAATGAAACAATAGTACATGCAGGTCTGTGTACGTGAAAGTTTTCAGGATCTGTTAATCATGTCCCAACAAAACAGCAGTAATAAACAGCGAGTGACTTACTGAACATATGTAGTAGTACCCTCTCAAGTGTAACTGTAAAGAGAAAGATTTCCCATATCAGCATCAATGAACCTCTTCCAGTTTAAAAATCTGCTGGAACTATAATTAGAAATGTGTACTGAGCAGCAACGAGAAGAAATTGGATTGATGGCACTCACAGCACTGCCGTTCTTCTTAGTGTAGAAGAACAGGGCTGTGTTTTGAAGTCTGAACCAGTATGTCGCCCATATAATTTTCTACAAACAAGAGAGACAGTTTTGGACCACAGTTCTAAATATCTTGCTCAATAATCTAATAATAAAGACTGTACCTTACCAGAGTGTCTTTTCTTTTCTGGAGAAAGCCCTCAAACAGTAATGTGGATTCATCTGCAGACATGTTAGCCCCTGGTGGGAGATCAGCTCAGACTGTGCCCCCCCGGCTGCTGCCACTCATTCTACCTGCACATGTGCTGGGACTTCCTCCTCACTGAAGCCCAGAGCAGTTTTGTTCAGAGCCTCATAACTAACTCACTTCTCTGTTCTGGCCCACAGAAACCCCAGATCATCTAAAAAACAGATGATGTAGCATTCATTTTTGGACACACAGACTTCCACCATTTTTTTTTCTATTTTTCCTTACAGTCAAATGTGCCAAAACTTTTCTCCAATGGAGACAGAAACAGCTGTGTCAGATTAAACCATTCTTTATTGGAAATGATGGAAAAGAGAAGAATGAGAGGAAATGCTTTCATCGTTTTAAGGTGGGAGGGGTGTGTTGCAAAGCTTTTATTAGTAGCAGAATCTCTTGAACCATGGTGCCGCCATAAAAATATAACGAGGGGTCAAAGTGCTTTTCAAAAGCAGGAAAATAAAAGCACTGATAAATGATGAGCCATAAAGACAGCTTTGATAATACTAAATACAAAAATACATGAAAAATCTGTTTCATGCAGTGCACTCAAAACAGGTTAATAAATTAACACACAAATTAAACAAGTTGTGTGGCATCCATGACCTTTCGGGAGTTAGATGGAACGCCATTTGTCCAAACACCTCCTGTTGGGCTGTCTACAGGTCCTACATTTTGGGGTAATACATACATAATATACTGCATATACACATCTATAAACAGGTTTAAGTCCCTTAGTGGTGTCAGTTTGGCTGCCTCTTTCTGGTCTCCAAATATCTAGCTAAATGTACTGACCTGAGGGGGGAAAAAATCAAAAACAAAAAAAAGGACTGGATCTGCTGATATAATCCAGTGACTACGACTGTAATCTGACCTAGGCTACACCAAAAGATCTCAGAATGTCTGCAATAACTAAACGGAGTGATTTACAACTGCCCCTTTCAGCCACAACACACACACAAAACACACTCCCATATAAAAAATACTCTCATTTGTTTCATGCTCAAGTCGCATTGTGAGGAGGGGATGAGGTGGAGTTCGACGTTTGGTTGGTTGTTCAGCCAGTCTTTTGAAACCTTTCAGGTAATAGAGGAGGGGCGGAGGCGACGGAGGGACCCAGGAGGATGTAGCTGTCCGATCACCGCTGTTTGAGGAGTGCTCTGTACATGGCGAAGCCCAGCACGGCGAACACTGTGGCGCCGAGGCTCGCCCGCAGCCAGAAGGTGGAGTTCTTCAGGTCAGCCTGAGCCATGTGCCTGCGCCATGAAGCCAGAGACAGAGACGGTGAGGGGAAAAGGCAAACGGAGAGCAGCAACTGTCGCGCCCAGGCGCCATGTTGTCCCTGCTGCCGAAACCACGGTGGGGCGTTCGGCCAAATGAGAAGACAAAGTCATGTGGGCGTCTCAGTGAAAAACTTCCTGAATCTGGACCACAAGTGATGAAAATCAGCGCTGTGACTCCAGCTTGAAACAGGAACACATGCTTTGTATTGACATTTGGTTTTGTTTTAGTTTAGGGAACAGGGTGAAAAAAGCGGAGGTTGGGATCTGAGAAGCAGCTGCAGCAGCAGCTCTAAATTGCACAAAAAAAAAAAAAACACACACAAAAAAAAACAAGAATCTAAATGCAGCTCAGGAGGAGCCTTGGTGGAGGAACATAAAACAATTAAATGAATTCAATGTTCTACAGTTTTCCTCCAGTGGCTCCTGATATGATGTTGTTATAAACAATGAATTCCTGTTATGCGACTTTTACTAAGAACCAATTAGCAGCTTATATTTACAACTACACAAAAGCTAATAACGGCAGATATTGTGTGGCTCGTGTGTATACAGAAAAATCCCTGACTGTAAAAGAAACCCATCCCATACTTATTGGGGAAAAGGAAGGCCTCTTTCTTTTTTCCTCCCATGACATCTCCAGAGCTTTGTAAAAAATTGGGTTAACTAAAAATGGCAAAGCAACAAAGATCTATGCAGACTGCAGAGAAGGGGAGAAAGCTGCAGAAAAAGACAAAGGGCAACCTAAGTGTGCTACAGAGGTAACCGTGTGATCAACAAACCAGCCGGCAACACCAGAACACTCTTCTGCGGAAGGAGAAATGCCGATGTGGGCACAAAAAGAGTGTTTGTTACATGTTAAAATAAAGCCCTGAGCGTGGCTCCGAGTCCTGGCCCCAGCACGTGTACACAGAAGTACCGCGCCTCTCTCTGAAGATGCGATTTCTGCCTTTACCTTTGAGGAGACATTGGCTGCTCATCTGAGGCCTCCATATAAATGGACTCCTCCAGGTGGGAGACGGCCGAAGCCCGCTGCCACAGGCTGAAATCCTCCTCTAACAGCAAACGGCACAAAGTAACCTGCACCCGCCCGGCAGCTCTCCACGGACAGTCACACACACACTTAAACAAGGCAGTGAAGCTGGGAGATTCTGTGAGATGATGTTAACCAAAACCGTGAGCAATCATTAGTGATCAATACGTTTAAGAAGAATACTGAATGGATCGGCTGATTGCTGAAGCCCCAAATTTTTTCTCGGGGGGAAGGGGGAGAGGATGATTTTCACATTGCTACATTTCACTAGAGTCACCCAGCTCCATCTAACCAAGAGAAAAAGGCCATTTCCTGCTTTGTAAGCACAAGCTCAACCAAGACTGCAGAGTCCTTACAGTTCAAACGTCAATACAAACTCCAGACAAAGAAACAGGTCCCTGAACACACCATGAATGAAAGCAGAGCACCCAAAAGTCGGGAAACGCATTTAAGAAGACGTAATGTGAACAGTCAGCATCTTCAAAAATGTATTTGTTAGGTTTTTCTTGAGTTTGGAAACTGCTGTGGGAAATAATCCTCACTCTGTCCTTAGTTTGTTTCTTGTTTTTATGATAAAAAAAAAATACTGCTTGCAATTTTATTAATTTGAAAGACTCCCTAACATGTTTTCAAATAGATGATGCTGTAATCTGCCCCAGCTGTTCAGTTGTGGCTCTGCCAGCCCGGGCCTGTTTAAAGCCATGCTATCAATAGGAATATCATCCAGAGTGGGGGAAAAAAGAAAAAAGTTAGTAATGGTTATGGTTAGTGCCGATCACAATGTGGCACAACATGCAGATCTAACTGGATCCACTTCAGGACAAATTATTGCGGATCATCCACCCAAACACAAAACACACTTCTGCCCAATCCAGTAGCTTAAAACAGCCATTCAACCAAACTCCTGCCTATTGGAAACACCAAGCTGCTTTCAGAGCAGAGAGAGCCGTTACTCCTTCATAACCATCAGTAGATGGCAGCATTTCACAGAGGACAGAGATATGGGGAACAAGCAAGTCATGCACAAGAGCAGAAAGTGCGTTAAAAGAGCGTAAACACATGCAGGAGGAAAAGGAAAAGGGGCAGCCAGAAACATTTGTATGAACTCCTACAGAGTGGGAAAAAAAACAAAGACAGGACACACGAGGAGGGAAGAAATGAGAGTGATTGGTGCAGCAGAATCAACATCAGAAATACATTGTGATTAGAAATAGACTAAATCATGTCTACCAAGGCCTAACCCACAGGAGGACCAGAGCCGCGTAGGTTAGGGGCTCGGTGTTTAGAACGGGAAGGAGGACAAAATGAGACTGAAAACATCACGGGGATTATGTTAGGAGAAGAACTCAAGGTTGCAGGCAACAATGAAGTTTTCAGTGGGTCTGAAACACAAACGCAGAAGGCTTATTGTGTTTCTCTCATTTTGTATGCAGATAACGAGCATGTTAGGCAAAGTTTACTGTTTGCATATCCACAGCAGGTCAGCACGCAGCAAGAGTCTAACAATGGTCAGAACTAACACCTAATTTTTCCTTTTTGAACTCTAAATGCTTCATAAATAAAGTAATGCTAAGGCACACACCGATATAGAGCTGCATTAGTGTTATTCCGCATACACAAGCCTAAAAAGGCATAAATATACAGCTGAATGCTTTTTCTAACACTCAGAAATACAACTGAACTGCTTCTTAAAGCTGTTAGTTTCATGTTTGAGGGTCAGTGAGTGGGCGCAAGTCCGAGCTACACTACCATACGTGCAACGTAGCATTTTCACACAGACACACCGGTACCTCCCTGGCTAGCAGCCTGGGTGTTAGCTGGCACAGCATGGCCACACTGCGCTGAGTCAGACTGTACAGAGAGCAGCTCGGCCTGCTGGAGCTGGAGCAGAGAGCAAGACATCTGATGTGACCCGGCCGAGTTCTTACTGAGGAGCTCACTGCATTTTTAACTTACTGATCCTATTGAAAACCTAGTAGCGTGAACAGAAAATACGTGTAGAAGGAAATATATTAAGTTAAACAGTCCTTGTTTTTCAGTTTTATAATAGCAATCTCAAATAGAACTGTACAGCCCAAATTTGTTGATGAAATGACACTTTCAAAACACTACCGTTTTGCAAAAGTAAGAAATGAAGCAAAAACTTGTGGGACAGGGATCTCACACTCAGGTGCTTATCTGCACCTGAGTGTAGTTAACCTATTTAGGTTAAATAAATCTCCTCAAGGGATTGCTCGTTCATTTGAATCATGCCCTCGTAGAGCAAAGTTAGAGTTCTCAGTTTCATGAAAAGTAGCTAATGTCCTTATTTTTTGTAAAGAAAGTCTGAAAACAAAGAAAAAAGTTTGAAACACAAAGACGGAAAGCTCTTTGCCTCCAGGTGTCTCCCTTCTTGAGCGGCGGCTGAATAGTCCAGCAGGCCACAGCTACAACCAACACCAGCTTTACAAAAACACCACCAACATGTTAAATTGACAACCATCAAAAGTGTCATGTTCAGAGCAATCGTTACTCATTTTCCCTGCAGTGGATATGCAGCGTAAACTTGACAGCTATGGGGAACTAAGGGCAGAAGAAGAGCCATCACGGTCACTGTTAGTGAGTCTTGGTAGAAAAGAAGCCCCTCTGTGCCCCATCCTGGTGACCCGAGGGTAAGAAACACAGAGAGGAGGAGGAAGGAGTCTACGGTAAAAGACTAGAGTGAAAGCTACGTATGAACCTGTTGTAAACGACCCTGCGGAGTTGGGCCTTAAGACTGCGCAGCAGCTCCGACTTCAGGAGGTTCTGACACAGGCAATAAGTGCACCTGTTGCAGGAACACATGCAGCGGAGGCGGACGTGGCTGCGGAAAGACACACAAAAATGCCTGTATTCACCTTCAAACTAAGAGAATACGCACCAAACAGCATAAAAAAAGGGAGTGGGACAATAAAGCCAAGAGGAGGAAATTAAAATTACGTCTAAGGTTAACAGCACCATATCAAAGGAGGAGCTACCTCTGAGCTGAGTCCACCAGTGTTTGTCTCCACTTTCTCCAATATTAAAGTGTATTCAAAGAAAACTGGTAAAGAACTACCTCGAAGAAAATAAATGCCAAAAAAATACAAAAAGGTGGAAAAAGAAATTCAGAAAGACACAAAGACATTCACCACTAAAGCAGTTCTGAAGGTTCAGTGCAGTGATGGTGGCTCATTCTGAGTCTGACATCCACCCTCCAGTTTTAATATCTATATTAAATCAATCCAGTTTCAGATGGTGAAACAAAAGTCAAGCTCAATTTTTTTATGTAGACTTGAAGCTTTTATCTAATTTCTTACATAGAAGACATCAATTATTTTTTTATCTTTAACCAATATTGCTTAATTAAAATGTATTGATACACGTATACAGCTCTTCTGGATGGATGAGCTGCACTGAGCTGACAGTTAAATCCGCTGCATCCACAACCATTAAACCAGTTAAAGCCTCCCTGAGTCGCAGTATCAGAGGAACCAGAAGCTCATCTTTTGGTAAGTATACTTGTCTTTAAATTGATTAATTTCAGCCCTAATCCTCTGAATTAGACTGCAGCAGATTCAGGTATTTTAGAACTTAAGCAATAAGATTCCAAACCGCTCCATGGAGATTAAAACACAAATCCCTTTAAATGCTAATTAATCTACACTGAGTCCTAATCTGATCAAGGAGCTTTGAGGAGTTAAGACACTCCACAGGCCGTATACAGTTCAAGGTCTGACCACAAAAATCGACTTGGCATGGAGCTGCATAACTTCACAGACATCTAACGTCCACACAGTGAGGACAGAGTCTGTCCTTTGCTGTGGGTGCATGGTCAGGAAACCGCTCTCTGTATACTGACAAAAATGGAAAGCTTCTTTCATAAGCTGGTTAAATAAAGCCCAGAGTTTGGCCCCTTTATCCGAATGACATCATCTGCATGTTAAAGTAAACATAGCAGCCTGGGTTGGTAGCTGGTATTCATCGGGAGAGAAGAAACGGGGCTAAGCGTTGAAAGATGGACATCGATGAGAAGACCCACGTTAAGGTGGAAAAGGGCCCGCTTGGGCTTCCATACTCACGGATACATGGCCATAGTGGTTAGTCTGGTGTAGAGGTCTTTGCTGGGAGCCTCGGCGCTGTTGCAGGTGAACGGCTGGGGGGGGTGGAGCTTGTGCTTACGGCAGAAGTCGTGTGGCGTCAGGCTGTAGTGCTGCCGCACCTCGTGCAGGTCGGACTTGGCCGATATCACCACGCATGGCGTCTTGCTGTCGATGAAGTATTTCTGCAGAACGCAAGCGTTTAATGTCACCAGTGTGAGCTCGCATTCAGGCCTCTGGTGAGAAGCCGCCTGCCGTTCACACACCTTGTACACTTTAGCGCAGTACTCAAAGGAGCGGGGATCGTTCACGTCGTACACCAGGCAGACTACATCACAGATCAAGTCTGCCTCTGTCAGCAAGTCGAAGTCTGGCATCACCTCGTGGAGCTTTTGGTGAGTGGACAGGACAGGGACCAGAAAGGGAAGACAGTGCATGCAGATGGAGGGATTATCTGCCAGTGCTGATGCTGTAATACACTGAGATTATGTAACAGTAATCCAGAGAGCATCTGACAAAATGTGCGTTCAGAGTAAACACTCTTACCAGCAGGTACTTCTCCTGACCGTAAACATAGGTCGTACTGATGGCGTAGAAAGACTTGTGGTCATCTCTGATTCGCCTCTGTTGCTGTAGTGGAGCACAAAGTAGTAACATTCCTTTTTGGCAATTTATGTGGATCACTTAATCAGGTAAATGAAGTGCTTTGAGAGGCGGAAACAAACACACACACAAAAACAACTGTCTGAAAACTTGGGTCCAGGTTTTCACTAACCTGCAGGTTTTTGCCGAGGAAAGCTTGAAGGAAGCCGCTCTTCCCGCTGTCCCGCGCACCCAGGACGTTGCAGCGGAAGACGCTGCGCTGGGTCTGCTTCTTCTGCAGGTCGATGCGCTTGTTACGCGTTACTGTAATCAAAGCAAATCGTGTTCTCTTTACAGTTAACATGCCGAAGAAAAAAAAAGAAGAATGGGAGCAGTATGAAATACTGCATTACAGCTTAACATGGTAATGGACAGCAAGCCCTAATTCAGTCTTTAGTACCAGTTATGGCAGCCGCTTGGGACTCCTGCTCGTAGATGATGGAGTAGCCAAGATAACCTAAATACTCCAAACTCCGCTGCACATCCAAATACGTAGTTAGTCTGCCAGAAGAATGACAGAGATCACATTAAGTCATGTGTAAGATTTGGCAGATAACGTCTGTACACTTAAAGTCTGATGAATACTTGTGTGGAGGTACTTTGGGGCGAATACAGTATGCAGGGAATTGTGTGTGTACAAGTAGACTGTTAGGTCCACACTCACGTCCACTGGGAGAGGTATCCCTGGTATGTGATCCACCCCTTATCGTTCGTGCACACCGTGTTGTTGACATCTGGACCCCAGGGCATGTAGGGAAACACTTTGAACAAGTCCTTCACCTCCTCTGGTGACAGAGCACAGTCTCTGTCCTGGAATATACCAAGAGAACAAAACATTTCAACAAAGGATAAGGATGTGTGAGGATAAGCAAATAGACGAGCCCAATGGATGGTCATTTTTTAAGATACTGTACTAAATAAGGCTACGCAATTAAGACAGGAGCACCAACATATCTCACGATTAAAATGTTGTCTGTCACTCACCTTGTCATGTTTGTCAAAGACACTCTGCAGAAAGAGGTAAGCGTTGTGGTTTAACTCTGTGGTGCAGTCAGGAGGAATCTTTAACCTGCAACAAAGAGAAGGTCACGAGGTCAATTGGGGAGCTCCGTGTACAGAAAGGTCAAAAGTAAGTGATACAGCTCTTATGTTGAGATGAGCTAAAGCAAATGAGCAGATTAAGACATGGAGTGCATATGCTCAAATATCACTGCCTCCTGTTAGCAGTGTCGGGAGAAAGACAGCCTCCGTTTGCTAAAAAGTGACCTAAATAAAGATCTGAGTGTGTGCTCACAGGGGGAACAGGTACTCCTGCGTGAGCTCCAGATCATCATCATAACCGAACCTCCTCAGCACAGTCCAGGTGGTCTCATGTCGACCACGCTGTATGAAGAGAGTGTGCAGGAACAGGAAGCCTGAAAGAAAGTGCCCATGTCGGAATGAGCCTCATGGACGTAACCAGACAGTGGTGAAGAAGATGTGAAGACAGTCCCACCTTTGAGTGTGAGCCCGTTGTCCTTCACTCCGTCGCTCATGTTCCTCCTGACAACATTCTTTACATCCTCTAAGGCTTGGGGCGCTAGTGGCGTATTAAAACAGGTCCTCTATAAATGAGAAAAACAAGGGATACGTTAAGCCAGAGGCATCTTTCAACAGCTACTCCACGTCTCAACCTGCCTCTCTGTGGCATCAGTTAGTTTCTGACAGGTTCCCCTTTAAAGTTTACAGTTCCACATTTTAAGGAAAAATTCACCTGAAAGAAATTGAGCTCGTTGTCATTTAGGATCCCATCGTTGTCCAGGTCAGACACTTTGAATATTCTAGTTAAAGCCTTAATGCACGACAGTTTCAGCTGCGAGAGAGAGAGGAGATGTAATGTGTGAGGCACAAATGTTTCAGAGTGCTGTCTACATTGTAGCTTTTCACAAACCACATGAACCCAGTCTGATGTACAGTAAACACTGTTTTTCCTCCCCAATCACAAACTCAACTTTAAACCTACACAAAGACAATCATTCCAGTTATTTCTGTGTAATTTGTAACAGATAAATAGGAGCTATGTGGCAGCCTGCTAGGTAGAGAATTGGCCCCTTTGACTCTGGACAGAGGTGAGCTTATTGGGTTTTCTCTTTTTTCTCTCTTTTTTTTGGTGTGTGTCATGTGAGGATGTTGCAAACAGGCCCAGAAACCGCAGACTGCAGCATGGACAGTGCTTAATATCAAGGTGGTCTGTTTTCCATCAGTTTCTTTATATCCGTCTATTTTTGCTTTAATGGGTTGGTGTAAATGCCTGAAAGGACAAGCTGCGATACGCAGTAACAGAAATATCCTGTATTGGTCCCACAATAATTATTGGTTATTTAGTGCCCAAGTATAAAACAGAATAGTATCGTAGTTATCAAAACCCTGTTAACCCTCCTTTCACATTTTCATGACAGCCACTCCAAACTGAAGCTGGTTACTGGCTGTTGCTACTTTGTGTCAGTGCTTACTTTACATCTGCTTTGCTTATCGAGAGAGCTTTCAGTCTGGTGAAGAGGGTTTAATCCTGTTTAAGATATATAATCAAGATCAATATTTCTTTTAGCTAAATTACCTCTGAACTATTTGCCTTTTTTTTTTGCTGAGTCGTATCTCTGCCAGAATCGGCTTCGTTCCAATTTTTTTATGTATTTCTTTTAAACCTCACTCGTAGTGAAAGTCTTCCACTTTCAGTTCTAAATTTACCTCCTTCTCCTCCGGGCAATACAGGGGTCCTGTTGGGTGGAGAACAGCCTTCTGGGCGTAGTAAAAGAGCTCTGAGATGTTTTTCAAGTTTTTGGCAGAGCACTGAGGGGAAAAATTAAGAAAGAACACATTCATAATCTGAGTAAAGCCAGCATTCAGTAGTATCAATGAATTTGATTCAATGATCAAATAAAGAGCAGACCTAATGCACACTATGTATTATGTCTAAAACGCACAGAAAAAAACATACCAAAAAGCTTTCAACTATATCAACAATAACAATACGGATAAAATTACACATACAATTTTAAGAGAGAGAAACCATTTCAGCCATAGAGCACAAAGACTGTTTTATGATCTTATATGATTTATTCAAGTTGGTTTAGGAGGGTGATGTCCTACATCTCCTTTAAAGTTGCACTGAATAAAACTGCAGTGACTTAACTGTGATACTGCAGTAAACTTCTGGTTCACATATTTTTAATACGAGAGGTGCGACTGTCCTGATCTGAGCCAGCTGTGTGTGTGCAGATCCTCACGTCCTCCTCACCCCCCTCCTTTAACCTTGTAACTAATCCATCTGAGGAGGGCACGACTGAGCCGCCTCATGCAACGGAGGGAAATTTGAATTAAGCAGTCATGCAGACGGATCTCAGTCAGACCTCTCAACATACTCACAGCCGAGGTGTGAACAGACTACTGAGAGCGGGTAAAATAAATGTATTAATGGCTCCATCAGAATGTAAGTGGAGTCAGGTCTTAGAGTAGCTGGCTTGCCTGCACTGCACTGCACATGGACTAACAGCCACAACAGGAATGGCATTTTCATACCCATTTTGCATCATCACTTAACAGCTTTGCAAAAATTAATCTTGACATTTAACTCAGTGGGCCTCCACATATCAAGGGATCTAGTGGGCGTTCATATTCAGAGTGTGTGTACAGAATGTGGTGGAATTTATCTTTTACCTCAACACAGGTTTCAATATCTTGGTATTGATTCATAATTGGTAAGATGGTCTCCATGCTGCTGTGTTCCACCAGGTCAGACTTGTTTCCCACAAGAATCAATGGCACCCTGCAGAAGAGCCAATTTTCATCAAATCAACAGGAAAATCATAAAGAGCTACTTTGAAAGTCAATTTATTCACTGGTCAGTTGTTTGAAGCAACAAAAAATAATTTTGATGAGAAAAATAAATAAATAATTAAACATATGAATGAAAATAGCCAACTGTTAGTGGACCTGCTGAATACACACCTGCTATCCTTATCTGTTCTGTCATTTATAAGAGGAATCCAGTGGCTGGTCACCTTTGGGAGGAAAGTAAGGCAACAAACATTGAGGATAAGAAGACAGTTGGTAACCAGCATGACTAAATTATTATAGATTCAGATGAACATCTTATCTCCGGCATCAAGACATGCTACAGTTCTAACAAACTGTATTAAACGCAGGCCGCTATGATGCTCACCTTTTCAATTGACTTCTTGTTGTTTACAGAATAAACTATGCAGATAACATTTGCCTACGAAGAGAAACAATAAGATTAGTTTGTGAGGCATGTGATACAATACACTTCATATGTCCACTGTCAGAGAAACTGTAAGCCTAAAACAAATCAAACCTACCTTGGAGATTTCTTGATACAACTGTTCATCTGATTGTTCGGCTTCTGAGTAGTCCACAATATGTGTCGGCACCCTTTCTGGGGTGACATCAGCTGGGATGGTTATCTCTTCAGCTCTGAGCGGAACCTGGTAAACAACCAAAAGACATGAAAAACAAGCCCCGGATTCCTCTCACAAACAGGCTGGTAAAACTGTTAAATCTAAGTTTATATTTTTAATCTGCAATGCAGAAAGATAAGGTCTACTTCTCTGTGTTGAGGATGCAACAATGTGAGGGACAGATCGTTTTTCCCAGACGATTTTCCCAAATGTCTAAATGTTGCTAAATCTAGCCATATACTGACACAGCTGTAAATTCTGACCAAGGACCTTTGATGACATGTACCTCATCTGGAAACTCCTCGCTGACCAGAGACATAATCAGCGATGTCTTCCCCACTTTCGCTGTATGGAGACAAGAAGAACACCCACATCACAAACACTGCATGCTTCTTTTACAGACAACAGATCCTTTTCACACAAGTTCTTTGTCACTGTTACAGACAGGTGTGTCTAACATGTGGAGTGACAAAGAAAAAACATAGGCCGCTGAAAAGGGTTAACAACTGAGTGCCTTATATCTCACACAGACACTTATGAAATGCCAGCAGAGAACACATTCACAAACTCCATCCCACCACACAGTAATTAATTAAAAAAAGAGCCCAAGTAAGGCATAAACTTGGATTGAGGTGGTTTTTCTAAGTGATTTGCTTGTTAATATTTACCTACAACATCCTGGTTCCTAAAAACATTAATAGAACAAATAATTACTTAAACATTTTTCTTGGTTTCAAATCACAAGGATGTGCTGGGTTTGTTTTACAACTTTTCTTCTTGCAAACTGATCAATTTTGGATTCAGGGTGCTCGCTCAGGTCTCAAGATGGACAATTTTCCATATTACGATCTCTTCCTGCAAGAAGACAGCTGAGAAACTGAACCCTGCTGAACTTCACAGCACACATCAGACTGCACGTAGCTTTCTGGCAGCACCTCTCAATAACTGTACCAGCTAGCCTCGACCAGCAATGTAGGCCATCCAGCAGCACCACAGCTGAAATATAAATAGTACCAACAACACATCAAGAGGACAAATAGAGCAGATGAAACTTGGGTTTAGAAAGATAGGATAGGTTGCCATTCTGGTAAAGGGCACCCACTCTAAGACTTTGGAAAAAGTTAACTGTTTGAGAACGTGCAAATATTTAGCCCCAAAGTGAACTGAGCCAACTATAACTGAAACACCACATTTCAGAGAAACTGTCATCAGTAATTGAACGCTTTCATTTTTATTCAAAGATTATCTTTTTGGGGTTACTGTATGTAGGTAATTCCACATGAACAACATGTGGACTGCATTTCCAACAGATTAAACAAATAACCTACAAATTGCTCATTTGAACAGACTTTTGAGGTCCCATATTAACTATGAAACTCTTCACTTTGTCCTTCATTTCTTAAATTACTCTTTGGTACAGTTCCCCATCTTTGAGAGGAAAAATACCAGAAATGTACCTTTACGCAAATTAATTTTGGGAAGATTCGAGTTACCGTGTGATACATAGCAGGCACTACGTAAAGAGAATTGTTTCTGACAGCATCTGTCATACACTAAAGTGAGTAGGATTTACTTTAACCATAAATCATGTATAGCTTGTTACGATGTTCTACTCGCATACACTACAGAATAAACTAAAATACGGTTTAGCAGTTGCACAGACCAACAATAATCTAGAAAATGACTAAAACTGCAGGGTTTACATGTATTTCATCGTTAGCAGTAGCATCTAGCATGCTAGCTTCCAACCGCTACGGGATTACAGACTCCAGCTACTTACGTTCCCCAACTAGCAGTATCCTCACGTCCTTTCTCATGTTTGAACTCGCTTCCCACGACAGAAAGGACGGTCTTCACTGTATCATGAAGTTATATGGAAGACGTCAACCTTCTTCGCCTGCTCCAGCAGTTTACCTAACGTCAGGCCCTCCCGCTGTCAAACACTCGGCGCCTTTGTAGGACAAAACGGACGGACAGTTCACGGACGCTACTTCGCGTTTCCTTCGCGCTTCCCGTTGATTAGCAGGCAACCAGCTCAGAAACAAACACGATTTAAAAAGCAATGTGCGCCACTTATCTATTTCATTTCATATCAATTGCAGTCTTTTCGACTCTCGTACAGAGTTTCGCATTGAAAGTCTCACGAGCATGCCCGACCTCCAACACCGGGCTCCTACGGCAAGCCGTAGAGGACCAACTTCACATGACCCCCAAAGTTTAAAAAAAATGACAAAAGCGTTATGCTGCTCTCTGGCGCCAAAAGAGCGGAAATGTATCCATTGAGGAGCTCTCCTGATTATGAACGGTAATCTAATAAGCGTTTACACATCCTCGTCTTGACACTGAAATAAAAAAAGAAGTTTCTCTGTTAACATATCTGATATGTTTCATTATTAAAGTGCAGAAATCAAATTTGTATTTTTAAAACATTATTTTATTGCGTTTTGCTCCACATATCGTTGCACTTCAATTCCATGCAAAATTGTCAAGCAATTTACAGAATTTACATTTGCAGCCTATCTTAGAACTCTCATTATCTGTACCTTTTGTCATCAATTATCAAGCCAACCTATTTTTAAAAAGAAGTAACATACATGGCTATAGTGTCCACAAACATCTCATTCACGTTTTTCCTTTTATAATGAGATTCAAATAAACAAATGTCAAATCAGTACCGTAAGATATAATTATAGCAACCTCAAATACATCAGGTGCCAGGTGAGCATTGCTGGTCAAAGTGGTGGCTTTCACATAGGGACCTTACTCTGAGCTAAAGCATGAGCATCGGGTTCAGCTTGTGAGGTGTATGAGCTGTGTGACAGTCAGGCTTATGGTTTAAGAGTGTCAGGTGTGATTCGGTGCAGAGGCAGCAGGTCACAGAGTTTTTCTGTTGGGCTTAGCAAAAACCAGCCATTTGTGTTCTGGCAGCAGTCACCTTGTTGCTCTTCCTGGTGCTTCTTCTCTTTTGTTCACCTTTTATACCTTAAATTGGCTTCAGCTGGAAAGAGAAAGAAGAGTGTGAGAGTGGGATCATAAAGATGCACAATGCACTGTTAATTACTGTACTTCTCTTTATGGAGCTACGCAGTTTTCTATGAAGCACAAATAGTCACACTGACCCAGTGGAAGATGCATGAACATTATTGAAAATTAGAGATAACATTGCAGATTTACACTTATAACTGACTTTATTTAGTGAAACTTTCGTTTTAGTAAACAGTGAATTCATCAATTAATCATCTTAATGTATGATTGAGAGATAAATCACAGCTATAATGTGTACTTGACACACACAGTTTGTGAGTTAAACTGCTTTTGTTAAACATTCTAAATTCGTTTTTCAGTTAATTTATTCTTCCATTCTGTTAGCCTAATAGTCGAGGAGCTGTCTATTCAAACATGACACCTAACCCATCTACTCATCACAACTCGTCTAATCTGTCCCAGCCAATCTGGTTCTGAATGTTACTGAAGTGTTCAGGCCTTGTTCACCTGCATAATCCTGTGGTGACATGACCTTGGACAGGACCTTTCTGAGGGCATCGAGCCACTCTTTCTGCTCCCTCTCCTTCTCACACATGAACACAAACTGTCGCTCTGGCGTCTCCACTGTGACACCAAACCTCCACTTGTTTCCCCGAGCGTGCCCTGGGACGCACTCCCTTGCAGAATAACCGTTGCTCTCTGGGCCGATGAAAATGACACCTAACTCCTCGGCATCCTGCAGTCACAGCAACAAAAACAAATCTGAATTCTAATTCTAATAATCAAAATCATTGTGAATGTGAAGCTCATAAGAGAAGAAGCAGTCCTCACCAACTGGTCTTTGAAGTAGAACAGCTTCCTGCTTTCGGAGTCTAAAATAAACCACCTCTTTTTGAATGGCTCCTTTTGCTGTGCCAAAAAACAACACATTTACTTCAAACAACATATAAAAACCATACAGATTATAAATAGAGATAATTCCCCTGAATTTTTAATGGAAGAAATTATATAGTATGCCATTTTTAAATATATATATATTTGGCTGAGTTTTACAGAGGAACAGAAACAATCTGGCAAGATAATAAAGTTAAAAATACCCTTAATGGTAGTTAAAGCATCTGAAATGATTCACTGCTTGCAGAAAAAAAAGGCTGCTGAATGCACAAATGAGGAAATAAGATGAGATCATTTTACAGTATACTGTATATGACTGTTTTACAATAGCTCACCAGCGGCCCCGTCTTCTCCATGTATCCCTCTTTGAGGTAGTTTCTTGTTATCTTTGGTATCAGCTAATAGAGAAATGCATAGTAATGTAACACAATTAAACTGATTAGTGGTTTCTCACACAAGATGAATAAGAAGGCATTTGAGAGAATGAAGTCACCAAACAGGACTGACATTCCATCGTAGGCGTTTGTTTACCTCTTCGTCACTTCCAGTTGGATATGCTGTCTTCAGGTATGCATAGCGAGCAGCGCGGATGGCATTGTACCATGTGACTATTTCCTAAAGTATTAAATAAACAAGCAAAGAAAAAGAAAACTTCCTGAACAACTCTAAAACTAAGGCCACTGTTCTGGTTTTCCACCCACAGGACGACCAGGCAGTCCCACCTCAGAGCTCTCGTGATACACGTAAAGGTTCCTGGTGTGATCTTCGTCCTGGTAAGTGATCTGCAGCCCGTGAGGATGACCAATCTTCTGTGGCTGAAAGGTGGCGTTTAGGTCCTTAATGGAGATTACAGCTTTAGGGCCTTTGGACTCCTAAATTATAAACATGTGCATGTGAGTGTCAGAGTGGACATCAAGATAAAATGTGAGGAAAATAATGAGTTGTTTAACATTTAAATCTATTATAGTATACTATCCAAAACAACATTGCAAGCCCTTCAATATGAGCAGTTTGGGCTCTCACAATTGCTTCAACAAAGTCACTGTTAACATTGTGCAGTAATGACAGAGCTGGTGGAAACTCACATCTTCCTTGTTGTAGTACGTCAGGGTAAATTCCCTCTCTGACAGCACAAACTTCCTCTTTAGAAATTGTGAGTTGTCTTTCCCTTTCTTCCACAGCATTCCTTCATAGAAACCTGTTACGTCCAAGGGAAATGATTGAGTTACAGCCCTTATGAGACACGTGCAGCACCTGTATATTAGATGGAAACGTTTTAATTTCGTCAGGGAAATTGCAACTCTCCCCGTGCACTTCCTGACTCTGTCAACAGACAAGTGACCCGTTTTTCTTGCATTGTTTTGCATGTGTAAGAGGAACCAAATTTTTTTTCTTTTTCAAATAATAACCCTGTGCACTTACAGACTAGCAAGTTTCATGCTCACATGCAGGCCGGTAAGCACTGAAAACATCACCTGTGGTGTATGAGAGCGGGGGATACTTGGTTTCTCCTGTGAATTCCATCCTCTCATATTTAGCCCGAATCCACTGCTCCCTGAGGATACTGCGGCGCAAACAGACAATCGGGTGAACATTTATTGTTAATCTACCTCAAAAACATGAATCCTTTATGACCACCGGATTTTCATCAAAATTTCACTTCTACAGTCGGCAGTTCCACTTCTCTCTTATTTCTTTCTGGCCATGCTCTGTCAGCAGTCTGTTACTGATCAGAAAAGCTGCCAACTGTAACAAATATAGCACTACTGAGACAGTAGTAGTAGTGGTGCACAGACTGGAGTCCTCTGAGAGTGTGCACGTGCACGTGCTGGGAGAACCCTTACCTGCAGTCGTTTTGTTGGGGTCGATAGTAGTATGGTGGAACGCTTTTCTCATACACGGCTCGGACGCTGGCGTTGCCATTTGACTTCATGAACTTTTCACAACCAAAAGACAGAGGTTAGCCAGAGCTGCAGCCAGCTGGTTTCTCCACACCGAGATTTGTTGTGTGCTCTTAGAAATGACAACAGAGAGCGAATGCGTAAGGGGCTGTCCGTACCTGCACTAGTTCATCCTCCCAGAAGTCTAACCGGATGGATTTGACACGACTGGAGAGGCTGCGGTGGATCCCAGAGCAGTTCAGACACACAAACACCCCCAGCTTGTAGGATGCCCAGTCTGGATCTGAAGAGGCCAGAAAAATCATTCTGAAGGTTTTGTTTTTCTGTTCAAAGCTGGATTAATGGAGTGTTAGATGTGAGTTTATCTGCCACTGACAGGCTGTAAGTAGAGCTCCTGTTTAACTTCTATCTAGAACTATGTGTATGTAATTATTACTTTTTTATCCTTTTTTCTTATCCATGCCCCTTGTTATGAATTAAATTTCCAGCTAAAGTAGGTTACTGAACAAAAAGAACCAAAACAGTTTCAGAGATGATGCTAATTTAAAATAGAAGCATATAAAGTACACTGTATTTAAGCACTTCAGTTTTGGGCTTGCTCTTCAATATCAGCCACCTTATTTCTGGTAATGCTATAGTCTAATTTCCTTTGATAACTTTGTATTAAGAGTTTATGTTGTTGATACAAATTATTACAAACTGAAATACTCCATTATGTTTATCATCATGTGGTAGCTGACACAAAAACGTACAAATATAGAGAAAATAAAGAAGGGCACATTTATCACCCATTAAGTTAAACAACTGAGTGATGGTTTTAAAGCTGTGAACATCCCAGCATCGCTTACCGGCCGCTCCGCAGTCCGCGCACCGGCTGTTGTCCGCTTGCTTTGCCAGTTCCAGTAAGATCTTTTTGTTTCGCTCTCGGTTCGACATTTTAGTCCCCAGTCGCGGTTTTCTCTCATAAGTTTTTGAAACCCGCGGACGAAATCACACATGTCGGTCACACTTCAACACTTGGCGAAATTCAGCTCCATGGGGACACTGGTAGCTCGCGACGTAGAAGTTTTGGGAGTCTCTCCTCGGATCGGACGCGCGGCTGCGCTCTCTGGGACGCGCCCTTCTGCGATCTTGACACAATTGATTTTTTTCCCATTTCAGTATGCACCTCTGCGCACTGGGCGTTTCTGCCACTTGTTCACTGATAGAAACCAGCCAACCTACAGGACGAGATACCATCTGCATACATTCACGTTCTGCAAGCCTAAAAAACGACTTAGATGTGTTAAGTCTTTATTTTATCTGAGCAAAATCCAAGCGTGAAAAATCTGTACAAATTTTAGATGAAAGAAGAAAATAAAAAGCACCCATCAGTGTGATATCATGAGGCCATGAAAGAACATTTCAGGCCAAAGACGCCAGGCAAGTGATAATTTATCTTCAGAAATACAGATGGTAGATCTATCACACAGTTTCATTCCAATCAACTCATTCTTGCTACTGAAAAGTACTATAAATTTAAAAGGACAAAGTATGAATAAGTGAAGCTACACAATACTGTACAAGAACACAGATACTTTTATATTACAGAATTCATATAAAGCTTTTAAAGCACCAGATCTCACATATGAGGTTGTTTTAGTTGTGCGCCTTCCAACTCAAAGTCCTATGAATTAAGGGATTTAGCAACTTTCATACCGATACATTGTGTGGAAATAGTCATTTTTTTGCTGAGCAACCTTCAAAACTTCACGGTATGCTGGTGTGTTGCAACACTTTTGCATAAACACATAACGCGTTACTTCTGGTGAATCAAATGATATCTATTCAGGATCTATGTATGTGACCATGAATATATCTGTGTAGATTAGGGAAAGTCTTCAGCAAGTAACTGTAGAGTGCTCTTGTCAAGACCCGAGTGGATTGCATCTAGATAGTGCAGGAACCTGGAAGAGAGGAGGACATCAAAACAATTATAGTTATTTATTTTAAATGAGCCGCGTACAGCCCATGTCGGTCATCCAATCACCCCTCTGAACATTAGGTGCTCACTGTCAACAACTAAAACTTTTCATGCCCACAATTCAAAGCAGCACAGGACACTGCTAACCGCCTGAAAAAGGCTACAGTGTCAGCTGCTCACCTCCGTTTGACTTTGCCCTGCTCCTTCAGCTGCTCTGATCTGCAGATGGTGCGCACGACTGGCAAATAGTCCAGAGCTGCTGCAGGTCTGCTGCTAACGGAGCCAAACACCCCTCTGAGCGTCAGGTTCTCCATCAACTCTCTCCTCTGCTGGACCAGTCTGGAACATAAGAAAAATTGCTTAATACATTAAGAGATGAATATCATTGAAAGATTAACCTTTTTCTTTTAGCTGTGTTTTTGAACAAATGCTGAAAAGACTCACCGTGGTTCACAGGGGCCATCCTGAGTGAAGCTGTTAGCCTCCTGATGGGGGGCTACAGGAAGGCTGAGCTCTGCCACAGCCTCTTTTCTGACCTCCCCCGGCAGTTGTTGAACTTTGTCCCAGGCCTCCGCCACTGAAGCCTGACACCGGTGGAAGCTCAGAGCCTCCACAGCCGCCTGGATCTCCAAGCAGCCTGGTGTTGACCAGTCCCCTCCGAAAGGCTCAGCCCCCGACTCATCTGTCATCCCATCTTTAATGACGGCGCTGACTGCTGACATTCTGCGAGTGTGTCTGCTGCCTGGGTGGAAAAGCAGGGATGAATCCAGATAGGACATGTTGTCCAAGAAGTCTGCCATGGACTCAAGACACTGCGACACTGGAAGACTTCTTATTCGCTCTTCTGGAGAGAGGGGCTTTCGCTTGAACCTTTCTGAAACTGCACCCTCTTCCACTTCCGCTCCGGCTTGGGTCGTAGTTTGTGGCGTGTACAGAGAGGGAAATCCATCCTCGGAGTCCGACTCAGAGTGCAGTCCATCTTGGTCAGGCAGAACGTGTTGTTTTTTCTTCCTCCTCATTCTATGGGACACTTTGACTGGACTTGCACCATCAGAGCAGTCAGAAGCCTCTGCCGACTGCTCTGAGGCAACACCAGGAGGCCGGGTCGCCGACAGCAGGGGCAAGGATGAAGTCTGATTGTCTTGCGGCAGAGAAACGCATAGCTTAGATTTAGATGTAGTCAGCTGTGTGAGAGGTAGAGGTAAGAGTGTCTCCATGTTGGAGTAGAGCAGGTCGACTCCTCGTTGCCTGCTATTTAGTAGAAGTTCCCAGCAAACAGCCTCCTCCATCAAACTCTGGCCCTGTTGACAACAAATTTTCATATTAGTTTATCACAATGCCAAAGCAGCTAAACGACTCAAATTAATCATCACAATGAAAATGTCGCTCCCACATCTGTCTGTCGTCGACAGGCGTCCTTCTGTAACACCCCATGTAACAGTGTGGATGCCTTCTTAACTCTTATAGGGCAGAACCGGTTTGGATTCAAAAGGCAGTGACGATCTGTTCTTTATGCAGTATATCTGTAGTATATTACATAAAAGGAGCCAAAAAATGAGGACGAGAGTTTACCTTGAGCAGCTCCCAAATGTCTCTGTCTGGTTCTATGTTCAGCAGGCCCAGTTTGCTTTCGGTGCAGCCCGAGTCACAGGGAGGGAGACTGGATGTGACCATCACAGACTTGTCTTCTTCCTCCTCTTCAGTCTCTAGCTTCACTTCAGCTTTTAATGCAAATAATAGAGAAAATAGTCATTTCACTCGAGGTCGCATCTGCAAAATCATCATGTAAGAATTTTGTTATGTGAAAAAACAACAACAGGGGATTAAAACTATTGTTGAGCTCATCTCCTCACCACTTCTGCCGGCATGCATCAATGGCCTTGCCGAGCGGCGTCCTCCTGCACTGCGAGTCCAGAACTGCAGCTGCAGCAAACTCTGTCTGATGTCACAGCCATTGATTCTGAGCAGAGAGCTGATGTCTGCTGGGTTCGTCCTCACGTCCTCGGCCAAACACAGCAGCTGCAGGTAACTGCCAGCATTCAACTACAGCAGGGGACGCACAACCCACACACAATGAATCAGGTCAGCGATGGGCTCATCACAACATCGACACGTTCAAACGGGAATTTTAAATAAGATTCCTCTTACAAGTGAAGGCTTTTTGAAAAGGATCTCTTCAAAGCTTCCATCAAACATGGCGCTGAAAGAAGGATCTGAAAACACACATGACAGCAGATGAAATCATTCTCAGGGCAGACAGAACTGTATGGCTGTCCACCAGCTGTGTGCTCAAACTAACCGCTGGTGGTGAGGATGACCGGCCTCTTTGTAGTGGTCATGAAGGTCTTGATGGCAGCTAGAAAGCCAGAGTCGTCATCAAAAACAACATCCACTTCCTCGAATAGGATCAGCGATGTGGCCGTCTTCTTGCTCTGTTCTTCACTGTTCTTGTCCTTGGGGGTGGTGGCAGTTTGTTTTTTTTGTTGTGTGCCGACCTCAGATGCTTTCAAGATTTTTTCAGATGCAGCTGTAAGAGATGAAAAAGACTCAGGAGAGATAGGAAAAAATACTCACCAACAAGTCAGTGACTGAGCCCAGAAAGATTTATTTACCTGATTTGTTTGTAGCCTCTTTGCTGGAGGACTGGCCCGTTTTAAAAAACTTAGTGAGAGACATTGGTAACAGGCCTCCTTTCTTGGGCCTCCTCGGTGACTGAGGAGGTTTTCTGGGAGAAGAAACCACTCTGCGAGGCGAAAGGCCCTTTCCTGAAAAATTAAGAAAAAAATCCCAAATAACTGCATGAAATTTTAAGCTGCATGTTTGAGCTTTCAGACTGTTGTAACATTCTGGACATACTGGGGGAAGATCCAGGCCTGACAGAGCCAGTGCTACTGGTTGTTCCATAACTGTTGAAGTAAGTGGGCTTGTGGGCACCCACTCCCTGACTGTCCACCTGGTGTGACTGTGTAGCTTCCTTCAGCTGGGACAGAATAAGACGACCACTTCGCTGAGACGAGGCGTTCACCTCAAATACCTTTTTTTTTTTTTTAAATTTTTAAAGAGTGAGAGAGAGGGGACACAGTGATGTTAGTTATTTAATTAGTTATTTAACACCAGCCCTGCTTTTAAATTATTTAGAAACATGATGCATTTCGAACCTTGAAGCCAAGTTCCTGGGCACAAGCGTACACTGCAGCAGTCTTTCCCACTCCTGTGGGTCCAGTGATGAGCACTGTATTACACAACCTGTCCTCCCCATCCAGGAAGTCCATTTCTCCACTGTCCCAGTCCGAGTCTAGACACGAAAAGTCATCACTGGCTTAAAATAAACAAACATCAAGCCAAAAGAGGAAGTTGTAAAAACAGAAAAATCTCTCACCATTGCTGCATTCTTCTTGTTTCTTATCTTTGAGGTTTCTCCTCTCTTCTCTGTCTGCACGAATTTTCCATTCCTTTAGCCAACTAGAAAAAACAGCCAACACCATTAGAACCATGTCTAATGCAGAGAATGATGGCTGTGATGTAGTGCAGAGCTTCTTCAAAGCCACAGGTGCGTCTCCTCACCTGTGCAGCTTTTTTACTGAGACAGTGTTGTCTATGATGTCACAGGAGTGCTGGGGCTGATATTTGTCCGTCCACAACACTTCTTCTTTCACCACATCTAAAGAAACAAACGGCAGGCAGAGCATCACACTATAAGCTGAGGTGTTACATCTGTGATGTGCTTCTGTCAAAAGAAAATGTGTTTTTGAACATTATTACAAAGGTGTATCAAAGGCCTATCTATCATCTGTGAGAAAAACACATTATGAGAGATAAGATATGTCTGTATCAAAAGCTTAGTATTCCTGCGTGTTGTGATTAAACACTGACACGAGCTATGATTTATCTTAGATTGTTACCATACAGTTAGCTCACACACACCTTTTGTTCCAGTATCTTCGTCATCCACAACAATCACAGAATCATCATCAGATGTGAAGGGGGAAGATTTCACGCCTTCCTCTTCTTCCAGTCTTGATCGTTGACTTCTTCTTGTGCGTCCCCCTCTTTTGGGGGGCTCCTCCAAATGGTTGGATTTAGGTTTTTTAGCCACCTTTACTGTTTTTTCTCCCACATCATCCCTCCTCTTTCTCTTCCCTCCGACAGATTCAGATGGCAGGGGTTTGCTGGTGTTTTCCATCTTTCTCAAAGCTTGATCTAATGATTAAATTATAAAGGTTATTTAGGATATTTCCAGTGCAATGTGCATTAATAAGAAACGTTTCAGAGACGCCGACCTGAAGCTGTGACCTGCTGCTGATGGTCAGTGCGTTTCTTTAAGAGGCGAGAGATGAACGTCTGTGTGGGGAAGTGAGGGTTACAGTTGCTAAGCTCCCCTAACAGAAGCTTCCGAAAAGTCTCTGTCATCTCAGGTCTCCAGCCTGACCCCTGAAAGAAATATTACTTAGTCTTTTCCCTGGTAAAGTTAAAATACCAACTCTAAACCAAGTCCTACTTGTCCTGTGAGAGATTTCTCAAATACATCAGGCCCTTATTAGCAGGTTGGGGGCAGCTACAGAGGAAACCATTTAGATGAGACATCCTACCTTTTCGATAGAGCGTTTACAGGCTGGTATCGTCTTCACATTAATGGAGCCGCTAACAGACGGAGGTGGGTGTGAACTTCTCCACAAATCCTTCAGATGACACAGCGATGAAGATTCAGGCCACGGCAAACTCCAAAGGGGGCAGTCTGTCAGAAGACATGAAAAACAGCTTTGGCCCAAGTCGCAGGCTTTACTCCTACCTTATATGTGTATTATTGCAAATGCAAACTTTACCATCGGGGGCTTGAGTTGTGTGTGTAACTGGCTGAAAGGAGGAGCAGGACATTGAGTATGCCTCCTTGGTGGCAGCAGTCTTCGCAATCTGCTTCCTAAAGGTATCTGGCAGGCCGCTCTTCAAGAACTCCCTGCGCGCTCTGAACTGCTCGTCATCCTGGGAGTTTTCAGAGCCGTCCCGACTGCTCTCATCAAAGATGGAAATCAACGTCTGAGCCTTCGGAGCAGATTTCTCATGGTCTGAGAGTACAACTTTGGATCCTGTCCCAAAGAAAGTACAGGCTCTTTAGATCGGGCTGTATGGAAAAGCTCGGGTGTTTAACAATCTACTGTAATGGAATACCTTGAACAGCTTTGGTGGATGATGCGGCTTTTCCCAGAACATCATTCAGGCTGCGTAAAGGTCTTTGAGCTTTACTCTTTTCTGGAGCGCTTTGAGCAGTGGTCGTGTCCTCCAAACAGATGACAGAATCCTGACATGACATACCAGAAAAGGAGCAGTTTTATGGTTATTTGTTTATGGACACTAAATGTTCCAAACTGTCGATAAAGTTTTCAATGAGAAGTAAATATACGTTGACCTCACTGCATTTGACAAATATTCGAACAAAACATTATTTTTCTACGTTTACTAAATATACATCATACGTTTTTACAATAACATCCAATAAAATAAAAAATATTAAAAAATCTAATTACAATTCAAATGGAACAATCTGAATAAATGCAGACTGGAGCTCCTGCATTATAGATACAGATACAAGGTTCCCTGCCCACCTCATCTTCACAGTATCTCCTTTTGGTCTGGCAACGTGATGAACGCCTTAATGTGTCCTGCTCTTCCACAGTTTTCTTGCTGTGCTGAATCACTTTGGCTTTTTCCAACAGCTTCTTTGCCTGCTTCTGTTTTTCAGACTTATTGGATGTCTGAAAAAGGTAAACAATGGCATATTGATTATCATCCCCTATCAAAACAGATAAGATTTATAATTTTATTTTATTTTTTAGATAATTTTTATTTAAGTACTTACTCCAGTTGTCGAAGAAGGATTTGGCTCACTTTGTGTTCTCTTCTTGGATGTGGAGACATTTTGATGAACTCTACTGAATCTAATCCTAAGATTAAAAGTAGAGGAAAAGAAAAAGGATATTAATATGAAACTGAAGACATTACACAGATATATAATAGCATGAGACTCTGAATGAGAAAGTGAATATCTATCTCACCTGATTGGACTTTCTTCTGCGTCCGTTGGGCATAGAATTTCTGCAACAAAGACTCCGTGTTTGGACTTGCGTGTCTTTGGGGTGGACATGCAAACTACGCTGTCCTGAGCTGAAACAGAACCAGCTACGGAATCCTCGGACAACTCATTCCGTCTCCTGGTTTTTCTGGCAGGAGTTGTTGGGGCGGTCTGAAGCGTTTGCTTGACCACCGCCTCTCGCCTCGACCTCCTCACAGCTGGGGCAGACAGAACGGAGTTTGAGGCGGGAGGCTCCTCCATTTTGTCATCAACCTCAATAACTGCGGCCACCATTTCTTCCACAGCTGTCCCAGCAGATGTGGTGGCGACTGTGTCACTTTCATTTTTAGGTTTGCGTCTTCCTTTTTTTGCAGATTTCTTTTTGGCCGGATTGTGCTCCTGAGTGGCTTCTTCAGCACACGGTGGGATTACAGAGCCCTCTTCTGTGACCTTATCCGAGTTATCCAGAACCTTCTCCTCAGTTTGCTTTTGTTTGCCCTGGCTTTTGACAGGCTTAGCTTTGGACCCCTCCGTGCTGGGCTGTTTGAAGGCAGCCATAAACTGTTTCCTCTCTGCCTCACTGCTTTTTGGAGTGGATTCACAATCCAGTACTGCCAACACCAGATCCTCCTCCTGAAGGACCACATTGGATCTCCTCTTGACTGGGTTTCCAGCATCTGTGAGAGAAGGTGAGACTATCTCTGCAGGGTTATGAGTCCCTTTTCTCCGGTTAAAGATTGAAGCCACCTTTCCCAATGCCTTAACTGCCTCGTGTTTGGGTGAGACTACATGCACCTCAGCCTGGATAGTAACAGTTCGGGGTGAGATCTGGACTGCTGGCACCATGGAACTATCATTTCCTTCAACCTTAGGGATGTCCAGCTGCTCAGAGTCCAATTCCTCTGCTTCTACTATGATTCCACCTCCGCCAATTTTACTCTTTTCATCGTTTATGTCCTCTTCCATGTTGTCCGGATTCTGACTGCGCACAAAATCTTCAAAGGAGATCGTTACTGTGCTGCTATTTAGTTGAGAGGTTTCTTCTTCAGTGTTGGCATCGCATAATGAACTTTCAGCTTTTGTCCCTTCTGGCTCTGGATGTTTTTGCTCATTTTGTTGCCTCTCCCCAAGCAATCGTACTGAAGTTTTAACCTGTCTTACATTTTTTCTTGCTGATAAAATTGGAGATAACTTAGTAGTGTTTTGTGCTGGGTCACATTTGACATCATCTTCAGACACTGGACAATCTACTTTGGGTTTATCTCTTTGAGCGCGCTCATCTCTGACACTCTTGGAGTCAGTGAGTTCTGATGTTTTTCCTTCACCACAAGCCTCTGCACTGATTTTTGAGAGCAGAGCTGCTGTGTCGCTGCCAACGATCCCGTACCCTCTGAGTGCATCTGTTGTGGAGTTTTTGCTTTTGTCCGATTCTTCTACAATCAGACAGCTTGCCTCATCAGAGGAGCAACAAGTTTCAACTGCCACAAGTTTCTGGGCAGCTCTGCTGGTCTTTCGTCCCCGTTTCTGAGACGGCTGTTTCACCAATTCCGGGTTGATTTTGTTTTCTGCAAGTTGAGACATTTGCCGGTTTTCTTTAGATTTTTCTGGTGGGGATGTCTTTTCTTTAGAGGAGGAAGCCTTTCGGCTAAAGTAGTCCAAGATGTTGGTGGAGCGAGGAGGAGAAAACGGTTTCTCCACAGGTTTTGGAACAGGAGAAAAATAATTTGTGATTGTTTTGACCACAGGACTGTCACCATCTTTGCGAGATTTTTTGCAAGGCTGTTAAAAGACAGAAAAGGCCATTTAAACACAAAAATGTATTGCACATCAACCTGAAAGCAGTTATTTCTGATAACAAACAGACATGTAGACTTGAACTACGCCTCATTTACTATAAACATATTTTCACAGAGACCAACAATTTTGTAACAACCTGTCAAAGACGACAAAGCTTTTTTTTTTTTTTTCTGGCAATTTATTTAGTTTAATCACAAAAAATGTCAATGATTACACAGATAAATTAAATGTTTGCACCAATGAGGTAATCCCCAAAAATGTTTTAAATGCCCTACAAGATGCCCAGTACAGTATTTGGAAAAAATATTAAAATAATATAAAAAGTATTTTCTAGGAGGGTTTAGGTTGTTTGGTGGAACAAAGTTGGTCAATTGACACGGTGATTGCCTCGCCTCATATCATGTTTTTCCATTTATGTTTGCACATGTTTCAGTAAGTCACCTCACTAATTTCCTTTTTTTCAGGCAACAGAAGAGGATTTATGATCCAGTATTGGTTTCCATTTACTGGCTGTTATTCTTTCTCAGGGTTAAGTAAATATACTTTAGTCTATTAAATATATGATGCAATTTATTATGACAGTTAATCATTGATTAAACAACTCTGTAATGGTAAGGGTACCAATGGTAACAAATCATCAATGAAAATGTGAGAAGCATTCTCCCAGTGTAAAAGCTGCTGCGTTAAAATACAACAGTGCCAGAAATACCTGGGAGTCGAAGTCTTCAATGACAGAAGCCATAGCCACAACCCCAGCCATAATTTGAGTAGCCCTGTAACAAAAGAAAACAATGTTTACCATGGAGCTGAAAGGAAGCTAAACAACTACAGAGAAAAGCGAGCTTCCCTGACGTTTTGTAGCTCCCTTTCAGCTATTTGCTAATGTAGGAGAGGTCTAAGTAACATGCCATGTTTCTTATATTTTCCTGGAGCTTTCCTTTCTTCCACCTGATAAATTTGTACATTAAACGATGGAAAGAACCTAATAAGAACCATGACTAATTTTACAAATATTTAAACATAACACAAACTAGCTTTTTAATGGTACAAGCCCCTCAATGCCTCAGTTGTATAAACAGTATTCACTTGTTTTAATTATACATGACAATAAACTTTACAGGATACACAGCATTAATATCATGCTTTGCTGGGAGACGATAACTTCAGTGACTCCAGAAAATATAAGAAACCAGCTAACAAAGAAAATCAATGTATTCACAGTCCTGCAACAACAAAAGACGATATTGGCTACTAAATAACATTTACACTGATATTAATGCCGACATGGCGCCCAGCAACGCTTCCAGCTTGCTGCTAAATAACAGAAGGATAGTCCCAAAAAGTAGTAAGACACTTACCAACAAGGCTAAACTCGTAAGTTGTTGAGTGTTCTGAGTCAAGTGTCTTAAAGTTTCTTAATCACGCCTCTGTGTTTATGCAGCTTAAGCACAGAGGCACAGTCCATTTTTTAAGGCTGAGAGTGTTTTCTTTAAAAGCAGACACAAGTTTCGCTATAAAGCAACAAGCTAGCAGACTTTGTCCAATGCTAGTCTCACTGCTGCTCAGCTCCTCGCTGGCCCCTAATTGCTTCCAAATCCGACATGAGCGCGTGAACGAAGAGCACAGAATGTTACCCTTTGATTCTAAGAATTATTGCATCTGGAGATTCTAAATACATTTTCAATTGTATGTCCTGCTCTTTCAAAAACGCGCCTCAACGAAGAGCGCCAAATATACATGACGTTTGACAAGCCATGGTTCCCACAATCACAGGATGGAAAATGACTCCGTCATCTCCTGACGTAGGTTGCCCATAACAAAAATGGCGCTTGGCCTTGCAGTTGGTGGCGAGGAAATGTAGACAGCGACATCTACTGGCAGAATAAATTAAATATTTCTGCGTGAACCTTTGAAATGATTACAACCCCAATGGCTATCAGAAAACTGTCAAGAAAATATTGAAAAAAAGATTAAAATAATAATCAAAGTTGCATTTCCCACGTTAACAAATCGAACACATTCAAAAACGGTAACAAATACATTTCTAAACTTAATATTTTTATGGAAAAAAAAACATGCATAGAACCAATGTACCAAAATTTTTTTTTATGTCATGATGACTGTCAGCGTCTCATTAGAGTAGATGAAGTCTGTGATGGAAGTTATTTTCAAAGAGAGAGTAGTATTTTTACTCTCTTCACACAGTCATTTAAACACCTGAGCCACACCCTTATGGGCCAAGAACATACCATTCCTTATTTTTACTTTCATTTAAGAACTGGTTCACCAAAAACATTCACCCAAAACGGCGACTAGCTGACTGAAAAACAATGGCAAGTAAACCTGCTGATTTCAGTACTGGTAAGTTTTTGTTTTTTAAAATCAAGATCGACTTCAAACCATGCTGCTTTTAAAATGATTATTTACTGGCAACGTATAAAGAACCCAAGTATGTTTGAATCTTATAGCCTAAAGCAACATCTTAGCTTAACCAAAACGACCCTTGGGATTTGTAATCAGATTGCTAATAATAAACTTGACCACTTGCTGTGATGTAAATGTAATTTTGTTCAGTTAAAGTTATATTATATGACACGATTGTGTTAGTTATGTTTTACCTACTTAATGTACATTTGTACTGAATGTATTCTATGTGACACTTGATTACCTTCCCATTTCTGTATTACAACTGTTGCACAACAGCTTCTTTCGAAATGAATAAAGTTGCTGGAATCTTGAATCTATGGTATGGTAACAGTAAACATGTTGAGCTATTATAGATTCTGCATTAGCTGGCAATAATAGGGTATGAATTACACCCCACAATTACAACACACGTCACCTATTCTGTATCTCTTTTACAGGACAAAATAATCCATCTTTGAGGATCGTGTTGATCGGTGGAAGAGAGTTAAAAGGAAGTAAAAGCTCAACTGGAAACTTTATTCTTGGTGAAAGCGTTTTTGACAACAGTAAAAGAACAGCTCAGAGTGTGGTGAGGCAGCGGCATGTACTTGGCAGACAAGTCACTGTAGTGGATACACCAGGGTGGTGGTGGCATTTTACACGAAAAGACACCCCAAAGTTGGATCAGCTAGAAATCCAGAATAGTGTCCATTTGTGTCCTCCGGGGCCTGATGCCTTTCTTCTGGTAATCCCTTTTGACATATATTTGTCCCAGATCTGCAAAACATCATTTAAAGAGCACCTGAAGTTTTTTGGTGCCGAAGTGTATCGTCACACTATTGTACTGCTCACTTCAGAAGTTCCATGTCCTGACAAAAATGTAGAATTCAAAATAAAAACAAGCTCAACACTGCAGTGGATTCTTCAGATGTGTGGAGACAGAAAACATGTTCTCAATATCAATAATAAAGAAGACAGCATGCAAGTCTTGAAGCTTTTTGAGAAAATCGAGGCAATGGTTTCACACAACAGAGAGACTCCCTATACAGTGGATGCTGCTCATGGAAATGCTATCAGAGAAACCATAAGAACTTTGTCTGAAAGAGCCTCAGAAAGAGTCAACAAAGTGGAGAAACAAAGAAAAAAACTCAAAGCACTGATTGAAGGTAAGTTACACATTTCTCAATTCCCAAAAATTAGTATTAACAATTAATCAAGTCATATAAATCCATGTCACTACCTTAAATCCTTGTATTATACAAACTAAGAATCCCACTAAAAATACACAAAAAAAACAAGTCTATTGTCTAAAATTAAAAAAAAATTCACTTTTGAGTTCAAAGACAGTATGTCTTTTCCAATATTGTGAGACACAGTAAAACAATGGTTCTATGGTTCTCTTAACATAGAAGATAACAAACAGGAAATGTGGCTTACAATTAATCTATTAAGACAGTTTATTCGGTCTCTTGCTTTTTTAACTATATAACTATATATATTTATTTTTTTTTTTTTTAACCTGTGATCTCAAGGGGGGTTTTGAATTTAATTGTGTTTGTAAGTACTGAATTTGATTAATTTCTTAAAATTTCCATTTTAAACTCTGCAGGCGGCAAAGCTCCCCCACCACATTTGAGATTAGTGCTAATTGGTGCTCAGTGGGCAGCCAGGAGCTCAGCAGGAAATACCATTTTGGGAAGAAATGCATTTTGTGTAAATGACCATAGCAAAAGAACAATGCGCGGTGAGATTGTCAGCGGGATGGTCCAGGGAAGAAGACTGACAGTGGTGGATTCTCCTGGCTGGCTCTACAACAACAGCCTTCAGGACTCCAATGAGATGGACAAACTTGAAATAGAGGACAGCATGTATCTGTGCCCACCAGGACCACATGCAGTGCTCCTTGTGATTGTCTTGGCAACAGCAATCAATACATCATACCAGAACACAGTCCGGGAACACGTGAGTCTTTTTACAGACGACATCTGGAAGCACACTCTTGTTCTGTTTACTAGAGGAGACTGGCTGGGAGTGAAAACTGTGGAAGAGCGAATAGAGAGTGAGAAAGGTCTGCAGTGGCTGGTGAACAAATGTGGGAACAGATATCATGTCCTTAACAACATGGACCACAGCAATAAGAGGCAGGTAAAGGAGCTTCTTGATAAGATTGAAGAGATGGTTGCAGGAAATGATGTTCCTCATTACGAAGTTGACCAGGGCCGTGCAGCACAGATAGAAAAGGAGAGGGATGCTGCAAAGAAGAAGGCCAAAAGGTTGAAGAAAATGACAGAACGACAGTCAAGAATGCTGAAAGAGCTGTTTGAAGGTAAACCAAATATTCGAACACAGTCTGCTACACATGGAAGTAGTGTCGCTGTTCTATAATGCAAGTTATAAAATCTCAAATGTGCCTTCACGTGCAGGGGAGAAGCAGCCAATGAATGATATACGGGTTGTGCTTGTCGGCCGAAAAGGGTCAGGAAAGAGTGCAGCGGGAAATTTAATGCTGTTCAACGAGGTTTTTGAAACTGATTTTACAACAGTATGGTTCAAGAAGGTAAAGTGATGTGCTGCTTTTGATTAAACATTTAAAATGCTCTACAAAAGCTGGAGTGACTACATCATGTCATAACTTTTCCTCTTTTTTTTCAGTATAAAGGAAAAACTGCAACATGCGTGAAACAACAAGGAAATTTTGATGGAGTAAAAATCACAGTTGTTGAGGCACCGGGCTGGTATATCGACATGACAACACCTGACTGGCTTCAAAATGAACTTCTCCACAGTGTCTCAATGTGTGCGCCAGGCCCTCACGCTTTCCTTTTGGTTGTTCCCATCTCCAAAGCATTCACAGAGAGGGATTACAAAGCATTTGTGGAGCTCTTGATGCCCTTTACTGAGAAAGCATGGAGACACTGCATGGTGCTGTTCACTTGGGGAGACTGGCTGAATGAATGCCATATTGAAGAGTACATTGCCTCAGAGGGCAAAGCCCTCCAATGGCTTGTAGGAAAGTGTGGGAACAGATACCATGTGCTCAGCGAGTGTCAGTTTGGTGATCCTGCTCCAGTCAAAGGGCTGTTACAGAAAATTCTAAACATGGTAACACAAAACAAGGGATGCTTTTCAACTGAGGAAAAGCAAAGGAAATTCTCCATTCTACGCAGGCAAACAAAACAGCCCATGTTGACAGAGGAGGAGTGGAACAAAAGGGAACAGATGCTGGTGGACCGAATGTTAAAAGCTTTAGCAAAAGAACCAGAGGAGCCAATGGCGCAAGCTGTAACGATGGCCCACAGCATCGATGACTTATATATTCCAAGCAGTAAGTTCCCATTATGAAGAACAAGCATTTACTGTGTTACACGTATTCTTTCAGCAACTGACACGTTATCCTTCTATTTCAGTGAGTGGAGATGCCCCCTCAGAATATAGGAGCACCACAGAGTTCAGGAAGGAAAGAGCACATAATAATGTTGCTGAGTGGCTCAAAAGAAGAATGAAACACTCTGATACCACCTCTGGGATTGGCACCATTTCTTCATTTGGCACGAATCTGGAAAGGTTAGAGGAACATTCCTTGAAAGATGACCCTCAAACAGCAAGTCCTGCTTTTCCAGAAAAGGAAATAGTAGTTACTTCTCATGCGGGAGTCTTCTTAAACGCCCCAGATGTCAAACGCAGAAACTCTTGTTAGACAAAAGAGGTCTTGAGGAGAAGAAAATAAGTTAAACAGAAGATAGAAGAAATTCTGTTATTCTGTTAAAGTTCTGTTAAGTATGTTAAAAGGTTTTATTGTTATGGGTAGTGTGGTATTTATCTAATGTTTTAAACTGTTATAAAACTCATCTTATGACAGTACATGCAATTTCTGAATGTTAGCTATAATGTAAGCAAAAAAAAGAAGCCTAAATGAGCCTTTTCTTTTAGTGCAATGATCTCTAAGCAAATATTTGTTACATTTTTTTTAAAGATACCTGGGATGTTTTGTAGTGGGAATAAAACAATGAAGAAATGTAAATGCAAAGTTTTTATTTATGTTTATATCAACATATATCAATCCTAACTAATCTAAGGGGGACAATGATCAATGTATATACTTAAATGCATATACCTTCGTTTTTTCATAATCAATAAACAAAGAAATTAGTCATTTATGTTGTATTCTCCGAGTTGTACAAGCTTGCCCTCTCGAAATTCGACTAAATCACTAACAAATCACTCACACAGTACATTTTTAAAATATCGCTGCGATTCAAATGACTTTGGTTTTATACATTTTGGGCAACTGTCTTACTGTCTAATTTGACTGTTTTCATTACCAGCCTACTTTAAAATATGAGTAAAATGTTTAATTATATATTCAAAAGGAATTCCACAGAACGCCGCGCATAAAACTGCACAACACATAACTATTTATAGTGTTACAGTTAAAATTGTAGCTAATTGATCCTCCTCGGTTTCCGTCGGAGCTCTGGGAGCTTTCCCCTCTCCGTCTTATATTTTCTTTCCTGCGCAGACCTAGTTGCGTCTTTTCTGTTCTCCCCCCCGCCCCCCTCCCCGTCCTCTGTATGCCTGACATGTCGGAGTACAATGCCGTAACGCCACCCGGCTCAGCGGCCCCTTCCGGTGGCGGGCAGGCGGCTCTTGGGAACGGTGATGGAGGCATCAAGAAGGATGCGTTTGCGGACGCGGTGCAGCGGGCCCGGCAGGTGAGGGATGCGACAGGCAGGTAGCCTAGTGGTTAGCATGAGAGCTAACGGGTTAGACCCAACTTGACATTGACAGATAGGTGCCTCTTTTTAACAGTTGTTAGTTGTTGGGAAAAATGTTAAATTCACAGTTTAATCAGGCCTGCAATTTGTCCTAAACATAAACATAAATGCAACTGTTTGTACTAAACTGTAAAAAGTAATGTCAGACAATTTTACAGTTTGGTACTGATGGCAATGGACACTTTACTGTAGTTTGATTCCCAAAATAGGTTACAGTGCCACGCGAACCGTATTCATTTTGCTACAATCCACTAATGGTTAAATAATCAGTTAATTTTGACAGAAAACTAAGATAGAAGAGCACTAATGAACTGAATTTATAGAATGTCATTAACAAAACAATTTTTTTTTTCTTTTGTATGCCCCCAACTTCTTAATTATAATTACATTTCTATTACATTTATGGGTGACTTCATGTTATTCTCATCCTTTTTGGCCTTGGCAGCTTTTTCTAACTTTAGTTTCTGCTTTGCTGATGCTTTCATGTAATTTATGCATGAAATAAACCTGCTGGGTGAATACATCTGAGTTGAGTTGGGCCCACGATGTGCCTTTTTCAAACCAGATTGCAGCTAAGATTGGGGGTGATTCTGGTCCTGCCCTGACCCACACAGCAGCTCTAGATGGTTTTCCCTTCACCGGACAGAAGCGGCAGCTGGAAGATGCGGGTAAGCATCCTCTGTAAAGCGTCCCCCCGACAGTGACAGCAGATACAAGGAAAATTCTCCATCCTCACGTGTATTTTTCTCTTGACAGATGAACCGGAGAGCAAGAAGCTGGCTTCACAGAGTGACTTGGAATCAGCCAAAGCTCTCTGTGAGTCTATTTTTAGCATCCTTTACTTTGTTGAGAGTGTATGACTCACATATGACAGTGTTCAACTGCGCTGTCTGTGTCACATTGTCCTCACATAATTTATTAGTAGTATAAAACCTCCTCTTGTCTTTTTCCTCTCTCCTTCTCTTTGTTGTCATCCCTTTGCAGCCATCAGCACGCAGTTAGCCGCTCTGGCACAACCAAGGTGAGATATTGCAGCTCTCAAAAGACTGGATCATGTATAAACCAGCATTTGAATTAAACCAGTAGAAGGAAGAAAAGTTTCTGTTTATCCTTTTCTTGACTGAGTCAGACCCACCTCTACCTCAGAGGAGTACAGCGTTCCAGACAGTATGGTGGGACTCAGTGAGTTTAGTCTGATTGTATTTGAACTAAAAATAACAGCACCTCATCCATCCTTCATACGTTTTGACAGTGCAACCCCCTCTTATTTCCTCATCACCAGTTATTGGCCGGGGAGGTGAACAAATCAATAAGATCCAGCAGGAGTCAGGTTGCAAGGTCCAGATAGCTCCAGGTATGGGCCGTTCTTCAGTGGAGTTAGCCACATAGCCCAAAATAGTTTGTTTTAGCTCAATTTGATTGGTTTTATTCCATTTTGTCTGTGCTCTTGGTGTGTGGACAGACAGCGGAGGCCTTCCAGAGAGGAGTGTCTCTCTCTCAGGGTCCATCGACTCCATACAGTGAGTTTTAGATATTATAGCCAAAAGCTTGCTGTAGATTAACGTACGCATGTATGACAATGACAAATGGTGACGTGGGTTGCTCGCCCAGTTGAGCAATTTTTCCACAACAATGGAGAATCCCGAAGGCCCCAATATTAATTTCCACTTATGGATTTTCTACACTTGAATATTACGAGAAGCTAGATTTATTTAATTCTTCTTTTCTTTATATAAACAGAAGTCTAAATGATGGCAGGATTAATAAGAGTCAGTGATCTGCTTTTCACTGACCAGGAAAGCCAAGAGGTTATTGGATGATATAGTGTCACGGGGAAGGGGAACGCCCCCCTCTTCGTACCATGAGTCCACCAACGGGCAGAATGGTACAGTTCATGAAATGATGATCCCTGCTGGCAAGGCTGGCCTCGTCATTGGCAAGGGTGGAGAGACCATCAAACAGCTGCAGGTATACTGCAACACTTAGTAACCATTTTTTAAAACTTGTACCTGTTTGTGTGTCAATTTAGAGGTCATCACGTAAAGAAAAAAGTCCACTCTTTGTCAATTGGAATGTTTTTTGGATTGGAGTTTTTTTTTTAAGCCTGGTCCTTTACAAATGTGTTATGGCATTTTTTAAAGCCTTAAAATTTATAGAGGAGGTATTTCCTTTTTTTAATAGGACGCTAAGCTTTATGTGTGATTGTGCGATATTCCAGGAGCGCGCTGGGGTGAAGATGATCCTGATCCAGGATGCCTCTCAGGGACCGAATATTGACAAGCCTCTGCGCATTATTGGAGACCCCTACAAAGTGCAGGTACAGCTGTAAAGTCATCGTAATGAATTCCAAACTGACTGTGCTCAGTTTCTCCTGTTCTGTGATCAATGTTTCTTTTTGTTTTTCCAGCAAGCCCAGGAGATGGTGGAGGAGATTCTGCGGGACAGGGATCAGGGCGGCTTCAGTGAAAGGACTGAATTCAGCTCCCGGATGGGTGGAGGCATGGATGTGGGTTTGCATGTAGAGTAAAAGTGATATCAGGGTCTGTCAGCCAAATCCAAGGAAATTAAACAATGAACCAATGGTCTTTTTCTCTCAGATTTCAGTCCCGCGACACTCGGTCGGAGTGGTCATCGGGCGCAATGGGGATATGATCAAGAAAATCCAGAATGATGCTGGAGTCAGGATACAGTTCAAACAAGGCATGTTTGGCTACAAACACCTCCATTTAATTGTATATAATCAATGGTTTAAAGAACACTGTGATTCTCATCAGTCTTTCATAGTCTAGTAGAAATCAGTGATTGTCCCTGTTTTTGATTAGTTCCAATGATTTAATGAAAATAAGAAAAAATATCCTTCTTGCAGATGATGGAACTGGTCCGGACAAGATTGCTCACATCAGTGGTCCGCCTGACTGCTGCGAACACGCGTCACAGATCATCAACGACCTGCTGCAGAGCATCAGGTTCAGGGAGGAGGGACAGGGGGTACGGGCCGCTCTCTCACTCTAAACATCGCTATACAGCTTAAATGTGGTTCTATTAGCAGCCGTGAGACTTTCTCCTCTCCATTCACAGGGTCCCCCGGGGCCTCCAGGCACAGCTGCTGGCAGCAGGGGCCGATCCGGGGGCCAAGACTGTTGGGGACCCCCTGGAGGTGAAATGACCTTCTCCATTCCAGCCCACCAGTGTGGGCTTGTGATTGGCCGTGGAGGAGAAAATGTGAAGTCCATCAACCAGCAGACAGGAGCCTTTGTGGAAATCTCTCAACAGCTGCCCCCCAACGGAGACCCAAACTTCAAACTGTTTATCATCAGGGGGTCACCGCAGCAGATTGACCACGCCAAACAGCTCGTGGAAGAGAAGATCGAGGTACCAGATTCTCTTGTTTCTCAACAATGACCAAAAACGCAAGAAGCCAGAGTCTTCCAGGAATTCTTTTTCTTTTGCACTAACATGGTGTGCTATTATATTGTGTTTGAAGGGTCCTTTGTGTCCTGTGGGCCCAGGGCCAGGTGGACGAGGTGGACCTGGTCCTGGTGGTCCAATGGGTCCTTACAACCCTAATCCATACAACTCTGGTCACCCTGGGGCTCCTGGACCACCCCAGTGAGTCACTACATCTCACGCTCAGTCGTTCTTCTCACTGTATTTCTTACATTAGATGACTGAAGATTGACATTTAGATAATTATTTATTTTATCGTCAGTGGTGGTCCTCCAGGCCCTCACCAGTACACCCCTCCAGGCTGGAGCAACACCTACCAGCAGTGGCAGCCGCAGCCATCCAGTGACCCCAGTGAGTCCCATTTCACTGACATATTTTTGTCACACACCCTTAATATTTGGCAATGGACTGTTTTGTTTTTTTCTCAAAATGTGGAAAGGTCCTCAGGAGTACTGATGGAAATGTTGTGACAAGATAAACTGTCTTCAGCGGCCATGGCTAACCCTGTTTCTGTTTCCCCCCCCTGGTCTCCAAGCCCGGTCTCCAGGCCAGTAGCAGGGGCACACCCTCACCCTATGAGGACCTCACCCCCTCCACCCTGCATCTTTTCTAGGCAAGGCAGCAGCCAATGACCCCAATGCAGCCTGGGCGGCGTACTATGCCCAGTACTACCAGCAGCCATCAGGGGCTGTGCCAGCGCAGTACCCTGCAAACCCAGCTGGAGGTGCCCAAACTTCAGGGGATCAAACCCAGGCCGCACAGGCACCGGGGGGACATCCAGATTATACCAAGGCCTGGGAGGATTACTACAAGAAAATGGGTGAGAAGAAAAGAGGAAAAAGGACCCGTCCAAGTGGAGCAGTTACGAAAAATCGCAGGATTCTTCCACATTTTATACGAGAAATGCTACGATATGAATAGATTTGGTCTGCCTTGCCTGGAACATGTTTTGTCAATTTTCATGTATTTTACATTATCGGCAGATTCACAGTAAACATGCACTTCAACGTTCCCCCATCTTTCCTTCCCCTTCAGCTCAGGCAGGTGGCCCAGCCCCTGGGTCAGCAGCTCCAGCTCCAGCAGGGGGAGCAGCATCCACAGGGGCGGGTCAGCCAGACTACAGCGCCGCCTGGGCAGAGTACTACAGGCAGCAGGCCGCATACTATGGCCAGACAGGACAGGGACCCAACCAGCCAGTCACCCCTCAGCCTGGACAGGTTGGTATGGAGAATAGGCTTTGTCCATGGTAGTTTTCAGGCTATGCGGTAGGATAACGTTTTAATGCCGTACAGAGGCAAATGCCCTTACAAAAGCAGAATCATTATTTTTCTCATTTACACCGTGCTTCCTCTTTACCACTCCTATTTCAGATGCAGTGACAGCTCCTGGCAGAGAGTCTGATGTTGGAGAGTATCAAAAAGAAAATAATGAGAAGAGGACCCTGAACTTCAGGCCACGATCTTTAAGTTAAATATATTTTTACTTAAGAAAAGGGCAATCCTTCTTGCTAGTTAGCATTATCCAGATGTTTATTAACAGAAATGTGAACTGAACAAATGCTCAGGAGCTTTGCTGCTAAGTGGTGAAGATAATGGAAAAGGACTTGCAGCCATCCAAGATATAAACCTTTTTCAGTGCGTCTGTGCAGCCTGGAACCACTTCTCATTATGCCACTATTTCTGTTAATTATGTCAGTCCCATGCATTGACCTTCCTGTCCTAGTAATGTATTTACTAAATTAGAGCTTTTAGACCTCTAATCATATTGTGTATCTCACACAGATGGTGTCAGAGAAATGCATGTAAGAAATGCAAATGTTCCTCCTCAAAGGCCTGCATAGCGTCTCATCCTGTGAAAACTGGAACTGCCTTTCCTTATATTGATTAATGCACCATTAATCATTCCTCTTTTTGTTCCAATTTGCAAAACTAAAAGAAGGAATTTGAAAAATAACTAAAACAGAGTGATGCCATTTTTCACTTGTGAAACAGTTTCACTGGGAATATGATGAAATGCAGAGGCAGGCTGGACAGATGACCATACCTTTGGATACAAATAGATCGTGGAGGATGTATGGAAGATATTTTGTGAGCTTATTTTAATTTATGCACCCCCTTTATGGTGCATGGTTTATGAACCAGGAAAGTGAAAGCCACAGCCTTATGCTTTTAGCCTGCAAATAACACATGACCTGTAGTCTTTTACGAGTTAACGCACTTTCACCTTCAACAATACACGCTGAAGAGTTGGACAATGGACACATGTTGTGTCACATTCAGGTTATACGCCAGTCAAGTTGTGAATTTCTTGGATCTCCTTTATTCCTTTCTGTTGTCTTTTTCTTTTACCTGCAAAATAATGAAACCTCCTCTTCTAGTATGTTTACTTAAATAATTTGTATTACAGACAATACAATTAGCAATATAAGGCTGTTGGTTTTAAGAACATGATGCTTGTGTGATTATCATGCTCTGAATCGCGGCTGTGAGTCTTGCCTTTTGAAAGCAGGGTTGATGTTATTGGATGTCCACCAGCAGCAGTACTCTGAATAAAATTGGCAATTACTTCAAAAACACTTGTTCCCTTCAATCTTGTGACACAACTGAGAAGAACCACCCACCACTGGATGTCACTGTTGTTCTTAAGATTAATCAGACAGCAGCAAAAAGATTGTTTTTTGTTTTTTTGTCGACAAATGTTGCTTTTCAGCCCTAAAAAGTTCACCAATTGAATCGATCTGTTTCTGCAGAAGCAAGCTGTTTTCATAAAACGAAGTGGTTCTGTTTCCTGTTGCAGTGGTGACGAGAGCAGAAGTGGTTAAATCACAAATGTGTGAAGCTATTGCTCCGGAAGTCATGACGTGCTGTTGAGCAGTATGTACAGTTACAAAGATTCCTAACAGAAAGAGATGGAAAGCGAGTGTCTAAGAAACCAACATGTAAGATTTTACGTGCTAAGTGCTACATGGAAGGAGTTCCGGTGCATCCTTTAAGAGTTGTGTTTATAGAAATGTAAATTCCACCTTACAGTTTGTTGGGGATGAATGTGAGACACATTAAATGAGACATCCGTGTCCTTTGCCAGTGTTTCTGAAGCCAGCATGAACCAACATGTGCTTTCTGAGGTTCACTAGGTTAACAATTGTTCAAAAATAGCTTAGATGATCAGCTGTCCCTTATATACACCAAGAAAAGTGTTTAGGCAGAGATTTAAAAAGTATTTTTTAATGACTGCAGTGTCAGTTCACCACCCAATGATCTTCTATGCAGTAATACAGTGTTATACAGCCATAGAGATGATAAGAAATTCAAAGAACTTAAGTGCAATTTTAAAAATTTCTTTAATTTATATCTTTAAAATTAAAAACATCTGAATTGCATTCTACCACCTCCAAAGGCACAGTCATACTTATAGCGGACCAAATTCATAAAACACTGCCACTGAACATATATTTTTTTCTGAGTTTGTTTTGTCCATAAGAAACAATGCACTATAAAAATGACCAAACATTTTCACTGGGTAAACCATTCTGTATGCTGGAGAGTTAAAGACTGGAGTCATATGTACTCAGTCGTGGTAGAATTAGACTCCATTTAAAGGATAATGTGCTGGTTTAAAGCTGGCAATGCCTGTTAAAAACATGTGCAGTGCAGCCATTTAATGACATGTTCACACCAACTGATCTCAACAAACAGTGTTTAAGAAAATGGAAGCAAAACTAAACCACTGGCAGGAGAGTGGGAATGCAGTGAGATGACTGGTGGGGGAGGACTGCAGAGAAGGCCATCGGATTTTTCACTTCTCATCAAGTTCTCAGAACAGCAGTGACTCGTGCGAGACACTAATTTCACACCTCCACGTCGTGGTGACAAAAAAAGTGTACGACTTCAAAGAAACTGAAAAACATTTCAGATAACTCTGTGTTTTAAAGACAACAGTCAGCATGTGCAAAGAGGCCGGGCCTAAGCCTGTTTGTGGTAAAGTCATCAGATATGATTTAGGATTGATAACTTAACGTACAATCACAAATCAATAATGCACACAAAGGTTGCTTACAATGTGTGACAACACAGCACCATACACTGCACAAGAGGTTCACTTTGTGACAACAGAATTAAAAATAGTGGATAAATATACAGTAGAATACATCCCCGTTCTTACTCAGGCACAGTCCTCCCTTAAACCCAATGAAAAAATCATGGAAAAACTACAGGAACTGGGATCAAAGAAAACCGGTTTGGCACACAAGTGGAGGAAAACATACTGAAATAAGGCAAGAAGATAATGTCTCTAAGGAAAATGAGGCCACAGAGGAACCTATTAGAAGGATAGGATTGAAGCACTTTGAACATAAAACGTGACAATATGTCAGATTAAAAACAATGTTCAATAGAGGAATGGAGTTTTTTTTCTTTTTTTTTGCAGCAACTAACAGGAGTTCCTATTATGCAGCCTTAGCTTTATCTTTACAAGTGTGTGTATCAGCTGTGACAGGCACTCCAGGAACACAAGAACTTCTCCTGTAAGGGCTAATGAAATCAACAAGGAAATATACACATACTTCCCTAATCAAAAGTAAAAATGTATGCAAGAAAATATCTACAGGAACACTAGGCATGACTCACAATCTCACGACCAGATGTGCACAACCATGGAAAAACATCTTCAATCCGAGTCCAATAAAACAATACAGCTGTGTGACCACAGTGCTCAAACAAACAGACAAAAAACACACAAACACTCACACATTAGACAAACCCACCCCAAAAGTTTCCACCCGTCTGCTGTCTTTCATGTTTCCTCCTTCCCCCAGGATGCCAGGTTATCTAACTAGCAACAATCAGATGTAACAAACTATTCTAATGATCCACTTTGTGACCTGCCCCTGCAGCAGTTACCCTTACACTCACGTCACAGTACTTAAAGACTACTACGACATGGCTGTGACAGTCTCGGGAGGAGCTGGGGTGGCTACGGGTTGCGGTGTGATGACAGGAATCATGCCTGGCTTTAGTTCGTTTTTTACAGATTCATACAACTGAAGGTTTAAATGGTCCGTTTTTCTTTGCATTGAGTGACTAGTTTTTGAGGGCACGTCTCACTGCGACGCCAGTGACCGTGGAATTAATTCGAAGGTGCCTACGGGTGGTTGTGCCATCCAGGCAGCAGCAGTTAATGACGAGTGTGTTTTGATTGGGCGTGCCGACATGGACACGAACAGTACGCAGCGAAGGTTAACGCACGGCGACAAGATCTATATACATATCAAATGTATAAATTAGTGTTCTTTGTACAGCTGCATGTGTGTGCATGTGTGTGTGTGTGTGTGTGCGTGCGTGCGTGCGTGCGTGCGTGCGTGCGTGCGTGCGTCAAATCTTGTGGTCTGTGGTTAGTTGTCGGCTGATCCGGTGGTGAAGAGGACCCGCTGATCAGTTCTGGCGAGCTTGGCGGGCGGCTCCAGAGACTCCTCCCCTAACACGGCTCCGTCGGAAGGAAGGGACAGCTCCTGACCCTCGTCATCACTCTCCTCCTCTTCTTCCTCTTCCTCTTCTGTGGATGACGGAGATGGTTACACAAAATGCTTTGGATTCTGGTATTTGTATCTGTGGTGAGGCAGAAGTGGAGTTTACCTTTGTCGGGGTCCAGCTGGTTTAGCCCTCGGCCTAAGCTGGCAAACTAATGGCGACAGGAAAATAGGTGAGGAAAACCAAAAAAAACAAACAGCTTCTATTATTGCCTTTATTTGTTGTGCCAGTATGCGTGTGTTTTCTCATACCTCGCCCATAACAGCAATGGGGGTCTCTCCCTTGGCCTGGGCCACCCTGTGCTCTATAAGGTAATACATGTACTCATCGTACAACAGGCGGATCAAATGAAAGGATCCAAAGCTGGCAGCGCTCCGCAGGGTCAGGTCTCTGATCACCATAGAACTGGAAAGCATGGATGAAGAGACAAACCAGTGTTACACCTAGACAGCTAGCAAAACTCTAGCAACAAGAAATACTATCTTAATATTTTGTAGTGCTTTACTGCCACTTCTCATGGGTTTTTCCTCTCATCTGAGATGGGAGAAGAAGAATGAAGGTGGCACAATTTCAACACCACTCTTTTTATGGTTGTAAGACCACAGAATACATTTTTTTAATCTTTTTACTTGCTCTGCAGCCATACCTGTAAAATGACCACTTGAGCAGGAAGAGCTTGGCAGCCTTGGGGAAGGCAGGGCTCTGTTGATAGGGCTTTAGGACCTGTGAGACCACACCATCAAGCCACACGGCCCACTGCTCCAAGGAGTTCTGCTGCTGGAGGGTCAACTTGAAGTCTTGCTCCAGTCGTTGAACGACTCGGTCTTCACACCGACACACCCATGAAGCCTGCTCCTGCAGACGGTACGCAAGGTTAGGGAAAGAAGTTCCACACATACATTTTTAATCACAATAGATTATTTCTATTCTATAAAACTGCCATGTTAAAAGACAGCTAGTGCCAAAAGACATTTGGTACCAGTTATTGATACAAAAGACTTAAAAATAAAGTGCATTAGAAAACACAGAAGAAAAGTGGAATTAAGATTTATTGAAGAACTTGCAAAGAATATCACAAAAAATAAGATGGAGCAGAAGCAAAATATCAAACACACACACTGACATTTATTTGCTCTCAAGTCTGAAATACAAAACCAACCTGGACATTTGCAAAGTCAACGCGGTTTAGATCAGATAGCATCTGGTTGATCTGAGCAGTGTTTTGGAGGACAGCACGGGCTGCCTGAGCCAGGTGGTTGAGACTGGTGTAACGACGAAGGGTCTGGGCAAATGCATTAGCTGATGTTACCTTAGAAAGAACAAAAAGGAGAATGATGGCCTGCATGTCAAAAGATTTGCATACTGAGTAAAAGTCAGGCCTGAAAAAATAAGGAAAAAAAAGCAGCTTGTTCCATAACTTGCAAGCTATACCAGCTGCTATAAGAGGACTGTACCTTAATGCGAACCATTTCTTCTGGGATGTTCATCATGGCATTGGTCAGCCAGCTCTCCAGGCTCTTGGCAAAGTTACGGATGGCTTGAGTTAAGGCACCTGTGTGTCACAAGAGGAATTTAAAGAAAACCATGCAGGTCAATAAAAGCTATCGTCTTTAAAGAACACCTGTTAGTATGGCAGCGCCTTCTGAAATTCTGATTAGGTTACACAAGTGGAGCAATATTTATTGGGCAGAGTAGTGGTGGCATTAAAGCAAAGATTATGAAAAAGAGAAACTGTATTTAGGTATTGTCAGAACATTGTGCACTGGATGACAAGGATTGCTGTAGATACTTACTGGGGATGGGTCTGAGGACATCTGGGATGAGGATTTCCACCAGGCTCTGGTACAGGCTGTTGTCACAGTCGCGGCTCCAGCGCAGCACTGGCTCATACTTACACAGCAACACAAGGCAGGACTTCGGCAGACGTTTCTCTGACTCATCATGACTGTCAACAAAATCCATGATTAGTCTGGAAATTGTCCCGCCTCAGCACTAGTACAAGTTTCTTTTTGTGCTGGAGTAACTCTTAAATGAATGCTTTTCCACAGGATCAACAACTCACACAGCCATTGTGGCGTCTCCAGCCTGACTTTGACTGAACCTCCAGAAGGTCTTCCAGAGAGTCTCCACCAGCGTAAACTGCAGGTTGACCATCACGTCCAGTATGGCCTGAGAAGAACACAGAGAGGAATTGCATACTTCACTGTCTGTTAGTGAAAGGGTGAGAAAAAAATCAAATGGAGTAAATCCTGAATGAGACTAAATATGTAGGGGAAAACTTAACCTTTTTGTGTTTTTTTATGTTCTAAAAAATATGATTGAAAATATATACAAATCTTTTTACTAAAATAAAAGCCTATATCCGCAGTTCGGGGTGGTTAGCTGTTACCTCACAGTGTTCTCTGTACAGCAGCTGAAAGTTCTTTATATGCTCGAGTTCAATTCCCTCTGGCAGAGGTTTCCCTTGGAGGTCAATGTCAGGAAACTCTGGAAGAGTTCTGGATGCATCTGGACACAGTGAAGAAGACCAATGGATGCTCAGATACAGAGAAATTTGGTTATGTGTATCTCTGTTCATATTGGATAGTAAAAGCTGCCTGGAGAAAACTTGTTTAAATGAGTAGTTTAACATTAGGTACCCATCAAAGATTTGGTAACAACACCAGAGCAAGGTTTGTCCACAGTTTAGACAAGTACTGTAAATATTAATAATAACACAATCATACTATCAGATACATTCGTGCAAGTTAAAACTGAGTGAGGTGACCAATAGCCTCCCTAAACTCACCTAAGAACTGCTGGTACTGCTGGACCTGGGTGCTAATATCCACATGCCCTGAACCCTGCTGCTGTTGTTGCGGCTGGCCTGCTCCTGCCGCTGTCCCATTTGTCATGCCTTCAACTTTATGCACAGGCTTCAATCTGACGGGAACAAGGAGGATATAAATCATAAATTATGAGATTAAATTAAATAACAACTGTTTTTTATCATGAGGCGAGCGGAAGCTTCGATCCAGGGAAGATCCAAGGAAGAGAACAAATTCATAGATAAAATCAATTAAAAAAAAGAAAACTGTCCAAGATTTGTTTAAGTATACCTTTGTTTCTGGGAGAATGGCTGTTGCCGCATGGCCAGATGTTGCTGGTCCTCCATCAGACGGAGGAGAGACGAGCCAGCCTTGATTCTCAGCCCATAATAGTGATATTTGGAATTTCCCCTGGCAAAAGCAGATGGAATAAGCTTTGTATTATTCAAGGAAAAAAACACATATGTTCTTTGCAAAACTTCCCTTCTCACACATAGTACCAAGTATTCTAAGAAGTCATTTTCATTTGCTCACTCTGCCTTCTTGTGTCACTCTCACTCACCCACACACACGCTGTCTGTCTTCATCTCAACCAAAGATTCACAAATCACACCTACGCTAGCACACACTTTTCAGTACACCAGAGAGCTCAATAGGCGTTGTGGGAAAAATATCATACATTCTCCCATTTTGCTGGAGTGTCCACCAACTCAAATTTACATGGATGTGAAATATGTGAACTGCCATGCACTCATGCACCCAGATGTATGCTGATTTCCTATTGAGGTAAAATTTACTTTATCAACATTTTTTGTAGAAAAAGAGGAGGTAAGAGTTCTGCATCTGAGTTTGGATGTGTGGTGATCTTACCGAGTGCCCAGGCGGCGTGTACGTAGCCCCATGAACACAGATCTAATGAGTTTCCCGAAAGAAGCCGCATTAACAGCCTCCAGTTTCTGCTCCTGGCAGTGCAGCAGGTAGTGACAGTAAAGGGTGGAGCGTGGCAGACTTACTCCTTCAGCTGTCTCATAGTTGTCCAGCAACCACTGTACCTGACACACAGGCAGTGAAAAAGAAAAAAGCTGGTGCAATTAGGAAAGCCTCAACTCATCACCAGGATGAAACTTGTTTTAGCTCGACATATAAGCTAAAACAACTTATTGGCAAACACATTAAACAAATGTGGCTAATATACAATACATGCAAAAACATTTTTCTATTATTCAAAGTGTACAAACAGAAATCCAACAATTCCATAATGAAAACACAGATAGGTACGTCTGCTTGCGTGCCGTGGCATACAACTTAGGTATGCAATGAATCAATGACTTGAAAAACTGATGGGATGTCTGCCCGACACTTTGGTTGTCATTTTCACATGAGATTCGATATGATGAATTTGGGATGAACAATAAATTGCTGGGGCATCTCAAGCATATTATAAATGCCCCTCGTTGCATGCACTGCAATGTTATGGAAATGATGAGGTCATGGTTTTGTTTGCTTTGAGGAGGAAATCACAGTTAAAAATCATACAGTTTACTTAGTTTTATTGTGATAGCAACTCAAAAGAAAATTTGGGCTCAGATTTTTTTTTTTTTAATTGTGCTTCCCACTTGTCAAAACTCCACTATGACATCATCAGTGTGCGCCAACAAGGGCAGTGTGGATGAGAACGGAACGAGTAGAAAGTCCTGCGCTTGGCGCCTCTGCATACCTTCTTGTCTGCCGACGGCACGCTACTCTCCTCGCCCTCTGTAATACTCACAGTGGCAGGGGAGGCGCGGGCGGTGTGCGAATAGCTCTGGCTATTGCTAGCTGTCCCTCCGCTGCTGCTGCTGCTGCTGCCCAGCATGTAACCCCCCTGGATCACATAGCTGCCTGCTGCATTACCATTGGTGCCCACCCCATCCTCTGCCCCGTTGGTGGTCCCCCCAGCCGCCACAACAGTGGCCCCGCCCCCTGCCGTACTAGTGGGCTGGGCCACAAACATGGACACACCCCCTGTAGTGCCAGAGGTCACGGAGACGGTTAGAGATGTGCCGGGGGTAGAGGCTTGGGAGCCTGAAGTTGGCTGACCTTCATAATATTGAGCAGCTGTAGTCTGGGTGTACAGGGGGGTTTCAGTGTAAGGGAAGGTGCTGGAACGACTGCATGGGAGACACGTAAACACCCGTAAGCAAGCATCTGGACAAATTAGACATTGCAACAGAAGAAAAATAAACTTTTTTTTATAAAATGTTGTTAGAAAATGAGCAGAGATTTCTTCTAACATGGTACTGGTGGTGTAGTTGTTGTCTCCTTCCACATACTGCACTTGATTGGTGTACACATGTTGCACTGGCACTGGTGTGAGCTGCTGCTGAACCTGAGGAATGAGCACACAAACACAGACACATACAAAATCCAGTGAATTGCTGTTCAACTTATTGTACCATATCAAACTTTTCATCATCAAGAAATTTCAAACGGTTGGTTTCATTTTGCAATGAATTCGACACACGATCCATTGCTACTGGCAGAGTATCTGATCCCTCATCTGTACAGCAGCAGTCTCCCTTGTGTCCCTAACCTACTTGGAGAATGAGAGCTGACTGGGGCCTGAACAATCTGTAGTCAGTGCAGTCTCTTGATGCCCAGGCCAGATATTCAGGCTCTTGTGTCACATGATGAAGCTGCAGCTCTTCTAATTTGTTATCATCATTTGCTAATCCGCTGAACTCTGTGCACATGGGAAGCTGAAAAATTCCAAGACCATAAACAGGATGAATTTTCTGACAATTGGTCAAAATGCTTAAAAGTTGAGAAGTTTTGGATGTGTCATCTGATGCAAGGATATCAGGAGGGCTTTCCCTGTATTGAGAAAACTGAGGTGATATGTGTGTGTGTTTGTGTGTGTGTGTGTTTGACGTACCTCCTGGGTCAGATGAACAGGCTGTAGACTGGTGACACTGAGCTGCGTGCCTGGCTCAGTTTTGGCTATTTGGGAGGTGGCCTGCACCACAGACCTCTGTTGATATAAAAATGCTCTCAATACCGTTTAAAGTTTAAAGACTAAAAACAGCTATAAAAATTGAATGCTGTCTTTGTATACGTGTGTCTCTGTCCGTGTTTGTGCTTTACCTGTTGGGCTGTCTGTACCTGCTGAACAACCTGTGTGGGAACTCCGGTCTGCACTACAGCCGGAGGGGGGCTGGAGTCGGACACACTGTCATTTGAGTGAAGGGAACCTTCTGAAAAATGGGTACAAGCAACGTAACATATTTGACTCATTTATATACTAAAGGTTGTCAAATATGGGTAAATACAATTAAATCAAGCTGATTAAATCATTTCACTTGTGGCAGAAAGTTTATCTGCTGTGCTCTAAAAACTAAAATGTATTCAGAAAAGGTTCAGAAACTACCAGTAACTCTTAGAGGACAAAGTCTTAGACATGAGACAAAATAAAGGCATGTCACCACACTGTCAACAGTTTGGGCTATTTATTCTGAGAAAATTAGAATAGTTTACTATCTTTTTTGGACTGCAGACATATACACTGCAAGAAACTGGGTTGGACAGACAAATTCAAATAAACCTAGTTCCACATAATTACAGTACATTTACTCACAAATGAAAACAGTAGTAAAACCTGAAAAACCTGCAGGACCCGCGAGGATCAGAGTTGGGGTACTGACTTATTTGCTTCTCATGAATTATCAGATTGATAATTGGATATTAAACAAAAAACAACTCAAGAAAGTTCAGTTTAATTTGTTAATAATGTTCTGTACAATTAATGTTGTGGATAATGCTGTGAAGTAATATGTAATTCAAAGGGTAGTTTCTTTGCTTGTCACTGGCAACAAAAAAACAATGGGTGAAAGTCAGCCTTTACCTGTGACTGTAACAACGATGTACTGGGGAGTGTTTTGAGAATTTCCAGTCTGTGTGGGGGAGCCTTGAATTTCTGCAGTGACATACTGCGTCTGAGCTGGCTGAGCCTGCACTGTAGGCTGCGCCTGACTCCCAGCTGCAGGCTTCTGAGTGGTGGCCGAGGGGTTCTGGTCGGTAGGAGTAGTTTGGCCTGTTGGTGTAAGAACAGTGGGGGCGGCCACAGTAGTCTGAATCTCGGCCAGAAACTGAGGGGCAGGGGCCGGTGTGGAGGTGGCATCGGTCTGACCTGGTGTGACCGTTACGGCAGCCCCCTGGGTTTGAGCTGCGGGTTGAATCTCACCCACGTAGCCTGAGGTGGCCATCACAGATACTCGGAAATCACCCTAGAGAGAATAAAGCATTTGACATGTAATAGAATTCTAACAGGGGGGCTCTGAAATGCACTATTATTCTACTACTTTCAAAACTGGGCTTGACTAATTCTCCAAGTAAAAAAAACAACAACACTGCTTTAAAAAGAGACGCTTGTAATACAGAGAAATTCATAATATTTCAGGATGGTTAGTCGAACTTCTGAACGAAAAAAAGCGATACTTGGACATGGGGTGTGACCTATTTTTTGTGTTTTCTTTCAAAAGACTTGTAAGTGAGAGATCCTAATGACATACTGTATGTATTTTAAAAAAAACTGTATATTTTGGCATTTCATTATCTTTTCATACTACATAAAGGCCTCTATATACATAATACATCTGTACTATGAGTATGGAAAACCCACAGAGTACATCAGTACTGTAGACATTTAATGTAATTTGGTTTGAGCAACAATAACACAAATGTAGGGTGCATATTATTTGCCCTTAAAATGTCATGCCAATATCATTTAAAACATTTGTATTTTTCATTGAACATTTTAAAAATGTAATACTTGGTGAAAAAATTCATGTTCTGTACAGAGTACAGTGTCTTTGTTGTTTTTTTAACAACTCAGAAGTACCCAGTTAAGGCATAATGGCAAATTGGACAGAGAGAAATCCTTCTTACGCTACTGTAAAGTAATGAATTCTTGAACAGGGTAACGAGATGTATTCGTGAACAGGGTAAAGTGATGAATTTGTGAACAGGGTAAAGTGATGAATTCGTGAACATGGTAAAGAGAAAGGTTCATCTGAACTCAGACCAGTTGAACGCCCCCTTCGCCACGCCCCTTACACGTTAAATGTCCGCCGCCTTCCACAGCTGTCTCAACTTTCAGTCATCATTCGAACGTTGCTGTTAAAAACACTGATCCCAAACGTGCCAGCAGTTACACTTTTAATTCAACAATCTCAATTTAGTCTCCTTTTTGAGCCGTTAATAGAATATACCCTATCGGTTAAGACGATGGATGCTTCAAACGCATCGTGTTCAAACACCATCGATCGCCCATGATAATGCAAAAACAATACGAATGTCCGATTCCAGTCCAATTTATTATAGTAACGGCAAACAGTAATGCACGCGAGCTTGTCGTGACAGAACTGGGGCTAGCCATCTAGCAAGGCAACTTGAGCAGCATGCTAACTGGTCTCTACAACAACCGCCATTTTGTACCTTTTGCATTTGACATCGCCATAACAACGGCCTGCTTGACTATGCATCTGTACGCTGCGTCGTCATGGCAGGCAAGAGCAAGTGTCATTCGAATGAGTAGCACACACAAACTGCCGCATTCATGCAACGCTGTCAACTGGTTTTCTGAGCGACGGTTAGCTTGCACGCTACCCTCGCTGGGAGGCAGTTGTCTGTTATGGCTACTGAAACAACAAGGGAAAAAGCAATAGCACAATTCAGTTGAAGCATGAGGGAAGATATTTGCCTCTATATATCGTAATATTCACCTCTGATTCCACCTGTTCCCGCCTCAGTAGTAAAATATCTTCGTTTATATTTATGGCGGATTCAGTTGTTGTTGTTGATTCTCGTTGCTGGGTTCTTGTCGCCAGGGCTACCGTGGCTATGGCGCTTCGTCCTCACCAGGGCAACTGTTGCTACCCACCCGCTCCCTTCCCTCCTCCTTCGTTGCTGTGATTGGCTGAGTACCGCCAAATTTTCTTAAAGTCACAGCAACAGTTTAATTTTACTACAAAGCCGTCCACGCCCATTTTGGGAAAATTACAGTCTATTATAGTTATTATTTTTTTCTGCCATGCATATAAACTACACAGAGATACAAAAATGAATTGATTCTAGTTGATTAGAATAATAAACTGACTGCCTGTAAGTAATCTGCTTGTGGTAATTTGTTGTTTGCAACACTGTAGAATTTCAACCAGGGATGAGGGGTATTTTACAGATGTGCAAACCAGGCATCCCTGCTGATGTCTGGTTTGTCTGGTATGGTTAGCTCTACTGGCACAGTTAATTTAGTAAATATAGTCAGGGCCTAGGAAATTAACGTAAGTAGTGGTGAGGTTAGTGTTGTTTATTTGACACCGCTCCCTCTATTTACCACAAACTGGTTATCCAAACATCATAAAAACAACTATCTAATAAAGCAGGGCATCACAAAGTCTGTAAATCAACAATAAAGCTATAGCTTTATCTCCAGAAAACATCACCGAAAACACTTTTTTTTTTATATGAAAACATTTTGTAAATCAGAGAGAAAAATTGCAGTGATCCTCTCTTTATTTCCAATTTTGACCATTTTACCCCGACTCTTGTTTGTTATTGCTTGTGTGTGGCATTTTAATTTGAACACTGTACATCTAATTCACATCATATTAATATGTTACATGGCCACAAGATACTGGTAACCCAAAAATTACAAAGGTTAACACCCACGCCCTGGATAGGTAGTGGCATTTACCTTAAGTTGCAACGTATGCAGTCATGATACAACAGAAAATTAAAAGATGATGGAATACTGTAACTTAAAAGTATTTTTTAAATAGTTTCCAAATAGTACACACTGGGTCATATAAGGGCAGTCCAAAGCAGTTTGATATTCCTGCTGTGACCCCAACAACATGACATATTAACAAGTTCCAGGGTGGACACCCTCCCAAAATGCCATTTTGTTTGCTTTTTACTGTCACATTAATTACAGATTCACCATCTCCTTTGTAAATTTCCAAACGAGTGACCTTTGACTGTGTGGGTAGCCAGATAAAATGCGTTTTATATTTGTCTGACTCATAATAAGACTTGCATGTTATCTGTCTTTGAAAATGTCAATGGTCCTGTTTCAATCCTTCCTGCTCCCCTTTCTGTGAAGATTTAGCGGAACTGGTGATTTTTGAAAGAAAAGGAAAATGATACATTTGGAAATCATCCAGGGTCAAAAATGGCAACACTAATGTGATGCTGAGTCTTATCAGGGTCAGCCGTGTCGGCGTGTGCAATGAGAAATTATGTGGTTATTGTTCATGTTGTACCATGCCGCAAATATGTTTGCAGGAATTCTGTTTTTTAGATAAAATGCCCTATCGTGAACTAGTATAGAGTGTGTTGTGGATTCTTTTGAATTATCTCTTCATGTTTGTCGCCTTGTCGTACCCTATTAAAGTCACATGTGCTAAATCATTAGTATTTCAAAGTTTTAATCATGTGACTCATTTACAAATCACAAAGACATGTCCTACATGTTGATGGAGACCAAGTATTAACACAATTTAGAACAATTATGATTTTTTCCTTAGTTTTATGCTCTTATACTTTGGCAAATCATTAGTTTTTTTTACCCCAAGTACTGTCAGCTTATCATCTATGACCACAGAAATATTAATTGATGCCAAAACGGATGTGATGAAACTATCATTTTAGGCTCACTCATGACAAATATACGTCAGAAGCTGAACAAAAAAAGAGTTTGTTTATTATGCCACCTTTGGTCCTTCTATTGTTTCCATAAAGGTCTCCCACTTTATCTCCTTTTCAAATCTGTTTCTCTGTAAAAGAAGGTCTGCACGCGCAATGTGTGTGTGTCTTACTCCAAACCCCCATATAAACCACGGCTGGGTCACCTGCAAAGTCACAGCTCATGCAAACGGAGAGACTGAAAGCAAAACGGTGGTCAAAGTAAATATTTTCCTCCATTTTTAAGTATTTCCTTCTTGCTGTATTTGTTTGCGGTACCATGTGGAAAGCACTTGTACTGGCTGCGTGTCTGCTTTTGGCTGGGGCTCAGCCCATGGAGGACCCGACATATGGGGTAAAACTCTGTGGCCGCGAGTTCATCCGAGCAGTTATCTTCACTTGTGGTGGTTCACGATGGAAACGGTCTCTCAGGAGTGCAGGTAAGGCTGTAGGTGTTATATCTCCACCATTTCATTGTGGTGTTTCTGCTGTTGTTGAAACATTTAGTTAATCTAGTATTGCAGACAAAGCAAGTGTGGGAAAAAATGCTTTGCCACATCTTAAGTCATAGTAATTGAGTTTGCTCATAAAACCACTTTCCTCCAGAGTGGATTTAGTAGCCTTCTAAAGAGAGCCATCGACTTTATTTCCATCATGTCTTCTTCAGAAACATTTACAAAATTACTAATAATGGAGAACATATCTTTTAGTTTGACTTGCTTGAGCAAAGCATAAGGATGTTCTGGTGCTTCATTTGTTCATTTTACTCCAACAGATGAGGATCCATTCAGCTCTCATCAGGAGGAGTCTTCAGAGGGCTTGAATCACGAGTTTGCGTTGGAAAACCTTATCCAAAGAAATAAAGACCTCAGCTTCCCATCCAGAGGTGACAAGGAGCGAGTGCTCACCAGGCCTGCCCGTTCTTTCATAACTGAAGAGATCCTGGAGGCTCTCCGCAAAGCTGACCGCAAAGGTCGGGATGTGGTGGTGGGTCTGTCCAACGCCTGCTGCAAGTGGGGCTGCAGCAAGAGTGAGATCAGCTCACTTTGTTGAAGGTGGATGTATGCAGCATGACTGGATACACTGGCACATATTCTTTTTACACTGATAAACCATCATCTAGATATACACATACACTTATTTTATTTCCATTTTAAACTAATCAAGTTAAATTGTGTCTGTTAAGTTTTATTGAATTATTTTTAATGTAACGTGAAATTTTATGTTCAATTGGTAACAAAATGTGTTCTGTGGTCATAGCTATTTGTCTTTTGTTGATGTGCATTCTGTTTCTTATTACAATCAGTTGCAACTTCTCAGAACTCAAGCACATAAAGGCTATATTGAAAATGATTTGATAAAATCTGAAGTTCAGACTAAAAATGTAAAAAATGGCTGTATGATTAAAAACCGTAAACTGCCTTCTTAACAAACATGTGGTGATTTCTTTGCTTTTTAACGGACCAACATTTGAAAGTTGATTGAAGTGGGCTACATTTTCAAAATCACACTATTCCCTCAGTAGTATGCTTTCATTGGTGGATGAAATGTTCTGATCATTTACTCTCATACCAAAAGCATCATTATCGACAGTGTCACTACGATGCTCATTTCAAGAAAAGGAGTTTCACATTTAGAACCCTACTTGAGTGCATGTAAAAAGTACACATCATTTAAATGCATTCAACTGAATATAACGTTGATACAGTACATTCATTTAAACACAAGTGTAGTCAGTGATTTTGATACTCTAATGCATAAATCTGAAAGCTGTATTTTTACTCTCTCAGAGATTTAACTTGTCTTTGGTTTCTCTGTGAATGAAATGTCCAATTTTCAAAAAAAGATTTTGGTGGAAAACTATATGAGATCCTTCACAACTGAAGTGTAAACAACACATTTTAAAAAATCTTAAGGGATTCAAACATGTTGATGGTGGAAGAAATATTTATTCTATGACTGCAAATTTATTTGGGTCTTGACTTGAAAGTACATTATGCAAATAAATATACGCCTTAAAGATCAGTGTCACTATGGAACAAAATTGCAACAATTAAAATATTGTATTTGTGTGTCTCGGTGAATAGTGTACATACACAATGCATTTTTGAAAAATGATAGTGGTACTTCACATTAAACAATGCAAAGAATAAATGGGTTCACTACAGACAAGTGTGGTGCCGACAATCAAGCCATAACTAAATGAGTTTTTAAATTCAATGATTTACCACAGAAATTATAGTTCAAAGCAATCGGTGTGCACAATCAGGTGACAAATAATGAAAGTAGGCTTCCGTAGGTGTGACAAAATCTGGTACTGGAGCAATAACTTATGAAAACGTTCTTCAAGGCATCGCCTGACACAGGTGGGAAGAATCGCAGATAAACACAATATTCTGCACAAGGTCCAAGCTAATATCAACTCACATTACAGGACAGGATGTGCGGTCCCATTTTCCTTTTACTGTAAAAAGGGCTCACGATCCAGCTAATAATGTAAATAAAGTGCCATAGTGTTATGTATACTGTGAATGTAAATGTTATTTTGCAGATGACCATGGTGGAGTTTGTGAAACCATGAAATGTTGAGACATGCTATGGCACATTTTGAACCAGCTCATAGCCTACATTTTTACTCCTGTGCTTGAGCCATTTGGTACAGTTTTTGAATACACCTCTGCCCATTACATCTGGACTGACAGACACAGCAGTGGCTCAGTAAATAGACTGAAGGATTAGAAGTTTGAAGCAACGAGGACTGCTTGCAAAAATCTTCCTTATACAGCTTTATTCTAAATATATGTTTAAGAATCACTTATGTTGACCTGATGTGACCCATATTTAGACAACTATTAAAGCACTCGCCAACTAAATGATATCGCCTATAACAAAAAGGGCAGTGAAGCATCAAGTGGCACAAAACGAAAACAAAACTCATTTTGTTTAACTTAATTTGCGTTTTTGTGTTGCGGAAGATGGTTGCGCAATAGGACTCACGTTCGCGTAAAAGCTCGCCTGGGCCCGGTGCGTAATGGTGCGCGTCACCGGCAATTCCACTGACGCGCGGGGGGGGCAGCCCACCGGGCGGGGCCACACGGTAAACAAGCACTTCTCCCCAAACTTCTGTAGGCAGATTGTGTAGCGCCGCATGACACGATGCGTCTCTTAATGAGGTAAACAGTCTTTATTTTACATCCATGAATATTTATCAGGCATGGCGATGCTAACAGCAAATATTCTTGTAACTTCTCTTCAAAACTGTCACAGCGTTTACATCAACACTACATATCAGGATTCACCCTCCGGGTAGAATTGAAGTCCCACTTCTGTCACCGCATGTGCAGAAACGCCAGTTCTCGTGGTCTTTGAATAACTCGCTGCCTTCTCTTTCTTTATTTTTCAACCTGAACATTTCGCTTCCCGGTGGGATATGGTGGCCGGCTTCTTCTCTGTTGGGGGACCTGAGTTTGTATTTTAAAAAAAAAATCTTTTACAGACACTAGAGGCCCGGGTCCAAATGTGATGGCCACACCTATGACGAGGTGGCTCATTCCCGTGCTGGTGTACACTTTGTCACTTCGATGTTCTGCAACAGGTACATTTATTCTAAGATTATGCAAAAATCACCCAACATATCTCTGTCACCATCCCATGTTTTATTAAGTCGTTAAAAACTGTTTCCCTATCTTTCTGTCTAGTTTTCAGTGTCACTGTCTAGTGTGCAGTCATACACAACCACCAACTTTACCAATGATGAAGTATGCTTTGTCTCCACTCCCTAATTTCTCTTCAAGCTTCAGGTAGCAGCGTGCAAATGTTGCCTTCAGATGGAGGATAGCGGTTGAGTTCAAGGACGTGAATGCTTTTTTGACCCCAAACACTTTTTTCACATCGACCATGTTGTTTCATGAGCCTCGTCTGTTGAACCTACTCTGACAAATGTAGCCACTCTAGTGTGACTTGAATGGCTTTGTGCAAAACAGCCACATTCTTAAAAATGTTGGTGCATGGGTTGTTGTTTTTTCTGTCCCATTATTATCTGCATCGATGGGGAAGTGGTCTCAGAGGAAGCGTACAGTCATTCAGACTTCAACTGCTCATTTCCTGTTATCGTTGCTGCATCTTTGCTTTCACCACGTTCAGGTATTGGACTGATTTCTGGTAAGAGTGTGGAGACTTGTGAGAAGTGTTTGAAGGTGAGAAGTGTTTTTGCAGGCAGGCGGATATGCACGTGTGTACACAGAGCAGCATTTCACCTTCTGCTTTCTATGTATTGTTTTTCATCTTAGACATTACATCAAAGCAAAAAACATTACAGCAAAAAACAATGGTGACGGGTAATAAGTAAATTGTCCCAAATTGATGAAAAGACTATTTTGTATTTTGTACTTTCTGTACAGTATTCTTCTACTGATTCAATATTCAGAAATTCTTATTCAGCCTCTTTTACTATACAAGTTCATGGTTCATCATGAGCATATGAACCATAAAATGAATTGAAAATTTATCTTAAGGACACTTTTTAAAACTTTTTTTTTTAACAGTTACTGGGCAAAAGCTTATCACTGTTTTGGAATACCACGTGAAAACTATTTGGGCCAAAAGATTAAAGTAGTGGTACTGAGAGACGTATGTTTGGGTTAGATTATTTTTCTATACTGATAACAGAACGCGGGGATAGTGATGAGTAATAGGCAAAGTGGGATGTTAATTTAAAGATATTTTCAAAAGCTCAGACAAACCTCAACCATGAGCACCTCTAAGCAGCTCTCTGATTGCTTTAGTCATTCTCAAAAGTGTCTCTCTCTGTGCCTTTACAGATCACCTATCTCCCCCATCTCGTCCAGAGTGCCATATACCATGTGATGACAACCTCTGCTCAGTAATAGAGTGCACTTGGAATCCAAGACCGGACCCGAAGAGTCCAATAAATTACTGTCTTTACTGGGGGCCAACAAACAGCGAGTAAACACCATCAATATATCCCTCATCTTAGTCGTCTGACAGTTTTCGGGAGACGCCCTGTGAATCAGTTTGTCTCCTTTAGATGTGCCTTGTCTAGCTGTGTCTTTTCTTGCCCGCTCCTGCAGGGATGGAAACACGACCTGGGGCACCAGTTCAGATGGGATTATCCGTCGTCAAGACTTTAACAGCCACGAAGATCTCCGTGTATGGGTCCGGGCTTGTGACCAGCATGATTGTGTGAAGTCTCAAGAAGTTGTCTTCAACACAGAATATATCAGTGAGTGCCAATCCTGCACATTTTTCTCGCCAACATATTTTGGTACCAATATGGAAGAAATTCCAGTTTTTTGTTTTTTTAGGTTACGAAAAGTCTTAGTTGGCATGCACATAATCTTCAAAGTATGAACTGATTAAGGAATATTTGACATCAAAAGCTTATGATGCCTGATCTGTCTCTGTTCCACTCTCTAGTCAAGGCGCCACCACCAACTTTCTCATCAAGCAGCCAGGATCCATTAGAGATTTACTGGAGCACGATTTGTGACAAGCTGCACCTGACTGCTGGAACTTGTGAAGTTCGATATCGAACTGAGGAATACCAAGAGTGGTTTGGGGTCTGTTTGGTTTAGTTTTTTTCTCCTTTTCTTCAGACTATTTATTCCCCCCTGCATTAAATTAATCGGTTGAAGAAACTAAAGCCTCTTGGTTTGTTTGTTGAGTGAGTGGCGGCTGAATTCATACTAATGTTTTTTCTTCTGTCTTCCTGCACAGAATAGGGATATATTTTCTGGCAGCTTTGCAGTGTTGAACCCTCAGCCTGGCACGATCTATGAATTTCAAGTCCGCTGTGCATGTGGCTTTAGCCTCGAGAGTAACTGGAGTGTGAGCCTTAGAATAAAAACTGCAGAGTCTGGTGAGTTTTCTTTTATTAAAGTTGTATTGTAGTTAATTTACTGGTTAGATTACCTGTGTTAAATTAGATGTAATTTTTGTTCAAAGACAAGATATGACTTTATGAAAATGATTCGCTTTGGTTTTCTTTCCTTGCTTGTGTCTTCTTCACCCCGCTCGTTAAGCCCCAGTTGGAGAGGTGGATGTATGGAGAGACTGCAGCTCGTCCCAATCGGGCTACAACTGTTTTCTTACCTGGAAAGTAGGCAACACGATGAATGCAGAGATCCTCTGCCACCAAAAATAAGGCTCCTACTTCACTCCCCTTTCCTTCTCTTTATCTTTTTCAGGAACTTTCCCTTTCTCAGGCACGAGGACTCATTTTGGGATATGTGGTGAGAATTTTTTACAATAACGGCACCATGAGGATGGTGAACGTATCAGCGGTGGAACCGAGGAGCCTCCTGGTGTTTGATGAGACGATGTGGCGCCTCACTTATTCTCTGATGGATGTGTCATCAGTCAGTGTCTCAGCCTACAATGCTTTAGGTTCCACGGATGCGTCTCATCTAGCTCTGCGAGCACCTGGTATGAGTTCCAAAAATGCTCACAAAATAATGTAAACCTTTGTGTCAAGGGCCCTATTAGCAAAGCATCCTCAGACTAGTGAAGCTCCTTGAGGGGTAGAGGATTATTTTAATCTTAATACACACAGATGTCAGTCCTTTGCCCTAAAAGTAATTAACTTTTAAAACTAAAAGTAGATTCCATGACCTGCTTAGTTAATCCAGACGACTTAAGTCGTACAGGCTTTATTACAGTTTTACATGATCGTGCTCACCCCTTATTGTCAGTAGATTGTAAAGAAGGTTATGATTAAGTAGGGGTCCCTATAGTTCATATCTGGACATTGAACTTTGTTGATGTTATCTATTGAAAAGTTTCTCTGAAACTGAGCGAGGTCCAAAGTAGCTGTTTAGGACTTAAGCTATAGCTTCTGTTTTAAAATGAGGCATACATTGACACACACAGCACATGGGTTGCTCAGAGGGGCTAACAAAGAATTTGTCTCATTCAAAGGCAAAAAAGGAAATAATCTTAAACTTCATCTGGAGATGCAAGAGGAGAACCTCACTGTGTCCTGGGTCCGGCCCTCTCCGTTATCCGCCAGTCTGAAACAGTACGTGGTGGAGTACAAAGCGTGTCCGTCCGGACAAGGGTTTGACTGGATTAAAGTGGACAAAAGCCAGACAACAGTATTTTTACAAGGTTTGTTTAGTGTGGATATATAACCTCTTACAACGTACCTGTCTGCTTGACATCTACACTACTTTCTAGTATTTAGCTGGTATTCTTGGTTTTAGTGTCATGGTTCATGAGGGTATAAACTTTATAAATGGACATGGAGGAGAAATGGCGTCTCTAAAAGTCAAAAGTTTATTTTCTGAACATCCCAGAGAATGTATCGTTGGCCTCTGCAGGTTTTTTTTTTTATTCTAAAGAGTTTTTTGTCTTTTCACTCTGGTGTTTCTCTCCCCTCTACAGGTACATTTAAGAAATACACATCATACCAAGTCTCATTGTTTGCGCTGTCAGAAAACAATGAAGTCCATCGGCTATCAACATCAGTCGGATATTCCGTTCAAGGGGGTCAGTGTTTTGTGTTATTCATGTGTCTTCTTTTTTCTCTGGCATTAAGTAAAAATGGAACTCCTAATCCTCATGTCTTATTCTCCATTAGTTCCCTCTGTGGTGCCGTCATTTAAGGTATTGTCTGTTGCTGCCAAAGAAGCCACTCTGATCTGGGAGCCTGTTCCCTGCTCAAAGCAGAACGGGGTGATCTTATACTACCAAATCGGAGTAGACTCGCAAAAAGGTACAAAAGAGCAACACATACTTCTATACATTACATCCAGGAACTGTATCGGTCAATTTTAAGGGCATGGGTTCACATTCAAAATTAATAGGCAAGTGTGTACTGCATATGAAACAGATACAAGCTGTAAATATGTAAGCTACAAATACTGGTAATCCAAACTACTTGATCATTAGTACACTGAAATAAATTAATTTGTTTGTCTGTCTGCATACTCTATTTTGGACAAAAAACTAACAATATTTGATATCTCAGTTATTTGCTATCTTGAGTTTTGGCTTGATGCCTTGCCGCTGCAGTCATCAGGGAAGTGGTTTTTGGCTTTTCTCAGTTAAAACATATGTGTGTCTGCACATTGAACTAATCAGCTCAAGAAATCTTTTTTTTTTTGGTTTAGGTGGATCAAGATACATCATAATGTGGTTTTTCACACTCTGCCTGTAGTAAACAAGTAAAATCACCTGACAATGATTTTAAAAAAACTGAGAATTGAGATTGAAGCATTTCATAATCTCATGCATATAATTGTAACAATTTAAATTGATATGGTCTACATTTTGGATTATTTTGCAACAGGAAAAGCCTGATCCATTCAGGTAGATGTGATTGTCAATAATATGGTTATTACATAATTTAACTTTAAAAAACCTTTTTGTCCTAGTGTACAATATCAGCGTAACCCCAGAAATGGGAGACAATACTTTCAAGTTGCCAGACCTAAATCCAGATCAGAACTACGAGGTGTGGATAAGGGCTGTGACTGCAGCAGGGCCTGGTGCAAATGTGACCACCAGGATCAAAACAATGCACCAACAACAATTTGGTATGACATCATGTTTAAACTCCTGGATGTTTTTGTTTGCCAGATGTGAACTTATTGCGTAATGTAAAATATAATGTAAGACTGAATAATATATAATAATATGGGTCAAACAGTTGTCTTTCAACCATCATTTCTCTTTATGTAGGACGGTTCGCTCCAGTTTTGGTAGTATCTGCTTTAATAGTTATTCTGCTTATTGTAAAAAGGTAAGACAATCATTTTAAACTTGCCTCATACAGTATCTTTTCCCTCCTTCCTTTTTAAGGTTTCATTCACTAACCTTTTTATTATTATTATTATGTACCAATGTTAAAATGATTAAAAGTGCTCAATGTCTCTTTTAATCTACGATTTCACAGTGTTTGCAAAGCAGAGAGCAAAGTGCGCTCACTCTTGCCTCAGTGTCTTTATGTGAAAGTCCCAGATCCCAGCAACAGCCACATCTTCAAACAGATGAAGCACCAGGTGACTGAAATGATCCAACTCCTTTAGCTTTCATTTTGCATGTTCCGATCTACAAACAACAATAAGACAAAATTGCAAAAATATGGGTTAAATCTTTCCACAGATGAATGAGCCCATGGCTGGGATATGCAGTTCTGTTCTCGAGCCTCATCCCAAGATATCTCTGTTGGAAGTTGTTGAAACCAAATCCAAGGTTTTTGAACCGAACGGGCAAACCAGGCTACTCATGCAAGATGAGTGTTCGTGGATGGACGGCCAAGAGGATCAGACAGCGGATCATGCCGCAGAGAATGACAGGACGGATCAAAGATATGGAAGAAAGGACTACAGCAAAATGGTTGATTCAGATGAGGAGAGGGTTGATTGTTGGAGCTCATCAGAGGAAGAGCAGTCTACATCGGGCTATGAGAAACACTTCATGCCCACACCTTTAGAAATACTGGCAGACTGATAGTTTCTTCACACAGGAAGGATGGTTGAAATCCTGTTTTGTTGTTTTTTACCTGTAAATTTGAAAGATGTCAGTGTGCACTGTTTTTCTGATTTTCAGGACCCTGTAACGCACATCTAAGTACAGACTGAGGATCTGACGGACTGAATGAAAGTCAGCGCGTTTGTTTCTAATTTTGACCTCCAACTTTTACCCATTTGATGTTTTATCAACTTGTAATGTTCTCTTTGAAATGCATATCTCATTGTGCATGTTTCAAGTCAGTCTAACTAGGAAATGGAAACCAAGAGGTTTCATTACAGGTCCAAAATATTTCAAATGCAAAATAGTGCAATAATATAAGGTCTGCAAAATAATGTGATATCAAAATGGCAATCTCAATTTATGATGATATCTATATGTATATCAGGAGGTAAAATTAAACAGCGTCTGCGCTGTGAAAGGAATTAAATGAAACCAGAGAACTCTGAATGAATTGGTGGACTTCAGATAACCTTCTTTGAGAATGTTTCCATGGATGTTCAGCTATGAAGCTACTGATTTAAAAAAAAGTTGAATTACTTTAATGTAAATGATATGCTATAGATGTAATTAAAGACTTTTTGCTCAATTTTTTATATTTTGAATAAATAAAAAATTTCACTTGACACATAGACCACAGCTTTGTGGAAATATATGAACAGCCATATTAAGTTTTTAAAAATGATTTCTGTCTATTTACATTTGACAGACTATGGATTTCTGCATATAGATCATCTCCAGAATTGAAATTGGATATATATATATACATGATTAAATGTTTGTTTTTTATTTTTAGCTGAAAATATATCCTTACAAAAATTGAATTGATTTATTAATTTTTCTTGACCCTTCAAGTTACAGTACGTTTACAAAGTCAATTATTGCTATATTATTTGTACCACCTTATGTATAATTGATTTATACTATACATGTAGATACATGTATCTAATGTTATCAGAAGATCATATAGATGGACGTCCCTTTCTCCCAGTTTTGTTTACTCATTGCACTGTTAGTAAGTTTTACTAACTGTTCTTGGTAAAACTATTGTATTATTTCTGTACCGTTGAGCTCGTCCTAAGTGCGTGCCTGAAAGTTCTACACGAATCTCGCGTGGTTACCTAAACGTGTGTTGAACGGAAGCCGTCCTGTGTCAATTTCAGTCGGCGTGCTCATTTGAACAAGAAGAACCGCTACGAAGACGAGCGGCCCAGCACTGATTGCCCAACTTACAAATATTGTACGTACAATCCTTGACCGTCTTTTCTTTGGTAGATTGTTAATTGACATCGCTCTTACAGTCTAGTCGGATAAGCTCTTAATATGCCAAACATCAAGGAATATTTCGGTTAAATGCCGTTGGCTCGGTTAGTAGCTTTAGCATTAGCGTAGTTAGTGGAACCCTGCGCAGGCGGCTTAGCGGCTAACGCCAGCAAGGAAAACGTGTTCAGTAAGTTTGTAGCGGTTATTGAACTTTAATCATTTTAGCTAAGCACGATATTTCACAAAGATTTGAATGCGTTAATTTTAGGAGAGGTATTGACCTGGCACAGGATATCAATAGGTAACAGTAGGCGGCATTTGCAAATTTTCGTGCCGGGCACATTGTGACCACCCAGCCTGTAACTGCCCTTACGAACAGGCCTAGGAAACAAGGACAAGTTTGATAGCATCGGGTTAACAATGCAAAGCACAAATAGTCGAATAGATGAAATATAACGTTTGTAATGATAAATTAAATGAGTTTATGAAGTGAATTGCGAAAAAAGGGTGTACCAAACGATTGCTAGGTCGAGTGTGGCCGGGGCGGCCCAGTTTCGTGTCTGACTTATTTCCTGACTTCTCTCACTCAGACTAACTCGTTCATTCCAATATGACCCCTCAGGTTACTTCAGCGCCTGGGGCCGACGTACAAATCGCGTTGTGTAAATTCAAGCGCAAAGTCTTGAGCCAGATAGCGTTTCCGTAGCGTAGCTTGGCGGACCAGTGGGGGTGGGGGTAGGATTAACTCGAGGCGGTTAAGCCGGGTCACAGAGATTTTAGCTGGTGGAGTGTTGTCTGATGTCCTTGTTTTTGTGCCGCAGTCAGATTTTCAAGAACGATGGTAGATATTAGTATTTTGCCCTCCCGCCAATTACCTGGTTCCACCCCCCCATGGGATTTGTGTTCCCCACCGATGAACCGCTGGAAACATTTCGCATGTTTGTTTCCTTTTCACCTCACATATTTGCTGATAGTAGATCTACATGTGGACTGGAAATGATGCATTAAAACCACCTGACTGTCTCTGATGGTTTTTGTATTCATACTGTCTGATCCAGAGGCTACATGCTTGCATCCCTCTCCCCATTTAACTTATTATTAATCTTAGAATTGCCTGTGTAATGTGGATTTATTTGTGTGCCCCTTACAGGATGGAGTGGCAGCCAGATGAGCAGGGACTTCAGCAGGTCCTCCAGCTGCTCAAAGACTCGCAGTCGCCCAACACTGTCACACAGAGAGCTGTCCAACAAGTATCCTGCTGCAGTGAAACTGGGCTCAGTGAAAACTGCTCAATTCTGTGTTTTTTGTTACATTTTATACCAGTGGGGCAGCAGTTTGACCTGTAAATTGTAAATGATGTTGCTAGATGTCATCTTAACAAAGGAAGTCGATATCCTGCATGTTGAAGACTTTCCTGCCTTTGGTGTGTTGTAACATTGGTGCCAGTGTTTATAAAACAGATTCGTCCTTAACTGTAATTCTAGAAACTTGAACAACTTAACCAGTTCCCTGACTTCAACAACTATCTAATTTTTGTCTTAACACGACTTAAAACTGAAGGTAAGTTAAATGTTCGTATGAAGAAATTGGTAGTGTTAGTATCTTAATACTCTTTACTGGCAATTGAAACTCTTGTACAGGTAGCTATAACACATTTATTACATTTGGTAAACACTTGCATCAGTTTAGTTTTGGCTCCATTTCCACCTGGAAGCACAGCTCTGAACGGTGATCACCGTGCTCTGATCTGTTTTCAAAGCCTGCATTCTGGTGTGTTGTGGGCTATATATTGGGGCATTCTTTGTGCGGCTTGAATTTAAACGACTGCAGTTTTGGATAATAAAAAAAAAAGCTGTGGTGTTTCTTCTAATCTGTTATGGCCTTTAATTGGACCTGTTCTGTGAATATCCATTTTTAAAAAGCATTTATTATAATTTATTATTGAACTGGATAAACTCAAATTTTCATCCCTCTCCACGTCACTTTCTAATTATTTTAGATGAGCCGACTCGCTCTTTGAGTGGTTTGATCCTGAAGAACAATGTTAAAGCCCACTACCAGAATTTCCCCCCAACTGTGGCTGATTTCATCAAGCAGGAATGTCTCAACAACATTGGCGATCCCTCGCCGCTCATCCGCGCCACCATTGGTAGGTTTTTGTGCTTATGAAAAAGTTTTTACATCTTGCCCTCTCATCAGCAACAGAGTTATTGGGCGGCGTTGTCCTGTGCCGATCCTTCTTTTAGCAACCACCTGGAGATGATGCATTAAAAACATCTGAGTGACTGTGAAGGTGTTTGTATTCATACTGTCTGATCCAGAGCTGCTGCAAAGGGAGCTGTCACGTCAATTATTAATCCGATTTAACGGTTTCATCTCTGCTTGTTGCACCCCTCCAGGCATCCTCATCACTACTATTGCCTCCAAAGGAGAGCTACAAACGTGGCCTGAACTGTTGCCCCAGCTCTGCAACTTGCTTAACTCGGAGGACTACAACACCTGCGAGGTGAGCACTGCTGTTGGCTGTTTATGAATCCGCCTATGTTTAGGTTCATTCTAAATGCACATACTGAATGACATCTTTTGACCGCATGCATAAATGAGATAAGTGATCACTGATGTCTGATATGTAGAATCCATCATCCCAGAAAAAACGTGGGAGGCATCCTGATTTGTGTTCAGTTTTTGTAGCATGTACAGTGAAAACTGAGCTCTTGCAGCACTTTTACTGTTTTTTGTGCCTAATATACATCACTGTCACTAAAGACATGGATCAGAAAGATTTGCAGGGGAAACTTCTGCTCTTTTTTTGTCAAAAGTTTCAATAAAACAAATTTCAAAAGTGAAGCTCAGTCATTGCTTTGGCTCCAGTTTGGTCTTCTGATGCAGTCTTATTCTCTCCTGTGTGTCCGTGTACGTTTGCGTTTGATTTGACAGCCTTTCTATGTATGTCCGTGTCTCAGGGCTCATTCGGGGCATTACAGAAGATCTGCGAGGACTCGTCGGAGCTGCTGGACAGCGACGCACTGAATAGGCCGCTCAACATTATGATACCTAAATTTCTTCAGTTCTTCAAGCATTGCAGCCCTAAGATTAGGTACAGGACAGAGAGGGAATGGTTTCTGGCTGAATGGGATGCATGCCAGCATCTGACTGACGGCGCTTGTGTGTTTCTCTGATGTAGATCTTGTCTGTCACTTTAACCCTGGTGCTTATATTTGATTTAACAAAGAATCTAGATGAATTTCTTTTATTTTAGTATGACTTTTATTGGTGGATTTCTGTTCTTTTTTTCTTTGTGCGAGCAGTACAACCGAAATGTACAGAGAAAATTAAGGAAAATACATTAGAACATGTTTTTAACTTTTTATTTTAGACCACCAAGCAGCTATTGGCCTTGTTGAGATGAGTCATTCTGTACTGACTTTCAGGTCTCATGCTATAGCCTGTGTGAACCAGTTCATCATTGGCAGAGCCCAGGCTCTCATGGACAACATCGACACCTTCATCGAGGTGGGCTGCGTCTTTGAAAATGTTCCGTCGCTCCATTGAACAGCACCCACTTTATTGTTTGTGCCCATTCGCGTTATTTTAATCTTCTTTTCCCTCCCCCTGCCAGAGCCTGTTTGCACTTGCAGCAGACGAGGACTCGGAGGTTCGAAAGAATGTGTGCCGGGCGCTGGTCATGTTATTGGAGGTCCGCATCGACCGGCTCATCCCCCACATGCACAGCATCATCCAGGTGAGTTGTTTTTAAATATGTGGGAGGATTTCTTTTTGCATTTTTTCCCCCTTTAGTCAACCTCGTAAAAAATATTAACCTCGGATCTGTGTTGCTTCTGGACATGATGAAACACCCAGCTCATTGATTTCGAATGATACCTTAAGTTCCTATTGTTTCTGATCCAGATTTCCAAGAAACTCTGCGATATGATGTTTGGATATATTTGGTTTTATGTTAGTTAACATGTAAAACTCTCCCCTCCTGCAGTACATGCTGCAGCGGACTCAGGATCCTGATGAGAACGTGGCTCTGGAGGCCTGCGAGTTCTGGCTGACTCTGGCAGAACAACCCATCTGTAAAGAGGTGCTGTCTGGACACCTTGTGCAGTAAGTTACCTGTCTGAGATTTATCATTCAGCATCTGAATAAAATTGAAGACATTATCAACATTTTTCAGCTTGTTTGGTGCATTGTTCCTATCAGTAATATCCAACTTTCTCCCCATGTCACAATAGACTTATCCCCATCTTAGTAAATGGGATGAAGTATTCAGAGATAGACATCATACTACTGAAGGTGAGCTCATTTATTTAAATACAGGATAATAGATGCACTCACACACTGGCGCTGAAGAGAGGCCAATCTTTATTTTCTAAACTGGCGCCATTAATGCTGAACTGCCTGGGCTAATTTCTCCAGGGAGACGTGGAGGAGGATGAGGCGGTGCCCGACAGCGAGCAGGACATCAAGCCCCGTTTCCACAAGTCCCGCACAGTCACCTTGCAGCACGAAGGAGGGGAGGGAGAGGAGGGAGAGGACATCGAAGATGACGATGACGACGACGATGACACGCTCTCTGACTGGAATCTGCGTAAGTGCCCTCTGCTGAGCCCATCTGTGGATGCTGTTTTCAGAGCGCCCATCCAGAAAGGGCCGCTTTGGGCTGCGTGTGACGCCCCCTCTGCTGTGCTTTAGGGAAGTGCTCGGCCGCTGCACTGGACGTGCTGGCCAACGTGTTCCGCGACGAGTTGCTGCCCCACCTTTTGCCACTCCTAAAAGGGCTGCTCTTCCACCCAGACTGGGTCATCAAGGAGTCCGGCATCCTGGTGCTGGGGGCCATAGCTGAAGGTAATGGTTGCAGGACAGTTTTCACACTAAAAATTACCCATTTTCAAGCTTAAAAGACGGATATAAAAGTATTGAGATGTACCGTGTCAGCTCTGTGTTCTGCTCCGTGAGACTTGAGATAAACATGACTGTGGATGATTGTGAAAACTAAGCAAAGAAAAAATAAGAATATTTGATATTTTCCTCTGATTTGTTTTTGTCCCTTTACCCTCCGTCCCGCTTCAGGGTGCATGCAGGGCATGGTGCCCTACCTGCCAGAGCTGATCCCCCATCTCATACAGTGTCTGTGTGACAAGAAGGCTCTGGTGCGCTCCATCGCCTGCTGGACCTTAAGTCGATATGCACACTGGGTGGTCTCCCAGCCCCCTGACTCCTACCTCAAACCCCTTATGACAGAACTCTTAAAACGCATCCTGGATGGCAACAAAAGGGTGCAGGAGGCCGCCTGCAGGTGAGCGTCTTCACACTGGCTCTCCTGCTCACGTGGACATGATGAAAAACCCAGCTCATTGATCAACAATGATACATTTTGTTCCTATATAATTTCTGATCCACGTCCTGCATGTGTTATCCTTAAGCCTGCATCAGCATTGCGACGAGTAGATAGCAATGATCTCCTCTTGGTTTTCCCAGTGCGTTTGCTACCTTGGAGGAGGAGGCGTGCACAGAGCTGGTGCCCTACCTGAGCTTTATCCTGGACACACTGGTCTTTGCTTTTGGAAAGTACCAGCACAAGAATCTGCTCATCCTGTATGATGCCATTGGAACGCTGGCAGATTCAGTGGGCCACCACCTCAATCAGCCTGTAAGTGTCTGTGAAATAATTACTGCGTGCATTTTCATACAACCTTTTTCCACTCCTCCTCCCCCTACTTGTTTGGGTTAAGTTTTCATACAACGGAGGTGGTATGGTTGGCTGAGCGTGCAGTTGTTTAGTAATATTCATAAATATCAATATAATCAGACGGTATGTGTTTTAGAATTTCAAAAGTTGAACAAATCATCAGCTTTTGTTGTTTACATTGTTTTAGGAGTACATTCAGAAGTTAATGCCCCCCCTAATTTCCAAGTGGAATGAACTAAAGGATGAAGACAAAGATCTTTTCCCATTGCTGGAGGTGAGTTTTTCCTAATTTTGGCAAAACATTTTTTTCCCCATATATTCTTAATGAATCTGAACACAGGTTTTCCAAGGTCGTTGTCTTGGGGTGTGTAGCAGATTGTTTTTCTCTTGATGCCCTTTAGTGTCTGTCGTCGGTAGCCACAGCCCTGCAGAGCGGGTTCCTGCCTTATTGTGAGCCTGTCTATCAGCGCTGTGTCACGCTGGTCCAGAAGACCCTGGCTCAGGCCATGGTGAGCTCGCAACCACACGAACCAGATCAATGATGAGGGGGGAACTCTCTGTGGCTGACAGGGGTGGGATAAATAAACTTGGAATCTACTGTGCCCCCTCTCTGTACAGATGTACAACCAGCACCCAGACCAGTACGAGGCACCGGATAAAGATTTCATGATTGTGGCCCTGGATCTGCTGAGCGGACTGGCTGAGGGTCTGGGGGCTCATGTGGAACAACTGGTGGCTCGCTCCAACATCATGACCCTGCTTTTCCAGTGCATGCAGGTACGATTGAGAGGGTTATGTTTTTCTGTGCATTCACCCATTTGTCAGTGTGTGTGTGTGTGTGTGAAGCCTAACGTGGTGTTTTTTGTTACAGGACACCATGCCTGAGGTGAGGCAAAGCTCCTTTGCCCTGCTGGGTGATCTGACCAAGGCGTGCTTCCTCCACGTGAAGCCCTGCATCGGTTAGTGGCTTTCATTACAATAGAGTGGTCTGCACCTACTGCCTCAGAACATTCTGACCTCTTTCATGAGGGAGGTTAAACATGAGAGATGTAAGTTAAACCCTTGGGTGTGTTATGAGCAGCGTGTCCATTTCTCCCCTTCCAGCTGAGTTCATGCCCATCCTGGGGCTCAATCTGAACCCGGAGTTCATCTCGGTGTGTAACAACGCTACCTGGGCCATTGGCGAGATCTCCATGCAGATGGGTGAGAATGAGAATGGAGCTCTTATGGATGCCTTTTTAGGATTCCTGACATTTTCTCTAACAACTGGTTCATTTTATATCTGGAAGTGATGAAACACCCAGCTCATTGACACACAATGATACTTTTTGTTCCCATAATGTTTTCTGATCCAGATATAGCTGACTTGGTTGCGCCAGGCTCTTGGTGGTGCTTTTCTGAGTGTGGGTTATTAATTGCACTGGCGTATGTGACTCAGATGCATCTATAAGGCTGTGCAAAGGGCAATGAAAGAGTCTTGGACATAAAGTGTGTTTGTTGGCCTTGGTGGAGGTCGTTCCACAGTTCCCAGCAGGCAGCCATTTTAATTGGATGTCGAACGTGTGCAAAAGCGCCTGAAGTTTGCCTTATTCTTGAAGTGGGCATCGAAGTGCCGTTCCTGTTTCTTTTATATGTCCCTTTTGAGGTGCCCCAGTCACACATGAAACCTCAGCATGTGTGTGAGTTCATGCATGCCTAACAATCCATTGTGTGTGGCAAAGTCAGCCAAGTGAACTTGTGTATGATATCCTTCCAGGGACAGGTGCCAATCTGCAAACAGGGAACTGTCCAGGTGAGCGTAGAGTCACAGCAAACAGTCGTCTGTCATCACAGCAGAATAAAATCAACAGGATGACAGTCCTTTGTCAAATATTACTTTACAGGCTCTCACCATCTCTAAAATAAATTATCAACTGGGGAAAAAATTACCCTCGTTTATTTTTTGTTTTCTGTTAATGAAGCAATAATGTTATTCTCATTATGCAATAGTTACTCAAAGGACCCTTTCATTTCCCGGTCCTAACTGCGTATTCTCTGGTAGCGCACAGCTGAATCGTCTGGTTTTGCTGAGAGAGATGTGCACAGAAATATTATGCGTGAATTGATGCTGTTGCCATACCGACAGTTGTTTGGCACTTCCAATGATAGATGTTGTCTTTTTTTTTTTGCTCAATGTTGACTGAATATCAGCTTGACAACAAAGTTTGATGGAAGTGTATGGTGTAGCTTTTGCTTTGTGCTTAAAAACCGACTGCTGCTCCTCCATAAAGGTGTTTTAGAGTGAAGGCTTCAGGATCCTGACCTGTAAAAGACGACTTTATAGTGTCACAGCCACAATGATCACAAATGCTTGATTTTCTTAAACCTTTACCCCTAGAGAAGTCACACAATGAGATCTGCTCATCCACTGCTCAGTGCTGTCCAAGAGTCAGCGACATTAAATTTGTTTGTTCAAAGTGGTATTAAAAACACAAACGAGTGCAAACAAGCAACACTTTATATTTCTTGGTGGTGTATGACTGCGTGTTTGTAATGGATGAACCTGAAAAGGCTGGATTGGTTCATATAAAACCAAACGATTGATTTATGTATGCCTTTTAATATGAATACGGATTGAACTGACATGGAAATAAGCCGGTGTTGAGGCAAAGCGCCCATATCCCCCCCATCCCCCCTTCAGGTGACCAGTTATCCTTCAGTTTTTGATGGCGCGCTCTTTTCTCTGCCGCGTGTGTTTCCAGGTGCAGAGATGCAGCCGTACGTGGGCATGGTGCTGCCTCACTTGGTGGAGATCATCAACAGACCTAACACACCAAAGACTCTGCTGGAAAACACAGGTGCGCATCTACACACTGGTGTGTGTGTGTGTGCTCGTAGTTTAGGGTGACGCAGCAGTGTTGATGTCAACTCCCGTTTCTCTCTGTGTGCAGCCATTACAATTGGCAGGCTTGGTTTCGTCTGTCCTCAGGAAGTAGCACCGCAACTGCAACATTTTATTAGACCTTGGTGAGTCCTGTGTGTGTGTGTGTGTGAGAATGTGAATGTGTCCCTACAGGTAGGATAGACTATGCAGTAGATTTTAATCTTATTTTATCTGAATGCAAATGAGCTGAGTGGTTGAGTGGACATGTAAATTGTCCACATTAGGCATTTTCTACACTGACTCCTGAAACAAGATCCACGAAAAGGTTATTTGAGCCCCGCCATCTCTTCCCAGGTGTTCGTCATTGAGGAATATCAGAGATAATGAAGAGAAGGACTCGGCTTTCCGGGGAATCTGTGTGATGATCGGCGTCAACCCGGCAGGAGTGGTGCAGGTGAGGATCTGATGGGTTGGCCCACAGAAACCGGAGCTTTGCATCAGGATACATCTTACTGACATATCATTTCTACACAGGACTTCATTTTCTTCTGCGATGCCGTGGCTTCATGGGTCACTCCAAAGGATGACTTGAGAGACATGTTTTATAAGGTGAGCGCCCTCACACACATCACCTAATGGAACTGATGGATGGGACTTAGAATGTGCAAGCTCACACCACTGTGATGATCACTCATCAGACATTCGAAATCTGATTGTATGGTGCGGATAATTTTTGATGCTGAGAAGTGAGGTGAAGCTTGCTTATTAAAAAAAAAAATTTGTATGTATTTTTTTTGGGGGGGGGTGCTTATATTACAGGCATTGTGATGGGATCAGAATTTTCCAACAACTTGGTTATTAATGTTTGTTGAATGTTAAAACATTTAACATTTGAAAATAGAGTATCTTTGGCTACCTGCAGTGTTTCTTTTTGTTAATTTGAACATGTCGACCCGTCGGCATTCTCGCAGGTGGCAGTCCGCCCCTGATGTCTCATACTCAGACAATTAATTGCGAGAGCTTCTGTCTTTCAAAGATCCTGCATGGCTTCAAGGACCAGGTTGGAGAAGAGAACTGGCAGCAGTTCTCTGAGCAGTTCCCTCCTCTGCTGAAGGAGCGCCTGACGGCCTGCTATGGCGTCTAACCCCACCCCTCCCGTGGTCCACTGACCTGTTAGGTATGTTCACATCTGATGCTTCTTCTCCCAGGTCCTCGTTCTGGAGGTGATGAAACACCCAGCTCATTGAAAAAGCATGATACCTTTTGTTCCCAAATCAACATTCTGATCCAGACTCTTGTCTTCCACTGACCCCCCCCCCCCCCTTGACCCGGAAGCTGTTATAAAGGGCCATCTCTGTTCTGTTTGTCCTTTTCACAGGTTAATCAAGGGGAGGGTAACCGGGGAACTCATTGCACTGCCCAGAACGTGGGGAGAAACTAGAGCTGGAGGGATGTGACTGGCCTTGACCCTTCACTCTGCGGACGGCCCCCCTTTCCCCCGCGCCCCGTTTGTCTCTGTGAGGGAGGGTGGGAGGAGGGTGGTGGGTGTGGGAGGGTAAACTGGGGATATACATATACCTCTGGGATTAAACGCCTCACTAAATCCGACACACTCAAAAGTGACTTTCGCCAACAAGACCGCAGGGATCCTAGGTAAGTAAGGGCAACGTAGGGGCAGAGTTTGACTGCCCCCTCCTCGATTGGATTCTCTCATGAGTTGGATGATGGCTGGGAGGGGAGGGGGTGGCAAATAGGTACATAGAGGAATTATCTGAACCAGCATAGGGTGCCACAATCCCAAATACTACAACACATGTAGAATGACTCACATGTAGCTGTGTTTAAGCCGGCTTGTGCCAGAGGCCAAAACAGAAAACGGATGCTTTTACAATGTAATAATGTGCACAAAACTTTTTGCACCTTTTACTGCAAACTTGCATAAACTTTTTGGTGTGCATATAGTTGGATCTTTCTTCATATGTAGCTGAATTTAATTTCCTTTCCACTTCCCTTGGTTGCTATTTTCCTCTGTAACTGTTAGATTTGATTTATTTCCCCTCATCAGAGGCAATAAAGATGCAGTCCATCTGTCCTCTAAGGTTTAAACCACCGCAGTACCAGAATATCGCATGGCATAAGATCACCCTAAGTCGCATGTTTGAGTGAACGTCTGTCTGTCTTCATTTACTGCATTAAACATCATCAGTACAGGGAGGCTGCCATAATTTAGGGCTGTCAGGTGCTTGTGTTTGTCCCCTTGCATACTGTCTAATCACTGTCCCCATAGTTTAATGAAGGCAGTTTAGAAGACCAAGTATAAGTTGATTAATTTGGGAATTCGGCTCAAGTTAGACAGTTATAATTGCAACAAGAGCTCAAATGTTGTAGGCAGATCAGGAATACTATTTGCTGCTGTAGTTTTATTTTTAGAATATTTACACAACATACTTTGAGAGCGATAAGACATCACCAAGACTGAATTGGTTCTCATTGGTATCGATGCACTTTTTCTGTAAGAAATCTAGAATTTCTCATGTTAGGCATACAGTAATATACTGAACTTGAGATTTTTTTCTCTGTTTTTGGTTTTTAGGACTGTTGTAAGCATGATAATGTTAAGCAATGGTAAAGTGACATTGGTAAGACTCGAGGCCTCTTAACATAGTTTTATAACGCAGTTCCTTAAATGGACTGAATAGGATTTAAGGAAGGGGGCACCATAGTTAAGGTTATCTTGGATCCATGTCCTACTGCACCTGTCAATCCATACATGTGTATGAAGATGTCATCTTAACTTCTTGGTTTAGCAGTGGCTACCTGAGCCATACTTGTCATAATCATTGCATGTGTTTCCTCAAGATTTTCAGTCTTTTCATAACCGTCCCTTTTAAGGGGTCATCCTTATAAGAGCTTTGTCAATGGCAATGCAACTCTGCTGGACTAATAGGGTACTTATCCAGCTTCTGATCAAACTAGTGATTGTTGTTGCCATAAATTTACCCGTTGATACTGTGTAGGGTATGCCTGGGACTACAGAGTCCTATTAATCCTCCCCTGACAATTGTTAGCTTATGTGAGGGAGTGGTGGTTGTTATTCAACTTTATCTTTTTAGATATTCTCCATAGTGGACAGTAATGGAAGTGTGCATGGCTCTGTGTGTTGGGGTTAAGTTATGTAGACACAATTTAGCACCAGCCCAACTTTAAAGTTCTGTTTGGGAGGTTAGTTTCAGTCTTGCTTGTGTTGATGTAGCCCCCAGTGATATACACCTACCTTCCAGATAGCAGCCTGATTGTCGGGTTGCTCAAAAGGCCCTGAGATGAGTACTGGGGGAGAAAAATAATAAATCTATTCCCAAACCAAGGAGCAAACCAAGCTTCTCTCTTTGGAAACTGCATTTAGTAGAAAAAAGGCATAGATACATGATTTTACATTTTTCTTCCTCCAATGTGACATGGATTTAGATTGACAGTGTTTTAGATATTAAACATTTTCATAAACCGCAACACTCGACAGAGTACTGGTGGCATCTTCTGTGGGTTAAACTTTTAAAAGGATGCAGCTGCTGTCCCACAAAGGAATTGGTTTTGAAATATCAAAGCGTTACCATTCTTTGCCATATCAATGGGCAAATTTTACTGAAAATTCAATCTCAGCGTAACTGTCCACAGGTTGAACATTTTCTTTCAATTGTTTAGTTTTATTTGCATCTTGTATTTTATTTTTAATTAATTTATTTTACTTTTTATTGTTTTATATTTTATTTCTTTGTGCTTTCATGCACAAATAGGTTTGGACTTTAAAAGTTTTTTTCCTTTTTTTTGCTTTTTATTCTTTTTATTTAAAGAACAGTTTTTGTTTTCGTTGTTTTACAGCGTACCGTCTGATTATGTCTAATTTTGACAAATGGATTGAAGGAGAGCCTTTGCTGTGTGCACACTTTGGGGAAGAAACCAAACTCACAACTATGTTTCAATCTGATATCAAGGCTGGCAATTTAAGTTAATGTACCTTTTTTCTGAACTGTGGTGCAGGTGGGATGTAATCTGATGTATCCCTTTTTATTTAATTTTTGTGAATAGGGGAAAATAAAAAATTTTTTTCTATTGCGCTCTGAGTTTGTCTTGTTAATCAAACATGTTACGAGAAAACAATGTTTTTAAGTGGAGCACTTGTTCGTGTTGGAATCCTATTGGTACTGGCAACAATAGACTTAATGTAGAGCTCCAAATGGTTTTAATTGAGTAGTAATTAATAGAATTGAGGTTTGAATCTTCTTGAACAGGCTTGGATAACATTCAAGCATTTTACAGTCAAGTAGTAAATTGAAGTGTTTTCAAAATGGGATTGCGTGTAGTGTAGATCATATTAAGGCTCCTGTTGAAAGGCAACAGAAGTGCTGTTGTGACAGTATTATGTGGATTCAGGTGTCTTTTTAAAAACTGTCACTCACATTACCTGTAATGGGCTTAAAAAGAAAAGTGATTGAGGGGAGACATTTCTAATTCCAGTAGGGTGGTGCTAAATCACTGCATTGATCTACAGGCCTTTACTATTACTATAATAAACTATTACTATTATAATGCAACCATCTGAGTAGACGGACATCTTCCCCTCTGTAAATGGGTAGTTTAAAAGTTGTTGACCCAATACAGAACCTTTTTTTAATATAAAGGTTTTTAAATAATGTTAACACTAATATTACATGGTGTTGTTGAATAGACTCAACCATGTTCATAACCAGTGACGACAGTCGCACAGAATAATTACGTAGACTGTGCCGTCAAAATGCGATTCACGTGGTACGTTGAAACTAAGTAATTACTCTGCCAGGGAGTTGGTGTCATTCGTGTAACTATGACAAGACCAAAATGACATTCATCAGGTGCCTTTTTTTTTATTGTCAAACTGGTTGAAACAAAGAGCAGCTGAGGACAAACACCGTCGAGATTAATAAGGAATACAAACGGGTCCATGCGCAGTTTGATGACGACATCATTCCACGTCGGAACTGAATGTGTTCATATTTGAAAGCATTTGACAGGCGACAGCCGTTAGTGTCTAGGAGAAACATTGGTTTTGTTAAGAGATATGACAGTTTTCATTTTGCTTATGTACCGGTTAAGGAAACAGGTTTTATTTCTGACAGACTTTGCCAAAGACGACAGTAACAGCAGAACGTGAAAGTAAGGTTAACTTGCTGTCTGATCGTCTTTTGGTTTTTCTTAGGCAGTAGTTGTCTTAGCCAGGCATGTGTTCATGGGAAATTGTTTAAAGGACTGTCCAATGAAGCTGGTGAAAAATAATTTTTTGTTTTGGGTAAACATTGAGACGTTTAAAGCACTTAAGCTAACATTTTAACCGTAGCCGAAGATATAGTCGGTTTCTATAGTTACAGGGGACTTCTTTGGGGATTATGTATGGAAGACAGATATTAAAGAAGTAAAACCCACGCCAAAAAGGCAGCAGTTTAAAGTAATGTTGGCTTACAGTGCGTGAAGCTTGTCTTGAGTACAAAAGCGATGTCTGAGGTGAGAGTTGACGTGTGTGAACCTGAGGCAGGATCGTGTGATAACCAGACTGGAGTATGTACTGGCTCCATGAAATCCACTGGTTCTGATGCTTCTAGTCCGGACTTGCAAGGGTAAGAGTTTGTAAATAAGTTTTTTTTATTTGCATTTTGTAGATTGATGCTGCTTTTAGACATGGACAACCTGTTCACGTTGCATTTCATGCCTTTTCAGCCTGCTGCTTGCTGTCGACACATCCTCTCCTGATATGAGCCCTTCTTCCTCCTCTGAGACCTGTGGTTTGTTGTCATTGCCTTGGGAGATCTTAACCAACATTGCCTCGCACCTACCTGCTCAATGTGTCATCAATGTGCTGCCAAAGGTACGTTTTAAAGATGGTCTGTTTACTCAGACTGGTTTGATTTAAAAAAAATATATAAAAACTAAATAATCATGGCATTACATCTTGAAAACTTAGCTTTTTGCTTTACAGGAAAGCAATTGCTGTCACCATCCATTTGCAGGAGTTGTGCAAATTTTATGTCTTAATCTCATAGTTGTGGAGAAGGTTCACGCTTCCTTATTTCAATGTGTTTCAGGTCTGCCATACGTTGGGCACTGTCGGTAAGGACAGCACTGCTTGGCAGCTACGAGCACGGAGGTTAATAGGATCAAAGGCTAGCTTTCCAGTCGGGCCAAGGGAGGACTTTGACTGGCCTACTGCTTGTATGGAGATGGAACATCTGATAACCTCCTGGTGTGTGGACAGACAGACCCCTAAAGATCAGGAAAAAAACGATCAAGCAAGGATGCAGGAAGGATATTTGCAAGTTGCAGCGGAACAGGAAGATGGTGGAGGTGATGAAGTAGAAGGGGTAGGAGTGGCTGCACAGCAAGTTGCTTACGGTGCTGATGAAGGAATGATGATAGCAATGGATGGTGAAATCCACCTCATGTTAGATGGAGACCAAATGGCAAGATTGAGAGAGGAATTGGAGGGTAGACTGGATGTTGAAGGAAGGGTGGCTTTTCCTGCTGAAGAGGGGCAAGATGTCGTTGCTCATCACCATGAGGCCAACCCCAGGAATCTGGATAATGAGAGAGATGTAGCGATGATGCAACCACAGTTGCCCAGAAGTCCCAGCCCTCCTCCAGACCTGGAGTGCGTCATTCTGCCCTCAGATCATATCTCTCAAGTCAACTCAGTGCTGCTCCTTGGGGGAGAAGGGGCAGTGTGCGCCACAGCTTCCAGAGACTATAACGTGAAACTCTGGGACCTGCAAGAAGGCTCTAACGGTACCCTTCTCTACACACTGGGAAAGCAGGGTGACCTCAGCACACATGGAGGCTGGGTCTGGTGCCTGGCATCACAGGGTCCTCTCCTGGCAACAGGAGGATTTGATAGCACAGTGAGGCTGTGGGACCTACAGGCAGGCGGTGCAGACAGAGGCCTGATCAGAACTGGAGCTATTGTCCTCTGCTTGTCTTGTCAGACAGATCTACTGCTAGCTGGCACATTTGATAAGAGGATCAACATGTATGACACAAGAGGTGAGGGGAAATGATGTCGCCTGTGTGCACGAAGTGTGAATGAAATTTTCTAAAATAACACATTATTCCATGAGTTTTTGAAAATAAAAGGTTTTTGACAGTTAAATCACAATGAAAATATCTGTTTCCTGAGGCTAATTCTCTCCTTTTTCTTTTTTTTCGTACAGCCGCTGAACCACTGATTAAAAGTTTACGTCTCCACGGTGATGCGGTAATGTGCCTCGCTGCTGATGACAACTATATCATCTCTGGGAGTAAAGACTGCACAGTTGCTCTCTATGACCGTAGGGCGGAAAAAGGCTTGAAGAGACTTAGGGTAGAGGCATAAACAGACACATGTCGCATAAGAATTTAGCACCCATCTAGCCTCACATTGAATATTAATTGATAAACTACTCTGCTTGCAGCTGAGCTCGTATTTGCTGTCCATGAGCCATAGTGGTTATGAAGTCTGGGCAGGGGACAACAGAGGAATGCTGCACTCCTTTTCAATGCACGCGGGGGCCTTAAAGCTGCTCTCCCAATTTGATGTTGGACACACAGATCTAGTTACTGGCATTCACAGGTCCCATGGAAGCCTCTACACCTCTTCATCGGATTGTTCTGTCAAAGTATGCTCAGTCAGATTCCTCACTCATATGTCTGCCAAGTGAAAGCTGATATTGAACAGTCCTGTTTTGTCATTTCTTGTCTTTATTGCAGTTGCATATCCCCTGTGCGCCTCCAAGGACTTTGCGTACTCTGCATTATCACAATGGAGTCAATGGGGTAAGTCTTTACCAAATTTTTAACTAACATCAAACTGCTGATTTTTGTTAATTTTTAATATCTCTTCTACCATTTTCTTTGACTGCCAGCTGAGTGTGGATGCTGGTGTCCTTGCTGTGGCCTGCGGTGACTCCAGTGTGCAAATTTGGAGGCCCAGAAAGTGAAACTATAAGACCTACTTCCCACCGCTGGAAGATTGTAAGCCAGTGCAGACCAACGATGCTTGCTGCCCATGTAACATTGTGAAATTGTGGAATAAACTGATAAACACAAAGTTAATCACCTTTAAAAATTCACAGCTTCTTAATTTTGCTGGATGGTTTCATGCATGGAGATATAAATGGTAATTTACCAAATTAATCCAAATTTTTAGAACGTGATATGACAATTTAATTTAAGATACATCTGGCCAAAATTCCTTTTAAGAATATCACGAGCACGAAAACCGGACGTTTTACAGAAACTTTTTATTTTTTCATTTTTTTTTGACTGAATTTTCTTTTTGTGTAAACAGTTTTTATATGATGTAAGTTGAGTATTTTCAGGTCTGTTAGTGTGGCCAGGTTTATTTGTTGGTCATGGTTATTCAGTAAGCTTTAAGAGACACTGCGTGTACCTGTAGTATCACTGTACATTTTGTGCTGTTTATTAAACCATAAAACTACAGTCATTTAAATGTTTATTGTGAATGATCAGAATCATTACAATAACGGAGATCAAATTAAAATAAAAAGTTCAAGATCCAGGTAAAATATAATGAAACGTTTGTCCCTTTGTTACACTGAATGTTCAATTAAATTCACCAAAAAGAGTCTGAATTCTTGACTGGATTTACAAATGAAGTGCCATGGTTTGGGGTAAATTACTGATTCATTTTAATGCTATTCTTGAGCACATGTAGCAGCGGATGCTCTTCGGTCTTGCAAACGTTCTGCTCAGCCGTCATTGCTGTCATCTCTTGAAAAGTATCAAAGCAGCACACAGGTTTTCTTGTCTTTGAAAGGGTTGGCTGAAGCAGCTATACCGGTGAGCAGAGGATCGCTCCGCCGGTGCTCCTGACAGTACTGGACCAAATCTGCCGCTGTCAGGGAAATCTGCTTGGAAACAAGATATCAGCAAACGTCATCAATTTGTAAACATACTTCAATTTAGACCGTGGTAAGCAAAGATATATGTTGTTCATCATCCGGTCTTGTGTCCTTGATCCTGAGGAACTTGTATGTATTAGGACAAAAAGATTAGTACATACCTTTACTCTCTCCATTGTTGCCTCAATCCGAAGTTGATCCACCAGTTTCTGTGCCTGGATAACGCTATTGCTCCTGCTGCCCATTTTCCCTGACATTTCTTCAATTATGGGATAAGACTGGAAACTGTTATCTGTTCTGGACAACCTTGCAATGTCAAAGTGAGCATTAGGAATCAGCTTTAGACCAGTGTTGATCCAAAGACTTGACTCGGGTTGTGCCGGAGTCAGCTGAGAGAGACTCCAGACTTTGCATTTTGACCTGTACCTCTTTTTATTCACTGCTGGTGGGCAGTTCAAAGGCTCCGTGATAGAAAAGGTCATGCAGTGCTGATGGAAAGGTCATAAAAGGCTCACATCACTTCACAGCCACTAGTGATGAAAAAGGCATTATGATGAATGTTCATCTTAAGATGTGCTGTCCGCCATGAATTTACAATGTGTTTGCATATTTATTCTCAAGAATATAAACCTTTCCACAAAGGGATTACTCATTGTGGTAATAATGAAACGGCTCTGAGGTCATTATCAAGCTGCTGTGTTCAGTGATTATTTAGATGAGTTGGAAATGATTTTATTTTTGTTATTTTCCCAATGGAGAAATGTTTAAAGAGACCAAAAATTTAGTATTGAATAAGTGAGAAAAACTCAATTTGAAATAGTTTGTTGTCTGGAAACATAAACAATGGGGTTCAGAATTTCTGCCAAACAATCATTTGTGAGCAGATCAAAAGAGGGTCTTGTGTCAGAAAAATTTAATTACTGGGGCAAAAAGGGAAAAACTTTTCCGGTACAGCCAGAGCAAAATAAGTCAAATGTCTGTAAAACAAACAATTAAAAAACATTTAAAGTCATTACACCCCACATACGTTAGCCAGCCGCTCTGTTATTTAAGAGAAAACCTGGAAGGGTCCAATACAGACAATACTATTTTTTTCCTGCTGAAATGCAATTTGGTTCGGTTTGTACATTCACGGTTTCCGTAGTAAAAAGTCTGGCAAGCCGATCCATGCCATGTTTACAAGATTACAATGCGTATATGTTTCTGCTGTTGTGTCTAGTGACAAACGTTTATTACTGTACACCTTCTATGACGTAACGTCTTTGCAAAAATAGGTATGTTTTCACATTTGTTTTTTAAACGTTTATTATTATTAGAAGTAACAACAGCCACCATTAGCTTGTCGGTTTAGCTAACGTCAGACCACATGGGATGTGTTTTGATCGAGGTGTTGGGACTTTATTATATTAAATGTACACATAACTAATTTTTAAGCTGTACTTAAAAACCCTTCACACATAATCCTCAGATGAAATTGTCATTGTTTTACCAGTGTTGTTTTTTCTATGTATAAAAGGCGACCAAATAACCGGTGGCAACCTACACTCACATTAGAGTAATGTGTTATAAGCATTGAACACGTTTCTTACTGAAATGTATGTAAACATGATTAGAAGTAGAAATATGTCCTACAGAAAATCATCACCGACTGATACATTTATAAATCACTCTTAAGTATTTCCAGAAATACCAAGCGTTGTAAAAGTTAAGAAGTTAGTTCTTAATGATAAACTGTGGTTTTGTACTAGTCCTTATCTGATAACTGTTGTCAATTTTTAATGATAGAACTGCTTTTTATTTTTTGTATGCAGGCAGTCTCCATTTGTTTTTGCTGAAAATATGGCAAAACATGCTCCCTCTGTTGCCATGGAGGCTGTCCTGAAGCCAAGCTGTGAGCTTCCTGAGGATATGCCAAAAATCAGAGGCTACGACTTTAACCAGGGGGTTGATCTCCAGGCAGTGCTGAAGTCCTACCTCACCACAGGCTTCCAGGCCAGCAGTTTAGGCTTGGCAATCCAGGAAATCAATACCATGGTGAGAAAAAACAGCAGATTGTGGACTAAGATCATAAATAGAAACTCTCAGGAAAAAATCCCAAACATTTGTAAGATGTTCATAACCAACAATTTGCACCCTCAGATAGAGAAGCGTCTTGAGCCAGTGGAAGTAGATGAAGGAAATGAGTCCAAAGAGCACTCAGGCTGCACCATCTTCCTTGGTTACACCTCAAACCTCATCAGCTCCGGAGTTAGAGAAAGCATCCGCTATCTAGCAGAGCACAAAATGGTACACATTTATTCACTCTCCCTAGTTATCAGTCATCCACTTTGGCAGTTCTGCATTACTTGATCAGATGCTGTTATGACGTTTTAGGTGGATGTGATTGTGACCACAGCTGGAGGCATTGAAGAAGATTTGATCAAGTGTCTGGCTCACACCTACTTAGGAGACTTTAGTCTGTCCGGGAAGGAGCTCCGCTTGAGGGGCATTAACAGGTCAGTAAGTTTGGATCCAGCCAAAACGGGGGTTGGCAACTCCGGGCCTCGAGGGCCAGGGGTTTTTGAGGTTTAATCTTAGCATGAAAATGGCCCCTGAAGTTCCCACCACTGAGCTCAGGTCCTTCCTTATAGTATGAATCAAATATATTGTGTATTCTATTGAGTTTTTTAGCTGATTTGTACAGAAACACACAGAGCAAAATAAATCAGTTTTACAAGGGTGACTGGGCACTAATGCCTTTCTTTCAGGCTCTGGTGTTTGTTAACAGGGATTGTGTTTTCCTCATATTACCTGTGTCTCACTTCAGTAAAATAGATGGACAAAACTCACCAGTGCTTTGTTGAAGGAACTAAAGAAGTGGTAGAGGCAGAGCTGAAGCATAGCAGAGAGGGGAGGGGAGTTCTTCTCAGGGTTACAAAGTTCTGTTTTAATAGTGTAGGTGGGCACTTTGAGGAAGGGGATGATTCACTGACTTGCTCAGAGCTCTATGAGGTCATTATTGGAACCAACTGCAAAAGGTGGACCATGCATTTTCCATTCAGTCACAGACGGCAGTGTACCGGTCGGCTGGTTTGGCCTTCTTCTCTTTCTTTCTTTTTACTCTAATGTTTTTATGCTGTAATTGGAACCTCATGTAATGCATGCTTAAAATGGCATCATGGATAAGCTGGGCAGGCAGGTCCTATCTGAAACATAGTGTTGTCCCTGTTGATCTCACTATCCTCTTCCTTATCTGTCCTAACCCCCCGCAGAATAGGAAACCTGCTGGTGCCCAATGATAACTACTGTAAGTTTGAGGACTGGCTGATGCCCATCCTGGATCAGATGTTGCTGGAGCAGAACACAGAGGTGAGTTTTGTCATGCCATCCAAACCCAAACCGTGAATACATCTGTGACGTCGTGACACGATTCGGTTTCCCTGAAAAAGTTGGGCTTGAGGAGTATTTGAGATTTGTAGTTCACATTGGTGTTTATACCTAATTTCTTTTTCTCTTTTTTAAAACTCTCTTATTTCAGGGAACCCGTTGGACTCCCTCCAAAATGATCCATCGGCTTGGCAAGGAGATAAATAATACAGACTCTGTTTACTACTGGGCCTACAAAGTACGTCCTGGGCTATGTCTGTAATGTGGACTATTTCCTACAAACCAGTTGTTGCCTTATTTTCAAGTACCGAGCACATATGTTTATTGTTTTTTTCTATTTATCCTCTGGCTCCTCTCTAGCCTATTGCATTTCACATACTGTGTGTTTTAAGAGAAAAGTTAAGCTTGACATCAAATACTCTTCTAGAACAACATTCCAGTGTTCAGTCCCGCTCTGACAGACGGCTCCATTGGCGACATGATCTACTTTCATTCTTATAAGAACCCGGGCTTAATTTTGGACATTGTTGAAGGTATCAACCACATCCCTGCAATAGAATAACATCTCCACAATTGTCTAAGTTGGTCTTGTCATGAGTGTGGTCTTTCTTTCAGATATTCGCAGGTTGAACAGTCAGGCGGTTTTTGCCAAAAAGACGGGAATGATCATCCTGGGAGGAGGGCTGGTTAAGCATCATATAGCCAATGCTAATCTTATGGTAACTGGCCTCTATGGTTTGCTTCACTTCATTTTTTCTTTTAATACTCCATAGTTTGTACATTGAAATTGGCCTCCACTGATGGGCTACCTTAATGTCATATACATTTAGGAATACCTCCTCATTCAGGTCTAGTCCTGAAGATTTTCTGTGGAAGTGTGCAAAATCTTAGATAATGTTTGAAAGTAAAGCTTTTGCCCGCAGATGTCACCTTACAAATATGCAAAATCCATCTCCTGTCCTGACACGCGGCCTGTCCTCGTATTCCCTGCAGAGGAACGGAGCTGACTATGCAGTGTACGTGAACACGGGCCAGGAGTTTGATGGCTCTGACTCTGGAGCCCGACCTGATGAGGCCATATCTTGGGGCAAAATCAGAACGGATGCCAAACCTGTTAAGGTACTGAAATATACTTCTTCCAGCCATTCCAGCCAAGGCCTGTATCAACATCATGTTCCATTTGTTACAGTGACATCATCAGAAAAGCTTTCATGCTTCAGAATCTGATAATTATTCCTGTCATCTGCTTCTCTTTGGACGCACTCCCGAGATGACGCTACCTGAGGCACTTTTGGCTCCATTATTCAGCATTAGTGCCACTGAAAGCTATAAGAAGCATGACTTAACTTGTCAATTGATGTTGTAACCGTTTCACGGGATGCTTTATGAATGTGATATAAAGCATAGTATTTATACCATGATGATGTCACTATTTAGATCAAAGCTACAACTGAAAACCGCTAATATTCTTTAATTCTTTTTCTTACTCTTAATTTCATATCATTATTATTAGAGCTATGAAATGGGTTTAAAATGAACAACCAAAGGCCAAGTTTGAAGATTGTGTACAAGAGCTGTGATATCTCTTGGCCTCAAGGGGGCAGCGTCTGCTGTGTGTCTTTGCTGAGGGTGAAGTGGGGCCTCAAAGCATCAACGTTTGGAAAAATAAAAACCAGCGTAGCATATGTCTAACATAACAGTGCTGTGACACTGCTCTTGGTTTCCAGGTGTACGCTGATGCCTCTCTGGTTTTCCCTCTGATCGTCGCCGAGACCTTCGCACTGCACGCCAATAAGCTGACCGCCGAAAAGAAAACAGAGTAAAAGGTTGTGGACTCAAGGATTCTGTTAGAAACACCAACCCCTTGTTCTCCTAGTAATTTGCTTCCTTTTGTCATTGAATCAATGAGTTGGTGGTGTGTCTGAATAGCTGTTAGGCCATGATGTTTTAAAGGCTTTTCCATAGTATTTATTTGTTAAGACAAGTTTTTCTTTTCCTGATCAGTTGTTGAGACAACTGAGATTACATAGCATGGCTATCATGTGCTGAAGAAACTAAAGAATAGTGCATCAGCTTTTAGCAGCAGGGAATGGTGTGTGTGTGTGTGCGTGTTGAGACTAAATACATGCCTACGCGTTCCTTTGAAATGAGTTTTAAGTTGTTTTAGTTTAGCTATGGCTCATGCCTGCTGTCATCAGAATGGCCTTTCTCAGTCTCATTTGTATAAATGTAAGCAGCCCTTTACCGTATTATTTCTGGATAGCAAATGCTCCTGTATATCATAACGAATTATTATTACAAAGTATTTCTGATTCTGAATGATGAGGAAATAATAAAATATTGAAACTTGATGGTGGGATTTGTTCTTTTTATTAAAAAAACACACTCTATTAGAATTTCTTGCCAACAAAATATTTAAGAAAAGTTTGGATGAGGGTGCTGCACTGGGCATTCGGGTTGGCTGCATGCGGCCCATAGTGTCACTATTGTTGAATGGTTCTGCACCGGTGCCAGACTCTTCCAGTTAGCCTGCACACGTGTTTTCTGAAGTCAGTTATTTTTGGAAGTGGTTTTATTTATTCATGGATGATTCTGTGCTAATTTTTATGATGATCGAGCTATCCATTGCATCAGGAACGCCTAGAATATGAGCACAAGCCCAGATGAACTGAAGAGGATCAAGTGTAGAGTAAAGAGGAGGACGGTTTTGGAGTTTCTTTCCTCATTTGTCCAACAGGAAAGAAGAAATCACTGGTCGATAAAATGGATGACCAGAGTGAGCCGAGGTGGACATCGTTTACCAGGCTGCAGGAACAAAATGCAAACCAACACTTCTCTATCCAACTCTGAACATATTGGCATACACAGACTATAAAGTTGGTAACAAAAAAGGAAATGTGCAGCTTGAGACCCACAAAATGGTGTAACCCCGAACGTGCTACGATCATTTCTGCCCCCCCCCCGATGTGGAACGGGAAAGATTTTCCTCCCACGCTGTCCACAGAGAGAGTTCTCCTATGCTAACCTGCCAACGCTGCGTTTAAACTCATCAGCTCAGACGTTCCATCCTGAAACACAACATTCTGTAGTCATTATTAGCTCCTCCTGGCTGATCTCTGCGTTTCTTTTAGAATCTTTTCAGTTCTGTTTTTATTTGATCGTCATGTTTCCCAAGTCATTTAGATTGCATTTACAAAATTCCCCACCAGGGACTGATAAAGTACAGCTCAGTGTAACAATGACTTCACAAACTGGCGTGTTACACAACTCAGGTGCACTGAGGGACCACATACTATTAGATGAAGGCTTGTGTTTCATCATCGGGGGTCAGTTTTCCGTTTTACTTCGTTCTGTCGTAACTGAGCAATGAGCTGCAGGAGGTGATAATGGCCTTTGTTTTTTTTATTGTAGGTGCTTTTAATGTGTTAAACAGCATTTGTGGACGTGGTGACAACCTGTGTTCATTTCTCTGAAGTGTACACCGCAACTGAAAGCGGGAGCTCTCTCAGCGGTGCTTTGGCCTTGTCACTTCTGTCAGAGATCTTTAAAGAGCCCCGAAACCTAATGAAAATAACCAGATCTTCTGACAACCAGTCAAATTACTGATCTGTTGGCCATTAATCGAACTACCAATTATGCATTTCATTAGTTTTTTATTTATTTCATTTGTCAGTCATTCTTTAAAAGCTGATCAAATTCAAGATGAGCATATTCACAACTTTCATAGAAACATGACTTGCCATCTTCAGTCTTTGGTGAGAGGGATTTAAAGAATGTTCAATGTAACCCAGTTTAAGTATTTTCTAAATTAAAATGGTAAATCTGTATAAGTGACAATATTTTAATCACTGATTTGATATTTAAGGGCTGTGTTGTGCAAGACAGTTAAGAGTTGAAAACAGACTTAAGTTTGAAGGAATGGTGGCAAATTTGCTCACTTAAAATTCACTAAGAGACAGTTGTTGCTTCAGAGGTAGACGAATGTCTGAGAGGCCCCTCTAATCATGTTCTTCTCTTTTAAAGACCCCCCTCCTTCACAACTAATGTATGTAGTTAGTGCTCGTTCGTTTCATCCGCCCAGGCAGACGCATGCTGTGTAGGCGGGACTCACAGCTTTTTCCTTTTACGCTCTACACACAGAATCCACCACGTAATCAAGTAACAGCGATAAAGACGTTTCCCCATTGCAGTACATCGGTTTGCTTCAGTGGGAATGGATACTTCCTGTGGCTAATCAGTACTCTCAGATCCTTTACAAAGAGTCTGTTGCATTCAAAGTCCATTTTTATTGCACGCTGGAAGGGAAATGTGGGTGGCTTTGGTGAAGTGGGTACATATATGTTCACTGAGGCCTGATTAGTTTTTTCCAAGAGTAGACTGGGTTTATGTGTCTTGTTTTTTTTAAGTGGCTATGGTGACCTTTTCTTTTTTTTTGGAAAAAGAGATGGAGAAGTGGAATTGGACCTGGGATAAGGTCAGCTTTCCCAAAACCTCAGCTCCATGTGCTCACACATACAAAAGCTGGGTGTTCCTGTCCTCGTACACTGCTTTTTTTTCCATCCAGCCCGTCTATCTTTTCCTATTGGCTGCGGCATTGTACGAGTGTGTTTACCCAGGGCTCGACAGTTTAAGGATTTTCCTTTTTTTTTTTTTTAAAGACTTGACGAACGGATGCTCATCCCAATAGAGATGCATGTTTGCCTTGTGCTTAAATGAAAGATTACAGAAAGACTGAGTGGGCTGAAAACAGTAAAGTCAAGACCCTGCATGTGTTTGTATGTGGATGAGCTGTAGTCACGCTATGATAATATTGTGTGGCGCCTGCACCGCGCAGACAGTGTCCCCCCTCCTCCCCTCGTCTGTGGAACAATCAGTACACTGTGTGATGTGCAGGGCTGCAGCAGTCATAATGGCAATTATGTCTTCTTCCAGCCAGATTGGCAGCTTTTTTATGGTGAGAACCAAAGAGGCAGACAGGGAGGGGGAGCGCTGACCTGCTGCACAGCTGCAGGGTGGGGCAGATAAGTGAGAAGTGCAGGGGAAAAAAAGAGGGAAATACACAGGAGATGGATTTGCCAGCAATTTGAAATTTATACATTAGCTTCTAAATACATTTATGTGCAACTGTAAAGGTGAGGACTATTTTCCACCAGACTTTTGGTTACTTTAATGTCTGCGTCGAGGTATTTTTAGTCAGGCAAGTCTGTGATCAGTGTACTTCTTATGTAAAGCCACTAAAGTCCAGATAACAGATGAAAGAAATCTGATAACATGTATACCTCTTTGTCTGAGTCCAGGTCTTTATAGACTTTATATAGTTTGTTCTGGATTTTCTCTATAGGTCTACTGTGGTGAAAGTTGTAAAAGTTGATTACAGAATCACCTGCACTTCATAAAAGAGGGGAAAAATGTCTCAAGAGAAAAGGGTTGGCTCATTCTGCCACAGATCAGACTTTTTTTATCCGCTTATTTAATCTAAAATGTGACTTCTAAAACTAACCCACAAGTAATAAGACGCATTTTATTATTTCTATTTAGCGGTCTGTCATGCCTTGCCTCCACAGCTATACACTAAAGGCTTACCGTGTTGGATCCTGCTGCCTGCTTATCTCGCCAGACTTGTTTACCTGTTGTGTTGCCTTGGAAACGATCACCGCGGCCACCCATTGGCCAAGCCAAAGAGGTAGTTGCAGGTGAGGGAGTGCTAGTGCGTGGGTGTCACCAGGAGGGGCGACGGAAAGATAAACATTGCGATTTAGGAGGGGAGACAGTGGAGCAATATAGGTATAGAAAATGATGATAAATTGAACGTCCGCTTCAGCGCCACGCCTCGCGCAGCTTTCTGAGAAACGGGAACTCGCCAGTTGAACCGCCGTATCCTCCCGTGACGCAACTGGCTGACGCCGAGGCCAGGCCAGACTCCCCGTTGCCACGGCAACCACCCGGAAAAGACAAACATCCGGATGACTTCGCAAAGCAGCTTCTTCATTCTTAAATCAAAAGTCGCAAAACGGCACCATCACCGGTCACACTGTTAAAAGATATTAGTGATAACCCAAAGTTCTTTATGAGTTTTAAATACAAGTAATATATCTACCTGTCAGTTCGTTTGGATTCTCCTAATGTAATTGCGCTAATATATTTTACGACTTAAGCTTTTTCATTTGGAACTGACTTTTTTTTGTTGTTGTTGCACATAGCTACAAATATTTAAAATCATACTCGGTGTTCAAAATGTTCATTTAAATGTATGTTTTTTCTTTAGAATTTCCACCACTACAGCCTTTCATGCAGTGTTGTGCAGCCTGCACACAGACAGTGGCTGGTAGAGCAGCTCGGTGCTGTAAAACATCCTCATATATAACTGAAAACCATGGAAGGTTTGTCATGAAAATAAAATAAAAAAGGGCCATCATTAATATTTAACTATAGGATGAATGGCCCTTTTAAAAAGCATTCAGTGCATTTTTTGATTAACACCATCATACTTATTTCAAAATTGCATATAAGGTCAGCAGAGAAACCATCCTGAAAATCAAGGTAAATTGACTCAAAACTGCTGGAAAAAAAATGTAGCAACTGTATACTGGCTAAGGCTAACACTATGTATTTATTATTTATGTTTGTAGTTTTAATCCATCTACAGTGAGATAAATCATTTCCCCTCTTATTCACATTTTCTTTTATTTCCACTCTGAGTGACTCATCTCTTAATTATTAGTGTGAGACAAAGACATACAAACACAACCATATCATTACCACTACATGACCTGAAAACCTGTTGAAATCTTTATCGGTCTTGTCTCACTTTATGTCTTGTCAATTAAATGTTTAAAGCATTATATTTATTAAATATTTTTAGGTAATACAAACAGCTGAAACCCCACTGAAATTTCCAAAAGGGCAAAAGGAGAAGTTACATTCAACAAATACCATGGATAGGAATGGCAACGATGTTTTTCACATGTTGTAATGGTGCTGTTAAAAATGACTGCTCTTTATTTGTTCCGCTCCTTTCTTTCTGTGCCCTAAGAATAAACGGACATAAAAAATAGGGTATCTTAAAAATATAAGTTTTACAATTTAAATCTTAAAGTTATCTTCTATTTTATGACCCATATTTATGACCTTTAAAATTTTTCTGACAGGTTTCTCTCTCTCTTTTGAACCGTACCTTGAAACGTAATTATTGGCTCCCATTTTTCTTGATGTTTTTACCTTTGAAGTCTGTGTTTCACAAATAAGTTCCGACATTCAAATGTGCTTAAAGACTGCACCACTAGGCAGATCTCAAACAGAGTGAAAGGTTAACAGACCATTTGGACTGAGACTTTATCATTCTCAACGTGAC